GAGTAGATCTTAAATCTTATCACATACAAAAAATAACTATGTGAGATGATGGATGTGTTAACTAACCTCAATGTGGTAATCATTTCACAATACATACATGTATCAGATCACCATGCTGTACACCTTAAACTTAGACAATGTTATATGTCAATTACATTTCAATAAAGCTGCGGAAAAATACTTTTAAAAATAACAGGCAAAACTACAAAAAAAAAAAAAGAAAAGAAAAGTAGGCACAATTAGAAACTCAAAAAGAAGGAAAATTTTGTACAAGAAAAGAAATAGCACAGTACACTACTTGGCACTGTGCTGAATAATATTTAAAAGTCATACCGAGGGAATCAAAATGTGTCACTATAACAAAATCAGCTAAACATAAAGAAAGTCAGTAATGGAGGAAATTAGGAACAAAAAATTATAAGGCATAATAAACAAATAACAAAATAGCACAAGTAAGTGCTAAATAAAAAGCAGGATTCAACTAAATACTGTTTACAAGAGACTCACTTTAGATCTAAGGACACAAATAGGTTGAAACTGAAAGGATGGAAAAGTGCATTCCATGCAACTAGCAACTGAAAGAGAGGACGAGTGGCTATACCAATATCAGACAAAATAGACTTGAAGTCAAAACTGTTGCAAGAGACAAAAAAGGACATAATGTAATGACTGTCAATTCACCAAGAAGATATGACAATTATATATGCATCAAACATCAGAGCTCCCAAATACTTGAAGCAAACATCAACAAAATTGAAGGGAGAGAGACAGCTCTACAGTAACAGTGGGAAACCTCAATGTCCCACTTTCAAGAATGGAAAGAACAGGGGTCGGCCCCATGGCTGAGCAGTTAAAGTTCCATGTGCTCTGCTTCAGCAGCCCAGCCTGACGGGTTCAGATCCTGGGCACAGACCTACTCCACTCATCAGCCATGCTGTGGAGGCATCCCACATACAAAATAGAGAAAGACTGGCACAGATGTCAGCTCAGGGCTACTCTTCCTCAAGCCAAAAAAAATGAGGAGGACTGGCAACAGATGTTAGCTCAGTGCAAATCTTCCTCACCAAAAAAAAGAAGAAGAATGGAAAGGACAATGAGACAGAAGATCAATAAGGAAATAGAGGACTTGAACATCACTATAGACCAACTGGACCCAGCAGACACATACAGACCACTCTACCCAAGGACAGCAGAACACACATTTTTCTCCAGTGCACAGGCTGAAATCATACAAAACATCTTTTCCAATCATAAAAGAATGAAACTAGAAATCAACAGCAGAAGGAAAACTGGAAAGTTCACAAATTTGTGGAAATTAAACAACACACTCTTAAACAACCAGCAGGTCAAAGAAAAAATCACAAAGGAAATTAGAAAATATCTTCAGAGAATAAAAATTAAAACACATATATCAAAACTTATAGGATACAACAAAAGTGGTGCTAAGGTGAAATTTATAGCTATAAATACCTTCAAAAACAAGAAAGGGGATGTCAGCACCGTGGTGGAGTAAGTTCTTCCCTTAGACTCTCCCCACTAAGACACCACAGAAAGGACACTCATAAACCAACAGAGGGCATTCACACAACACAACAGACGTTTGAGAGACCCACGCAGCCACACGTCTGAAGGTGGAGGTGCTGGGCCCCCGCGGAGGAAAACATCAAAAATAACTATAATCTCGTCATTTTAACCACAAACTCACAACACAGGTTGGAATAAGTTGTGACAACAACAACTTAGAAGGGGAAGAGGAAAGGGAAGGAATCAGCTTAGACTAAGGAAATGAGGCTATCAGAAAATGGACTATCTCATCTACAAGATCTTTTAAACAAACCTCACAGTAACCACTAAACAAATAATCAGAACACAGACACAAATGATAAACAAAGAGGAAACTGAGAAAAGCATCATACTACCAAACTGAATCAGGAGTCCCAAAATCACAGAACGAGAAAAGGGACATGCAGAAGAACCGGGAGACAAGTGATAAAATGGCAGTATTAAGCTCTCACATATCAATAATCACTCTAAATGTAAATGGATTTGACAAAGGAGCTAAGAGCATACAATGGAGAAAGGAAAGTCTCTTCAATACATGGTGTTGAGGAAACAGGACAGCCACATGCAAAAGAATGCAAGTAGACCATTATCTTACACCATGCACAAAAGTTAACTCAAAATGGATCAAAGACTTGAAGGTAAGACCTGAAACCATAAAACTCCTAGAAGAAAATATAGGCAGTACACTCTCTGACATTGGTCTTAGATGGACCTTTTTGAATACCATGTCTAGTCAGGCAAAGGAAACAAAAGAAAAAATAAACAAGTGGGACTTCATCAGACTAAAGAGCTTCTGCAAGGCAAAGGAAACCAGGAACAAAATGAAAAAACAACCCACCAACTGACAGAAAATATTAGCAAATCATATATCCAACAAGGGGTTAATCTCCAAAATATATAAAGAACTCACACAACTCAACAACAAAAAAACAAACAACCTGATCAGAAAATGGGCAAAGGATCTGAACAGACATTATTTCACAGAAGACATGCAGATGGCCAACAGGCATGTGAAAAGATGTTCAACATCACTAATTATTAGGGAAATGCAAATCAAAACCACAGTGAGATATCACTGCACACCCATCAGAATGGCCATTATTAAAAAGACAAGAAATCACAAATGTTGCAGAGGATGTGGAGAAAAAGGAAACCCCAAACACTGCTGGTGGGAATGTGAGATGGTACAGCCACTACGGAAAACAGTCTGGAGATTCCTCAAAAAAACAAGCATAGAATTACTATATGATCCAACTATTCCACTTCTGGGTATTTATCCAAAGAACACAAAAGATATCTGCACCCCACGCTCATTGCAGCATTAGTCACAGCAGCCAAGACTCGGAAACAACCTAAGTGCCCATCAACGGATGAATGGATGAAGAACATGTGGTTCACACATACAACAGAATAACACTGAGCCATAAAAAAAGAGACCAAATTGTGCCATTTGTGACAACATAGATGGACCTTGAGGGTATTATACTAAGCAAAATAAGTCAGAGGGAGAAAGTCAAACACCATATGATTTCATTCATATGTGGAAGATAAAAACAACAACAACAAACAAACACATAGATACAGACAATAGATTGGTGGTTACCAGAGGGTAAGGAGAGGATGGGGGAGGGTAAAAGGAGTAAAAGAACACATTTATATGCTGATGCATGGCAACTAGACTTTGGTGGTGAACAGAATGTAGGCTATACAGAAGTCAAAATATAATGATGTACACCTGAAATTTATTGTTATAAATCAATGTAACCTCAATAAAAAAATAGAAAAAAATGAAGTTGGACCCTTACTTTACACCATATACAAAAATTAAGTCAAAACAGATCAAAAACGTAAACATAAGAGCTAAAACTATATAACTTCCAGAAGAAAACATAGGGGGGAAGTTTCATGACATTGGATTTGGCAATGATTTCCAGGATATGACAAGAAAAGCATAAACAACAGAAAAAAAGTAGATGAGTTGGATTTCATTAAAATTAAAACGTTTGGTGCATCAAAGAACACTCTCAACAGAGTGAAAGGGTAACCCAGAGAATAGGAGAAAAATATTTTCAAATCTTATATTTAAATATAAATATATAAAGAACTCCTACAACTCAACAACAAAAAAGAAAGAACCCAATTTTTAACATGGGTAAAGGAGTTGAATAAACATTTCTAAAGAAGATATACAAATGGCCAATAAGCACATGAAAAGATGTTCAACACCACTGATTTAAATGCATATCAAAACCACAATGAGATACGACTTCACATCCAGTGGGATGGCTATTATCCCAAACCAGAAAATAACAAGTGTTGACAAGGATGGGGAGAAATTGGAACCCTTGCGCATTGCTGGTGGGAATGTAAAATAGCACAGCCACTGTGGAAACTTGTACGGCAATTCCTCAAAACCTACACATAGAATTACCATATAATCCAGCAATTCCTTATCTGGCTATATGCCCAAAAGAAGTGGAAGCAGGACCTGAACAAATATTTACAAACCGTATCAGCAGCATTATTCACAATAGCCCAAAGGTGGAAAGAAACCAAGTGTTCACTGATAGATGAACAGATAAACAGAATGTGGGATATACACATAATGGAATATTATTTCATCTTAAAAAGTAAGAGAATTCTGACGCATGCTACAACACAGTCACAAAAGGATAAATATTCTATGATTCCACTTATAGGAGGTGCCTAGAGCAGGCAAATTCATACACACAGAAAGTAGAACGGTGGTTCCCAAGGGCTGGAGGAAGAGATTTGGGAGTTATTTAATGGGTATAGAGTTTCAGTTTTACACGATGAAAAGAGTTCTAGAGATTGGTTGCACAAGGCGAATGTTTTTAACACTACTAAACTGCACACTTAAAAATGGTTCTAATAGTAAATTTTATATTATACTTTGCCACAACTTAAAGAACAGCACGTAGATAACGCGCAGGTCACATGGTTCGGGAGCTGAGCATCCTCTCACACACACACCGGCGCCCCCACCCCGGCATCCTCCGAGGACCGGCGCCCGCGTGTGGCGGGGTGGAGGGGGCCGTGGGGGTGGAAGGGGTCGCGCCACACCTCGCGGCCCCTGCTCCAGCCTCTCGGGAAAGGCCCCTCTCAAGCCCAAAGTTTGCTCTATCCTGGCTTCTTAAGGGTCGGTGACCAGCGAGTCTCTTCTTTCCCCGCAGCCTAACTCATTTTATGTGTACAACTTAGTGCTTTTGAGCAAACTGAGGCGTTGTGCAACCATCACCACAATCCGGTTTTAGAACATTTCCATCACCCCTTGGCCTTTCTAAGGCCCTGGCGCCTCATCCGTAAATGGCGGCACACGAGCCTAGCACATAATAGCGCACCAAAACGTTTTACCTATTATTACACTAGTTGGTGACGGCCTGTTTCTAGACTACCATCCTCTCCCTGCCGCAGGCAGTGCGCCGCCCGCCGATGGGCCGCGGAGGTGCCGGTGGTCCCAAACGCTCCGCGCCGCGCTCCCGCCCGCGGCCCCGCCCCGCCGCGCCGCCCGCGATCGCGGAATCGGGCCTCTCTCGGCGCCCTGGCTGAGGCGGGCGGCGCCGCTCCGGGCTGGATTGGTGATGCCTGGGCGCTGCGGGCGCCTGCGCAGTGGGACGGCCCCGCGCGCCGAGGGGCTGCGAGATCCCGGGGAGCGTGGTCGCGCTGCTGGAGCCGGACGGCCGCGCCATGGCGGAGGACGAGCTGGAGGCGCTGCGGAAGCAGAGGCTGGCCGAGCTGCAGGCCAAGCACGGGGTGAGCGCGCCCGCCTGGCCCGGCCCTGCGCCGCGCCGTCCTCGCCCGAGGGGGAGGGCGCGGCCCCGGGCGCCGCGGCCCGAGGACCCACGCTGCCCCGGCCCGCTCCGCGTCGCGGGGGCTCGGGCGGCCGGCCCACCACGTGCAGCCACGGGCTGGGGGCGGGGGGCGGGCGTGGGCCTGTCCCGGGCGGGGGGCGGCTCGCCCGGGCCGGCGTGGGTGCGAAGCCGAATGCCCAGCCCCTCGGGCTCCCGGACCCTTAGCTTTCGGATCCAGCCTGCTTCCACCACGGTTCCAACCGAGTTGCTGTCTAGAATTCGGTTGTTCTGACCCAGGCAGCCGGCGTTTCCTGGGCTGTGCTGTGAGCCGGGTGCTGAGGGGACAGCGGGGGACACCCGCTCTGTAAGGAGTTGACAGTCCCGGGAGGAGCCGGACGCTGCTCGCGGAGATGAAGCGCCCGAGTCCTGACTCCGCGGTACCCTGCGGAGCTGGGAGCAGCGTCAGGGATGGAGCGGGGTGGTCTCCAAGGAGGCGCCCTGTGCATCGTCAGCGTCCCCACCCCGAAGCACCTTTCATTTTCCAGAAAGTATTGTCACCGCGGAAAATACGGTTTCCCAGTACAGATGCCCCCCCGCCCCCATGGCTGTTTGTATTCTGAAGCATTCTATTAGATTGTGACTTTGGGAGCCTATCAGAACCTTGTAGCAAGTGGAGAGCCACCCGGTTGACTTCTGTGAGGCCCGGCTTTTTAAGTTATCTGGTAATAATTTGGTGTCTGCTCCTGCAGGAGCCTGTTAGGTATCGGACACAAAATAAAATAGTTCCTGTTTTTTTCCTCTGAAATGGTTCAACTAAAAGGTGGAATTATTTTTTCAGGATCCTGGCGATGCGGCCCAACAGGAAGCAAAGCACAGGTATGGGCTGGGGCTCTGAGCTTTCTCAGGGGTTTTCTCACCAAGTGGGTTTTTGACTTTAGTTATTTTAATAGATATGTGGATCCTAAAGTTTTTCCCAGCATCGTGATTTTTCCATGAGTCGTCAGGGTATCTTTGTTATTAATTTGTTAATTAAATAACCGTGTGGAGCCCACCGCACTTACTACTTTGTACTGCAATTACTGGTTGATGTTTGTTTCTCTGCTAAACTGTGATGACCTTAGAGTGAGCATCATAATAGGACTATTTCCTAGGGATGTTTTGAGGATTACATGGAAACAGTTTAATAAGTGCTCGATAAATATTAACTGTTAACTATTGTTATTTTAGCCAAGCACATGGGAGAGCACCTCACAAATGGCAGCTTTATTGAATGAATACCTGATTACCCCATCATGTTATCTTTTTTCTAATTGTGATTAAAACACACATAAAATTTGCTGTCTTAACCATTTTTAAGTGTACTGTTCAGTCGTGTTGACTCTATTCTGATTATTGTGTGACAGATCTCTAGAACTTTTTCATCTTGCAAAAGTGAAACACTATACTTATTGAGTAACTCCCCATTTCCCCCTCTCCCACCATGCTACCTTTTTTTTGGTGAGGAAGATTTGAGCTAACATTGCTGCCAGTCCTCGTCTTTTTTTGCTTGAGGGAGACTGTCACTGAGCTAACATCTGTGCCCGTCTTCCTCTACTTTGTATGAGGGATGCTGCCTCAACATGGCTGATGAGTAGAGTAGGTCCGCACCTGGGATCCCAACCCGTGAACCCAGGGCTGTGATTCGCAGCACGTAGAACTTCAGCCACTTGGCCATCGGGCCAGCCCCAAACCATGCTACCTTCTAACTCACTCGTTCAGCAAGCATTTGTTGAGCACCTTGCTCTGGGTCAGGCACTGAGCACTGCTGGGTCTACAGAAAGAGGCAAAGCAGAGAAGGTTCCTGCCCGAATGTGGCTTGTGTGAGTGGGAGAAGACAAAGTAAGCACTGGGATGGTGCCAAGAAGAAGAAAAAACTACTACACAAATCTCATTGACTCGGAGATGAACATTTTTTCACAGATTGGGTATGTCTCATTGATCACTCTTGCCCTGGATTCTTCCAGACAGGAATGAATTTTGCTTCTGCCATCACTTGGGTACATTTCTAACTTGAGACCTCTTAAAAGTAAATTCTCTGCTTGGGGTTCCCCCCTCCCTCCACCCCTGTAGTGTGAATTCAGACAGCAAACCTGCAAAACTAAAGTGTGAAACTCAAATTCTCAGAGGAACCTTTTTCTTCCCCCACTCAGGGCCACAGTTGATGCGTGTGTGCTGTCTTGCTGTCCCTTTCTGCATGGCGGGTTTATTTCTTGCTTACCTTGTACTGAGGATGTTGCTCTTGCTGCCCCAGCTGTGAGTGGAGGTCTCTATTAGATGCCTCATCTAGGGTGTTCTTTTGTTCTTAGAGATAAATAAAACTATGGTGCATCTTACACTGGATGGCATCTTAGACTCAGTGAAATATAGTAACAGTAGTTCATGGCAGCGTTGAAGTACTCAGGAGCAATAAGGAGTGGCCTGTGGAAGTGGGCTTCACGCTGTGTTCCATGAGCCCTAGGGCTCCTCAGATGGGTGGTTAATGGGCACCGCCAGCCCCAGCTCCCCCTCTCATTCAGAGAATCTCTGCTTCTGTCTGTGTTGCGTATTAAGTTCCTTGAAGGACTTCATTTGAAAAACAAATTTATCTGCTTAAAAAATTTGAAACCCTGGTCTTATGTGAACTGGTTCCTACTTGGATAGCTGGGAAAATGCAAGGATGCTTGCAGAATCGTAATTTCACTTCCCCTCCCCACCCAAAAAATAGAACTGAGAGCCTTGAAACATGGGCTCTGGTTCTAGCTTGGCCACGATTATCTGTGTCACCTTAACGTGGCCTCCCTGGGTCTCAGCTTCTTTTTCTCTGAGAAAATTACACGGATTGATCACTTGGCCCTTCTCATTGCCTGAAATCTCACTGCATATTTCTGGCATCTCTCACACCCTAGGTACTTAATAAATGTTGGTACAGGTGGTTGAACCGAATTATGAAAATGTAAAGTCTGACCTTTCAGCCCGGTAAGTTTATACCCACTTATTCTAAAGCTGGCTTTGAGGACAGGACTGGACTCTCCGCTTTGCTGTAGCCGCTGCCATCCACCCGGCACCCAGTACAGCACAGGCTTGTCTACAGCAGGCGTCCATCCTGAGAAACGTATGGAGTGATTGCATTTTGTGTGTTCAGTAGGAATGCTGACAGCTTCGTTCTAATTTTGCTTGACCTGTTTTCATTGTAGGGAAGCAGAAATGAGAAACAGTATCTTAGCCCAAGTTCTGGATCAGTCAGCCCGGGCACGGTGTAAGCATCTTCAGTTTCCTCTTATTTCCATAAAATTGGCTTGAGTTAGTTGAATAGGGAGATATTTATGAAATTATTGCTATCTCTACATAAAATATTTGTGTAATGTAAAAACACTTGAGATACTGATTATTTGTGAGAAGTGTGAAGTTTATAAACCTAAAGAAACACACTTAAGTCATTATTGTAAGTGCTGGCTCAGTTCTGTCTTACCCAGGAGATGATCTCCCAGTGCATGTTGGGTAAAATTTATAGGAAACAACTCTTAAATCGAGTCAGTCACAAACTGTTGCTGGTAGTTGATGTGGGTGATGGGGGCTTGGCAGTTTATTGTAGTCTCTGTTTTATTGTATGCTCATAATTTTTCATAATAAAAAGCAGAAAGAAAACTGTAGAAAAAGAAAGAAAATCAGCCAATTGGAATGAACTAGTATCTTCTGTATTATAACTTGAAGCCCAGCTTAAAGAGGCAGCCTTAGATACATCACCACCATGTATCTGTGTAGTAATAGATAGATTTGCTTTCTAGAGGGCAATCATGTATTTTTTTTAAAAAAAGTACGGGGTTGAATCTGAAGGCCCAAGTTTAATCTTGGCTCTGTGACTACTCGTGTGTGGCACTGACTGATGCCGCCAGGACTGACGTGTCGTTTCCTCACAGTTAAGGCGGTAACAACAGCATCTGCCCCGCCAGCCTAGCTAGTCTCAAGGCATAAGTCTGTGAAGTGCTTTAGAAATGTTCCTGCATAGTTTTAAGCTGTAAGTACATTGAGTTTTGACTCCTTTTTATGGATGTATATATTTTTCTTTTCAGTAAGTAACTTAGCACTTGTAAAGCCTGAAAAAACTAAAGCAGTAGAGAATTACCTTATACAGATGGCAAGATATGGACAACTAAGTGGGAAGGTAAGCTTGGACTGCCTTGAGGCACTCGACCTAACGTTACCTACTTTATCAAAACTTATCTTCAAGAAGTTAATTTCATCTTCTGGTTACAGAATTCTTGTTGACTATTTCAGTGAAGCAGTTGTTAAAGGAGAGATTGAATAGTTGTATCTACCATAAATCCTAAAATATAACTAATTGCCTTTCGTAAAATCCTCTGCTTCTTTCTTGTCCTGACATTGCTGTGGAAGCTTCTTGGTGTCTGTGTGACCCCATGACTGTTGAGGTCAGCTAGCTTAAACTGCTTCTACACTGGAAACACGGTTTGTCAGTAATACCAACTAACAGACTACCAGTGTAGGTAGAAGTTGAGCTTGTTTTGCAAATGAGGAGGTGCTAGACTTCCTTGGTTATTATGTGTGTTGCTGTGATGCCGTGATGGGTATATGCTGCCAAGCCTGACGTTCCTTCAGACCCAGGAGAGCCCCGCTCACAGGAAAGCCCTCTGCGGCCCCCTCAGCCTGCAGGGACCAGGCCTGCCCTGACTCCTGACACTAGGAACGTGTGCGGGAGCCACGACTGCTTCGTCTTTGTTGAGTGACTTACCGCCTGCATTTAAGCTTCTCCAGAGCTCAAGGGCAGAGGCCCGAGCGTCTCTGTCCTTGACACTTAACACAGTGGTGTAGGTGGTTGTCACTGGCTGCTAGTGGTGATAGAGCTGTTCTTAAATACCTCTTAACTTTGGATTTTTCTGAGGAAGCTAACTGATGGATACTTTTCCCCTTCCTCAAATGAAGACTTAGAAGAGCAGATTTTCTTTGGCACTTAAACCAGTAGTCTCAACCTCCTGTCCCAGCTCTCCTTCCCTCCTGACCTCTAGCCCATAGCCCAGAAAGACGAAAACAGTTCAATCTGTTGAGGCAAACGCTTTGTTTTAAAGAAGTACTGTTTTTCTTTCTGATTATCCTAGGTATCAGAACAAGGTTTAATAGAAATCCTTGAAAAAGTAAGCCAGCAAACAGAAAAGAAAACAACAGTTAAAGTAAGTTTCCCCAAGTGCACGTGGCAAAAGAAAAAGTTGATAATTTAAATAAGTGTTGAATATACACCTACGTACGGTATCAAAACATGTTTCAGCCCATAGACATTTTCATTTTGTAACATGGAAGTTTGGGGAGAAAGGCTGCGTATAGTGAGGGGTCTAATTTTTAAGGATCTTGAGTTGATGTTCTCTCGTTTAGATCTAAAACACTAAGTTGTTTTAAAGACAAAAATGTCTTGAATAATAGGTAGACAGTTTTCTTCTCAGAAAATTGAGTTATGCTTTATTAAACATGTTATGACACACATTTAATTTTCCCCCCAGTTCAACAGAAGAAAAGTAATGGACTCTGATGAAGATGACGATTATTGAATTTAAGATGTTTAGAAACTAGAACTTAATGGAACAATTCTAGGATAGCTAATACTTGGCAGAAGTTGAGATCTGACTTGAACGTTTACTTTGTTTATTGTCTATTTGCCTTTTAAAAAAATAAACTTGTTATGCAAAATAAAACAATTTGGGCCGAGTTGTTTTAATACCATAGCTGAATGAACTGCGTTTTGAGTTTCTCCTTTCCTACCGAAAGCTTTTGAACGTGTGTAGCAGCATGAATATATCCTTTGTAATTGTGACGTTAGTGTTAGATAGGCAGATGGCCTTCGCAGAAATAGAAGCTGCTCGAGCACTCTTCAGTCAGAAGAAAACAGCATCCAGCACCATCCTGGGAGTTCAATCCCATGGACTAAGCTGATCAACTTCAATATTAAACATCTAATATTTCCAAGACACAGGTTCGGAAAGCAAGCAAGCAGCTGTTTTTCTTCCTGCAGGTTGTACTTACATGTAAGAAAATTCCTAGCTTTGATTTCATTTATAATTTGTTTTTCAAAACCATTGAGACTAAATTATCTAACAAATATGACCCCTCTCGAAAACCTCTAATAGAGTGATACTTGAAAAAAATTACCAAAATAACTGGGACATACTAGTAATAACACTTCAACGTAATAAACGTGTTTGTAAGAGAAATTACTTCTGATGATTAAAGTCTAGGTGAGCGGTTTAGCAGTTAAACATTTGGGTAGAAATATTCTGGGTTCTTCGCTCAGAGTTGCAGGTAACGTAGAGCAAGCGTCGTCTCAGATTGTGCTTTATTCCCACTAGTTACGAAAACCTTTGCCTCTAAACTCAAATCATAGCTCAGCTCTCCAGTGAGCCGTGTGGCGTAACCTTTAGGTGTCAGCCCTGGAGACCCGGCCCCGGAGTACGTTCCTGACGTTTAATGAGATGAGTAGGGTTAGTCGCAGAAAAGTGATGGGAAATGTGCTTGATAGTCCCAGTCGGCTTGAGCCAGCGTACTGCTGCTACATGTTCAAACTGTATTTGAGATTGTACTATATTTGAGACTTAAAATTTGTGACTGCGGTCAATGAAGAAAGTCAGTGTTGGAGTAAGTGTCTAGCATTCTTGAATAAAGTGAGTGAGAACATCAGAATATTAAAAACCACCAAAATTTTTTAAAGGGACAGAATTGATAAATAGTCAAAAGCAAAATTCGGTCAAGGATTTTGGGGGGAAAAATCCCAGTTACAGGTAGATTTTGCTTTAGGTCTCATTTACATGAAAATGCTGGAGGGAAACTAGCCAATTTGAGCCAGTTTGTTACATGCTTTCTCTCGGGGAATAGCACTATCCTCATGGCAGCCACTCATGTCAATGTGTGCAAAGACTGTCAGCCTCCTGCCCTCCAGAGACACGTGAGAATGGACAGTGGTTCTGAACACAGGGATGGGAGTTCTTGAAGGCAGCACGGGGTTAGGGAGTGGGGAGCGGTTATTCTAAACTTCAGTTTAACTCGGTGAACTGACAGTACTTTGAGTTCAGAACATTCTTACACAAAGTAGAAATTTGGGCATTACCAATTTCTGAATTGTCCAGTTTACTTTGGGGTCTTATTTTCACTTTATTTTTTTTATTTTTAAGTTGAGTTTTAAGTGGGGAAAGCAGTTGAAGAAAAACATATTTAAAAAAATAATCGAGGCAGTCACTTCAGATGGTTCACACTACTCATTACCAGAACAACCCAAGGAGAAACATCTCCCATAATACTGACAGGCCCATTCACAGTATTTCTATCTCCAGAGGAAGGGCACACCAAGCTGGAAACTGCCAATTCAGATGACACTGCCAGTCAGGCCTTGACCCCAGTTCTGATATGTCAAGCAAACTGGCCCCCTTATTTCTCTGAACCTGTTTCCTCACTGAACAATTCTACCAGCTAGGGTAATTGTTAGAATTAAATAGGGGCAGACATGAAAGTTTTCAAACTTATATTGCATCATCCACAAAGTCAGGTGGTATCAGAAGTATGTATTTGCATCTTGGAAATGGCTGGGCTGATAAACTGTACGGGATATAGTTTCTCAATTAGGATGGTAGAGAACCACAGCAACTCAAGTCAGTACGGCAGTTTTGTTTAAAAGTGAGGAAAAGGAGAAAAAATAAATCAGAAGAAAGAAATTCACAAAGCAACTGCTCATTCCCTGCTTGGGCTAAGAAGCTGTATTGTATTCATTTTTGTTGAGTTTAAAACATTTTTGTGGGCACTAGGTACTGTGCGTAAGTCAGCCCTAGTCAGGTAGACAGATTATGATAATCTGCTCTGAATGATCCAGTTGACACGTTTCAGTCACACATCTATAACTGAAAAATAAAATGTATGTTCCTCCAATGGGGGAAGATTTTTCCAAACACAAAGCACATGTTTCTAGCTAAGAGGCTGAGAAACAGGTACCTCCAGAGCAAAACATTAACTAAAAAAGGTACCATGACACACTCAAGAATCATAAAGTTTACTGTTTCTTTTCCATCATTTGGCACATATCCAAGGCACATTAGAAAATTAGAAATCATAAATTACTTTGTAGAAAAATAATCAGCCCCTCCCTTCTGTACATACACAAGTATTTCCAAGAACATGCACAAAACCATTTCTCTGTTACAAAGGTATTTGAAAATGTACTCAAGATAAACCCATGTTTGCAGCTCGAGACCAATTAATAACATAAAAAAATAACAGTATAATCTATAGAAATTTATAAAAAGGAATGAATGGCAATAAATTCTAACTTAAAGTAAATTTGACCTGGTTTGTGCTGTAAGTTTTCAATCTGAATCAAAAGACTAAGAAAAGATGTGCCAAATCTACTCTCTAGTTCAGTAACCATCCATCAGGAGTGACATTTAAGGGAGGTTCTTAATGGAAAGGGATGTTTCTAGAGACACTAGAGGTGCATATGTGCAATGATCAAATATCTGTACTTTGCTGGAAGAAAAATTCTACCCAACTTTTCCCACGTACATAGTGTAAAAGGAACTTGAGAACGGCATTTAGGCATCTTTGGGTTCAAATGTTGCTTTGCAAAGGAGCATTTTCCAGGTCCTGTTTCCTTCATTCAAATGTGATGTTTCTGGCCGGCCACCACAGTACCATGAAACCTGAACTGCTTCTCTTCAGTTTGTCCCAGATGGAGGAGTTCTGTTAGCTTGTGGTTTGCTCGTTTATACACATCAGAGGCTTAGCACCTTCAGGAGGAGGAGGTCAGAATCTGGTGATGAAACCTCTCACTCTAACCAAGGAACCCTAACACTGAAGAAGTCTTAAGGATCTGGACACCACTGGACTTTCTGTCCATTCCTTTCCAAGTGTATTCCTCAGCTTTGAAGAGGAAGAAGATGGTAACAGTTTTTTGTTGCACTTTCCCTTAGCCAGGAAAAGCTTTCAGGAAGCTGCTGCTCTCTCGAGCCAAAGAGCAAGTATATTTAGTTCTAAGCTGTATTCACGCTCGGCGTCTTCTTATTGAGGACTTGCTGCCTGGCAGCAAATTGAACGGTTCCTTATTCCTGTTAAAACTGGGAAATACTGGCCTCGCGGGGAGTGGCCAGGCCACCAGCAGTCTCTGGGCCCTTGGCTCCGACTGTGTCATCGACAGTGTGTCTCCGCAGCATTCGCCTGGTCCCAGGAGCAGCCTTTTTCAGTCTGGGCCTCTCGGGCTGCTCACCCCCTCCTGTGTCAGCCGTCTGCGATCTGCTCTGCTCCGGCCGCTTAGCCTGTTCCCGTGTGACTGTGGGCCTCCCTGGCTGCAGAAAGGGTACAATTCAGACAGTTCACGTTTGCACTGTGCTTTAAAGCACCACCACACAGTAACAGCCACCCTTGGGTGCTTATTTGTGTCGTCAGTGTGCTCAGCACTTGCAGGCCTAATTTCAGCTCCACCATCCCTGTGGGGATGGTAGGACGTGTACTCCAAGTGTCAGACACAACGCCAGTACTTTACATGTTTGCACATTTAATCCTTACAGCTCTAACTAGTGTGTACTAACAGGATCAGCAAAGTCAAGCAATCCAGCCAAAGGCCCAAGCTAGCAAGGGAAAAGTTGAACCCAAGCAGATTTCAGAGTTTGTGGGTTTCCCACCCAGCAGCAATTCTATCAGCAAAGTCATGAAAGAGTAAATAAATCAAAATTAGTCATGTTTACAAAAGTCACTTTAATTTTCTAAAACAAGGATTTAGAACTGTTATTTGTTTCATGGCGCCTATGCCACACATGCTGTCAATTCTATTTCTCATCAGTAGTCAATGGATGGTAAACAGCATAAGAGGAGTCCTGTTTCTGAGAGAGTCCCCTAAGAATGGCACCAGAGAATGTGAAGTGGGCTTCTGTTTATAACTGATGCTCAGACAGTGCTTTAAGAGACGGCCACCGAGAGCACCATCCACAGAGTAACTCCACACCATAGTGGAGAAGTTTTCTACTCACCTATGCACAAACTTGCTTTCTTCCTTATGTTAGTGATTAACACATTAGTGAGTTTGCCCAGTGAAATTTCAGAGAGTTCACGTGACTATACACACCATGATCTGCGTCTGTCCACGCGTACAACCATTTTCCACTTTTTCCTCCCTTTCTTTCCTCAGCTCAGAAATGCATTGTTAAATAAAACAGTAAATGAAGTCTATACTCAACTGTCCCACTAAAGAGCTCATTTTAATTATTATCATCTCTTACAGTGAAGGGAATCATGAAAGGAGCAATGTATTTACCATACGTTAGATTTGAAAAAGCCAGGCTTTAAAAAGTATGATTATAAGCCAGTGTTTAATAACTCACCTCATGCACAGAACCTTCAGTAAGATTAGGGACACTTCTATCTCTTGCCATAATGTCCCTTGAAGTCCTTCCCCTGAAACACCAAACAAACTACAATAAACGTTTGGGATGGTGGAGCAAAGTACTCGGCGGCCACGAGGTGGCAGCATTGGATGAGGGCAGATCGTAACCCGTGAAAGCAGCGCATCCTGCTCCACTTCTAAGTCAGGCAGAGGCAAAGCACAGAAATCAGCTCGAACTTTATACTCACTCAAACTGACCAAGCGAGGGGACACAGTAAAACTGTCTAGGAAAAGGTTCATCTGGTAGGTCATACATTTTTGAGTTCCCTGTAGATAAAAGGATAAACATCTGAGAACTTCCAAAATAGTTGAAGTGTTTTAAAATGCAACCTCTCAATTTTATTTAACAAAATTTAGAAAATTAAGCACTGCATTTGCTTAAACCACCACATTAGTAGATAACTATTTATTACCGTGTGAACCCCCATGAAAAAGAAAGATAAATCCTTAACACACTGATACTCCCCAGCCACAGCCAATCTGGTGAGACAGCCTCAGGATTACCCAGATATGTGACTGGGTTTATCACATTGTACTGCAAACTCATACTGTAATTAAAAAAATAAGTGGCTAGCACAAGGACCCCCTCTGAACTATAACAACTTTTAAAAGAAGAAATACTTCAGCCCCACCCATTTGGCAACCGCTGTTCTAGGACCATCAACCTCTGTACACCTGTAAATTAAAAAAAACCTTAAAGGTGGCATTGACTGCGGAGGTCCAGGAAATGCTTAGAAAAAGGCCTGGCCTTGGAACACAAGGCATGAAGGGAACTACCCAGTTGGGCCTCCTCTCCAGCTGGGGAGTGGAGGCTTACCCAAGCTAACGCCGGGAGTGTCCATCTTACTTCCTCAGGAAGCAGTGTCACCGTCAACCAGAAAACGAGTATCAAAAAAGCTGAGGAACCAGGATGTCACATACATTTCTTTGGTGCCTACATCCCACCCCCAGTCGTGATCATAATTACATTCTACACTTACAATTAAACGAAACCAGCAACTGGTCATGAACTTCCATATAAACCCAAGTTGAGAATTACAGAAAGAATGTAACTTCTTACATTTTTTCCTGATCTTAACAGTAACGTATTCCTGGTGGTCTGTTTCGCCAACATCATCTAATGTGGCCACACAGTTTGGTACGACTTGAAGTAATTCCATTATTTTTGAATTCTACAATTTGGAAGGGAAAAGATAACAGGAATATTTTTTATTCTTTCCTACCAGGTAAGTGCCTGTTTTTGATCTAACTGTCAATATTGGTGTGGCTGGGCAGAAACACTAAAAAGCACAAAACCTGGAAGCCATAAGGCCCAGTGGTTAGGAGCAGCCCCGCATCCGGAGCCCGGCTCTGCCCTCTGCCGGTACTCCGGGCCGGGTAGTGGACTGCTCCATGCAAGTGGGCTGACAATAACAGGATCTATTATTGTAGAGGCACCGTGAGGTCACCGAGGGCCCCGTGTAGTCAGTACTCAATAAGAGACATGCATTGTTATCATCATCTGAGAAAGTGCTAAGTTGAAAGTTTAAGGTATTTCAATTCTGTTAAGGAATGTCACTGAGAATTAATATAATAAGCCTATGAGTAGGCTGGATTTATGGTGACTTTGACACATCAGTAGTGTCATTTAACAGCCTACTAGTTGTCTACCTGGAGTAGAAAACTAGATAAAGATTCCACGTGAGCACAGGAACGGTAAAGAGCTACCTTCTCCCCAGGAGAAAAAGACTTTCTCCTCACCATTTCTCCATGGCAAACATCCACTGCGCTGGCGAGAGATGTCAAATCGTGATTCTCCTGACAGAACTCACGAGTTTTAAAGCCAGCAACTGAATGACCTTTCTCCAGTGTGCTGAGAACACAGCTGTATTCCCACTGCCTTCAGGCAGGGAGGGTTCTCAGCCCGCTGTGGCCCTAAGAGGCCCTGACTGCTCGTCGAGGGCCAGGCCAGGGGCCACACCTGCGCTTGTCGGGGGAGCACCTCTGCTCAGCCCCTGAAAGACTGACTCCCGGTTCCCCGAGCAGGCCACCTCTGCCAGGTGGCCAAGGAGCCGGTATTTAACTGCACTGGCTGACCCGCAGCAGAAGGACTCAGAGATCCGGCTCTTGCTGCTGCACATCTGCTTTAAACACAGGGAAGCGGAGGGAGCCCCCCACCCCGAGGCCCTCCCACCCACCTGCTCAGCACAGTCTATGGCTGTGCACTGCCTCTTGTTCAAGACCTGGACTGACGCTCCGTGAAGCAGCAGCAGCTCCACCACCAAGACGTGCTTCTCCATCACAGCCTCATGCAGCGCCGTGTTGCCCTTGTTGTTGGAAACGTTAATGGAGGCCCCGTGCTAGGAGGAGGAACGACAGGATCAAAAGGAACACTAAGAGGGCAACACAGAATCCAGGTGACAAGCCACCCGTTACTGACTCGTGCCAGCAGCTCCTGGGCTGTGGGCCCTTACCTGCAGCAACAGTGCCGCGACTTCGTGGTGGCCGTTGGAACAGGCGTAAATGAGGGGCGTGTTTCCACTTATATCCTTCTTATTGGGTTTTGCATTGGACTCTAATAGATACTTCACCACCTGGCAGAGAAGAAACATTTCAACTGTAACTGAAATTGGCAGGGAGAAATCCCCTCCCTTGATATCCTTCTGACTCCTCCCTGAGCTCACTTAGAGTAAGGCTTCTTGGACACGTCTGCTCCTTGGGAGAAAGCAGACCGGCTGAAGGGGGTTAATGTTTGCTGAGGGTCTGCTCTGTGCCACACAGCGTGCTGGGCCCCAGCTTTTCATCTAATCATTAGCTCGACACCATGGAGAGCTGGAATTACCACTCCAGCTTTACAGATGAGGGAATGGATGCTTGAAGCACTCTGCTGAGTGTTAGGAGAGAAATGGAAGACCTGAAATAGGGTTCCTGTCTTTAAAAGCTGACAGTATAACTAATAAGGGAAAATTTTTTAAAATAGATAACTTTCAAAAAGAAATATATGATTTTTAGAAAGTCAGTCACTCCACAATTATCTCTTGAACCTCCTCTGTGAGGCCATTCTCCACATTATAAAGTACTAAACTGTTTGGCACAGGCCAAGGGCTGCGGGAATGTGAGGTAGTAAGACGTGGGCAGAGCCCTGGATGACCAACAGCCAAGCACCAGAGATGCTCCTGCTGCGATCAGAATCAGAATGACAGCCTCTAGTGCCACCAGGTGTGAACGGCAATGGGGAAGGGGGCTTTGCCTCCACCCACAGAAGCACCAACTTCTGTGTTCTGTTGCTGAGTGGTCCTGCCACGTGCATCTCAGAATCTCAGGGCTGGGAGGAAGGACATGTGCCCGTCCTCTGGGCCAACTGACAAACTGTTGCCCCTCTGTGACATTCCCACTGAGGGAGGTTCTAACAGAAAGCAAGCACCCTGCACACTCTGCCCGAGAGACGGACCACACCTGGAAGTGGCCCTGCTGGCAGGCCAGGTGGAGCGGGACAGCCTGGCTGACGTTTCTGGCACCCGCACTGGCACCATGCTTCAACAGGAGGGGGACGAGCTCCGCTCGACCGTGCAGGGCAGCAACGTGCAGTGGGGAGGCGCCATCCTGGTTGGTCACGTTCACACCAAGCCCATTGGCAGGAATCTTGGCCAGCTTCTAGTAAGTGTAGGAGATGGAGACAGAAATGTCATTAGTATTAAGAAAGCCGTTTGAAGAAAGTGAAGCCATCTGCCCCCCACAGCCCCAGGGCAAACTTTGGGATCATAGTGGGATCGGAATCAGGTTGTCCACAGGTGAATTCCTACTACTTCAGAAAGGCATGATACACCAAAGGATTAATTTCCATTTCCAAGAAAGCACGTGCCCTAAAATGATACCCTTTCTGGCAAGGCAATTCAAGGGGAACAGAAAGTCTGTTCAACAAATGGAACAACCGACTACCCACACAGGGAAAACTGCACATCAACCCTTTCCTCACGCCAAACACAAAAATGCATCACGGACCTAAACATGAAAGCTACAACCAGAAACCTCTAGAAGCAAACACGGAAGAAAATGTGCAAAGATGAGCAAAGATTTCTGAGATAAGATACGGAAAGCAAAAACCATAAAAGAACAGTTTCATAAACAGGACTTACTAAAAATTTTAAATGTTTGCTCTTTGAAAGACACAATTAAGAAAATGAAAAGGCAAGTCATAGACATGGAGAAAATGTTTGCAATATGTCTATCTGACAAAGGACTTATACCAACCTGCATTTTAAAAAAACAAAAATTCTTATAAATCAATTAGACAATCCAACTTCAAAAAAAAAACCAAGCATAAGATTTGAAAAGACTTGTCACAATATAAGGCAGGTAAATGGCCAATCCATAAGCACATAAAATAACATCTTTGGTTATCAGGGAAATGCAGATCAAAATCAGGAGTGACAAAACCAAAGCGTCAGAACACAGATGAGTGGCTGCCGGGATGCCTATAAAGGGGCAGGACGGACGGTCGAGCAGGGCGATGCAGATACTGATGGTGCTGGTGGCTACACGGCCATGTGCTAGTTTGTGAAACCTCATAAAACTGCTTGCTACTTATCTCCGTAGTTCACTTTCATTTCTATCATGAAAGTACCTTATTATTCACAGTGGTTTTAAACCCAGTCATGCCAATATAAGGAAAATCAATTAGTAATTAAAAGGGCAAACAAAACTGACTTATAAAGCATATAACTAAAAACGAACATATGTGATGTTGAATCATACATTTTGATAGTGGAATTAATATGTCAATGTTTTATGTGACTGATTAAGGACTAAAACTTTAATTATCTGGTTCACTTTTTGATGATTAAAAATGTTATCTCTTAGAAAAACTGCAAGCTAAATTAAAAGGGTGAATTTCACTCTATGTAAATTATACCTCAAAAATTGAAAACAAACAAGTGAAGAAGTAGGGAGAAAAAAACACAATGAAATACCAGTGCACACTTACCAGAATGGCCAAAGTTAAAAAGTGAGAAAGGCTGAAGTCACAAGGCGGGGCACCCAGAACTCACACTGCTGGTGAGAACGGAAAATGCTCCCTGCGCTCTGGAAAGCTGGCAGTTTCTTAAAAAGTTAGACACATACTGACTGTATAATCCGGCAATTAGACCACTAGGTATTTAGCCAAGTAAACAGAGACTTATACAAAGACATGTTCACAGCAGCTTTCTTCACAAAGCCAAAAACAGGCAGCTACTCAGCTGCCCGTCAACAGGTGATCAGACAACCAATTATGGTACATTCAACAAAATACCCCCCAGCAATAAAAAGAAATGAACTGCTGATCCACACGGGTCTCAAAAACATTCCGCTGAGTGAAGGAAGCCAGACTCAAAAGAGCGTGTACTGTGTGGTTCCATTCACATAAAACTCTAGAAAATGCCAGGGAGTCTGTGTGATGGGAAGCAGGTCAGTGGCGGCCTGGGCCAGGGAAGGGCGAGGAGGGCAGGAAGCGCTCGGAGGTGATCCTGACTGTGGTGATGGCTCATGGGTTTCTGCCTCTGTGGAAACTCAGCAAACTGTACACTTTAAATGGGTATGCTTTACCGTGTGTAAATTACACTTCAATAAAAGTTTAAAAAACAAACTCAACACAACAGTGGGCTAGAAGAAGATGGGCTTGGGGGGAGTTTCAGTTTAATCACAGACATGGAGCCATTTTCGTTTGTGTCTTTTTGAGAAATTAGAAAAAAAGAAAAGAGGTTTTAAAAGAACAGGATGTCTAAGATTTTTATCCAATAAATCCGTAGTTATTTTAATGTGTAATTCAGTTTCTTGTTACAACTAATCAAGTGTGAGGTGGGGAAGAACAGAGTGTAGGAGATAGACAAAAAGAGCAATAACAGAGACGCAGTAGCCACCTCCAGCCATGCACAGTCAAGGACAGGGCCTGAAGACTTTGGTACTGCACGCTGTGTCCTTGAAACATCACCTGCCATTTTAATCCCTGTTTTCCACAGCAGCCCACACAGGGCAGTCAGTTTTTAGACTGTGCATGTCCACCAGCATGGGGAAAGAAGAAAAGTCGCACATCCTCAGTGTACACAATACCCTGCGGCTGAAAAGCTACATGTGAATGAAAATTTTAGTCATTTCAATATACTTGGATTAGAGTCACCCAAGGTGAAGCTTTTTAAAATAAGGTAGTATTGGGGCCAGCTCCGTGGCTGAGTGGTTATGTTCGTGCGCTCCGCTGTGGCGGCCCAGGGTCCAGATCCTGGGCGCGGACATGGCACCACTCATCAGCCCACATTGAGGCGGGGTCCCACATCCCACAACTAGAAGGACCTGCAACTAAGATATACAACTGTGTACAGGGGTGGGTGGGGTTGGGGAGATAAAGCAGAAAAAAAAAAAAATTGGCAACAGTTGTTAGCCCAGGTGCCAATCTTTAAAAAAAAAAAAAGGAAGATTGGCAACAGCTGTTAGCCCAGGTACCAATCTTTAAGAAAAAATAAAAAAATAAAATAAAATAAGGTATTATTATCTTGCAATACAAAGGACAACAACACTACATCTGTTTTGTAAAGTCAAATTAACTTTCTTACTATGGAGCATACACATCAAGATAAATTGCTAGCATGTGAGTGCATACTGTGTACAAAACACCATTTACAACTGCTCACAAGAAAATGAAATACTTAGGTATACACTTAAGAAAACATGGCCAGGGTCTCTATGCTGAAAATCACAAAAGGAAGAAATCAAAGAAGGCCTGAAGGTATGAAGAGATATACCATGTTCATGAAGACTCAACATAGTAAAGACGCTATTTCTCCCCAAACTGATCTGCAGTTTTAATGCTGTTCCTATCAAAATCCTAACAAGGTTTTTTGTAGACAGAGGCAAGCTTATTCTAAAATTTATATGGAAAGGCACAAGCCCTAGAAGAGCTAAAATGATCCTGGCCAAGAAGGAGAAGGTCGGAGGAAGGACTCTCCCCACACTAAGGCTTCCTCTGGAGCTGCAGTAATGCAGGCAGTGTGGCCCTCGTGGGGGGAGAGACACGTGGATCAATGGAATGGACCAGAGAGCCCAGAAATGGACCCACACCATATCCAGTCAACTGGGGTGCAAAAGCAAGTAAATGCAAGGATGGCCTTGTCAACAGATGGTGCTGGAGCAGGAGGACGTCCATAGGCCAAAAAATGAACCACCTCCTCAAATTTCCTATCTTATACAAAAATTAACTCAAACTGGATCACAGACTTAACTATAAACTGTAAAATTATAACTTTTAGGAGAAAATCTTTGGAATCTCGGGCTAAGCAAACAGTTCTTAGACTTGACACCAAAAGCATGATCCATAAAAGGAAAAACTGATAAACTGGACTTCTAAATTAAAAACTTCCTCTGTGAAAATCCATGTGAAGAACCAATAGATAGATACAGAAAACATCTGACAAAGAGCTAGAATCGAGAATATATAAAGAACTCTCAAATCTCAATAGTAAAAAAAGCAAATCAGTAAGAAAAGGGGCAAAGGAAATGAAGACATTTCACTGAAGAGCATATATGGATGGCAAATGAGCACATGAAAAGATGTTCAACATCGTCACCCACAAAGGAAATGCGAATTTCAACTGCGATGAGACAGCACTACACACCTAGCAGAATGACCAAAATAGAAAATCATGGCAACAGCAAATGCTGGTGAGGACGCTGGTGAGAAACTGGATCACTCAGTGCTGGTGGGACTGCAAAATGGTACAGCCACTCAGGAAAACAGTTTGTCACTTCCTTATAAAACTAACCATAGGATGACCATGTAATTACCATATGATCCAGCAGTGGCACTCCTGGGCATTTATCTTACATGAAAACTTATGTTCTCACAAAAACCTGTAAACTAATGTACGTATAGGTATCAATTTTTTTCTTTTTCTTTGGCTGGGAAAGATTTGCCCTGAGTTAACATCTGTTGCCAATCTTCCTCTTTTTCTTTTTTCCCTTCCCACAGCCCCAGTACGTCTAGTTGTAAGTCCTTCTAGTTCTTGTACATGAGCTGCCGCCACAGCATGGCTACTGACAGAGGAGCAGTGTGGTTCCACGGGATCTGAACCCGGGCCGCTGAAGCACCGTGTGCCAAACTTTAACCACCATGGCATCAGGGCTGGCTCCCTATCAATTTTATATGTAATATTCTAAAACCAGAAATAACCCACCTCTCCTTCGTCAGGTGAATGGTAAACCATGGTACCTACACACCATGAGCTGCTCCTCCATAATAAAGGGAGGAATTGTCGACTACGTGCAGCAACTTGGAATCACGCTGAGTACGAGCAAAGCCAATCCCAACAGGCTCTATGCTTACGAGCCCATTTATAGAAAATTTATACAAAGTGACATGAAATGACACAGAGATACAGACGGAGCACATCAACAGTTGCCGGGGTTAGGGATGGTGGGGTGGGGGTGGCAGCAAGAGAGGTGGGTGTGATTATAAAAGGGCAACATGAGTGATTCTTGTGGTGAGCGAACTGCTCTGTACCTTGAATGTGGTGGTGGATACACAAAGCTACACGTGACAGAACTAAACACACACACACAAGCACAAGTCAAAGTGGTGACGCCTGGAGAGACGGATGGATCATATCCACGTCGACGTCCTGGTTTGGGTCTTGTGCTGTGGTTTTACAGGCTGTTACCACTGGGGAAAGCTGGGTAAGGACACAGGGGATCCTCTGTACTTGGCGGGGGGTCCTCCCGCAGAGGATGTACCAACGAGAGCAAAGGCAGTGGCAGGGACTCCCCAGGGGACTGCAGCTCATGGACAGAGACCTCGGGCGCGTCTGCTCCTAAGCTCCTACCTTGTCACTCAGGGGCCCAGAGAGCAGCTGAGACACTGAACACATGTGCACGTCCCTGCTCCCTGCCCTGCCCGTTCAGAGTGCAGGCAGCCCACGCCAGACCCGGCACTAGTGTCCACTCCTGTCCACTCCTGAGCTAACCGATCCCACCACCTCTCAGGGGAAACCTCTCCCAGCCACTGAGCGATGAGCTGGCTGAGAGGCAGACAACCTTCCTAAAGGGAAAAAGAGAATCTATCTGCCTGTCCACCGCCATCCCCACCGACGGAAGCAAAGCCAAACCTTCTGAGCTGGAGCACATTTAGGGCACTGGCACAAGGGGTGACACAGTTCAAGATCCGCGGCACTGACAGCATCCTCCACTTCATCCAGGTCCTCCTCAGTCCACTCCAGAAGGTAACGCACCTGGTGGGCAGGCAGGAGAAACAGGGACTCAAAACTCAGCCTTGACTCCTTTACCGGTGACAGTATCTTCAATGCACACCCTCACCTGTTCCCAAAGCAGGGCCTACACTCCCTTCACCACCAAGTAATTTCTATGTGATGGCTGCTCCCTCACGAAGGTTCCAGGGCTTGTCTGTGCTGGACCTTTCTAAGTCCTTTTAAAGGTGACGCAGAGAGATTAAGCTGCCACTTCTGCAGCTTGTGTCAGCGAGTCTTCTCTCTTAGCAAGGGGCAGAGTGGTGCCGCCTCAGGGTGCAGCCTTAAATCCTCGTCCTGGAGCACCTTGGGAGCACCTCCTCGCAGGTGACCTAACAGTACGCTTTCGACAGCCACTCCGTCCCCTCGCCTGGAGAACACTCACTGAGAGGTCAACAACTCGTTCAAGGCCACACAGCAGTCAGCAGGGTCTCAACCCCACGCCAGTGTCCTTTCCACTGTAATGCACTAGTCCACAGGCGAGAGCAATGGAAAGACCCCCAACAGGTCAAACTTACGTTCCAGAAAAGACTAGTTTCTAGGATATTAAATTTGAGAAAAGAAAACAATATGAATACATTCCTAGGCTGAGTTCTAAGTGCTAAGGCAGTCAGCATGTGTTCCAGGAAGACCCCTTCGACCCCAGGGCCTTTCCACACTCCCGACAACAGACACACCTCAAGGTGGAAACACCACAGGCCTCGACTCGGGGGCCTCACCTAGCAGGCCAGCTGGGGCACACTGAGGGCAGCTCCTCCTGAGAGGAGAGGAACAAGGTTGGGGGCGGGGAGCGGAGGGGCAGGTGGCCTCTGCAGGGGCTTGGAGGTTGTCCTGTGTGTAGATTAGTTTGGATGGTGACTTCAGGGCAGCGGGCAGCTTGTCCCTGCTCACGTCCTTCAAGAGTGGCCTCAGCCCCCTTGCCAGCCCACAGAGGGCAGAAGAGCAGCTGTGTCGTGACACAGACGGTCGCAATCTCTTCTCCACACAGGCTGTGCCCCTGGCTCATGTCGTGGCTCTCAGGGTGCCCGAAGGAGTCCTCCTTTGCTTCCCCCAAATGCTGGGTTCTCCCGGGTTCTCGTGCAGGAGCAAACCACACGGGCCAGACACAGACGCGTGTCCCACCTCGCACAGTAACTGTGCGTCGGTCTGCCGGACGAAGAGTGGCCTCCTGGCAAAGGCCAGTCCACCGTGACCATGCTCAGCTTCTTGGCACCCCACAGGTGGCTGTAACAGATCCCACTCATCTCTGCCCACCACCCCAAACTCAACATCCGCAAACGCTCCTGAAACACACGCCATGGCAAAGCTCTCTTGTACCACGATCCAGTCAGAGCTCCTGATTTGGTAAGCACTTAATTATTCCTCCTTTCAAAGTGGCAAGCCAGGGAAAACTGCCCGTGGGAATCTCACAGGGCTGTCTCCACTCCCCGGTGGTCTCATCGTATGTGGTCCCTGTCACTCGACAGTGGAGGTTAGGACAGACCCCTTCCCTCCCGCCAGGACATCGTCTCCAGGTGCCAAGCCAGAGCGCTCAGCGCCATCTCGCCCAGACACCTGCTTGTGACTCCCTGGAGCCCCAAGCCTCAGGCCCCGGCCCCCGCCCCCGCCGCGTCGCAGCCACCCACCACTTCCACAGGCCACACGACGCCCGTCGGGCTCTGCCGCGCCTCCGCTGCCTCCTCCTCTCCCCGACCCATCTGCTCATCCTGCTCCCGCCAGCGGGCCCGGGCTCTGAGCCCACCCTCTGTGCCCCCGGACACAGGCTGGTCCTCTTGCCAACATCTCAGCACCCTGCCAGAACGCGAATGTCCGAACGGCTCGAGGACCCACTCCCCATGCAGCTTCCTGTCCACCTGCTCGTGACTCGTAGGGAAAAGTGAACATCTCATTACCAGGTATTCACGACACACCCCTTCTGAGTGAGAGAACGACACCCACAGCTCCAACTGGAACCGGAACAAGACACACGGTGTGGCTCTTTTAAGCCGAGAGCAAGCTTGTTTAACGCACTTGTAAAAACTCACCATTTCTAGATCTCCATCGGCAACTGCTCTTAAAAGTTTTTCTACCTTAATAAAAGGAAAAAGAATATTAGAAAAGTGATTTTAATAATAAAATAATAATAGAAATTGGGGCCGACCCCATGGCCAGGTGGTTAAGTTCACGCTCTGCTTTGGCGGCCCAGGGTTTTGCCAGTTCGAATCCTGGACGCGGACATGGAGCCACTCATCAGGCCATGCTGAGGCAGCATCCCACATGTGACAACTAGAAGGACCCACAACTAAAAACACACAACTGTGTACTGGGGGGGCTTTGGGAGAAAAAGGAAAAATAAAATCTTAAAAAAAAAATAATAGAAATAATAAAAATAACATTCTGAAAACCTAGTGGCTTTCATTTGTCTCTTGATTTGTGGAGTTTTCACATCCCACCCAGTACCTTTCAAACTCAACCCTGAAACTGCTCAGACAGGACCCCCAGGAGGGTGTAGCATGCGCTGAACCATTAGCACTTGAGTCTCTAAAGTGACACTGCTGTTATGTGGCGAGGGTCGATGACAGTCACCTTGAAGCACAAGTGCTTCCCAAGAGGCCAGCCACCCTTCAGAGCGACACCTGTTCAGCCCTCCTTGTCTCCTGGCTGAGGGCACACCAGCGGGACACCCCTCCCGAGAATGACTCCAGGGCTCGCTCAGACTTTAGAGCGTGTTTCTCGTCTTCTCTGCTGTGGTTTCGCATCGAGCCAAGCTTACTGGGCCCTCCAAGAACAGGTCAGGGCTTGGGGGTGCAGGGGAGGAGGGCCCTGGGTGGAGCCAGTGAGGGTTCCCCATGCACAGGGGACGGGCAAAGGAACCGTGGCCCATCCATGCAATGGCCTGCTCTGTAGGCCAACAGTGGACAAGCTCTGAGACAGGTCAAATGGAAAGAAACCAGGCTATAAATCAGCCATTATAAAACGCAGTGTGGGAGTCCATGCAAATGTCTATGTGGATTTTGCAAGAAGTTGGGAATGAAACATAGCAGGTTAATGGGCGCTGATGGAGTGGAAAGAAGGGCAGGGAAGCTACATTGTAGAATTACCTTAAATCAGGGGACCTGTAGGTCCCTCTCTCTCTCACATTCACTCACACACACACTATCCACACAGCAAAGAGCTGCTGAGGGAGCAGACTGTGAGGGCGAGCAGGGTGACCACGCTGGGCTCCCCTCAGGGGCCGACCTCCCCACAGTAGACACGAGTGTGCCAGGAGCAGCAAGCAGGCCGACCGGGCGGCCCTCGGCAGGCCGTGGCTCTTTAACTGGTGGTCGTAACACAGGGCCGCCCAGCCCTAGTCTCCGCCCTCCCGCCTGCGAGCCTCACCTCTCTGTAGTCCTTCTTGGCCTCCTCTGGTCTGGAGCTCGCTGACACGGAGGAGAAGCTGGAGGTGGAGGACCCCTGGCTGACGGAATCCACGGAGCGCTGAGGGGGCTGCGCAGGGACCTGCAGCACGGGAACCCAACAAGAGGAGGGACGTGTTGGGGCCAGAGAGGAGACCCTGGTCTCAGAGGGCCAACAAGCACAGCCCCGGACACTCACCTCTGAAGACTTTTGCCTCCTTTCGAAGGACAGGTGCTGGGCTTCCATGATGGACAGAATCTAGGAGGACGAAGGGACATGAAAAGCACTGAACGAGATGGGTCGCCAAGTATCATCACCCATAACACCCCATGCCCACTTATCTCCTCAAAAGGTCACGCAGCCCAGCCACAGCCTTGGAGAGCCAGAGAAGCCAAGGCCCAGAGCGGGTGGGAACTTGCTCAGGATCACCCTAAGGCTGGCTTCCTTCCGCCGTACCACCGCTCCTGCTGTTCCACAGGAGCTGGTGCTTCCCACGAACGTGCTCAGAGGACAGGGGCAGCCTAAGACGGAGGGGCCACAAAGGCTGCCTTGTCTGGCCCCGGCTGTCTGTCCACAGGTATAAAGTGTGACCTTTGCACTGGCACCTACGTGTCTCAAGCCGGAGCAGCTCAGAACCAGGCCAAGAAGGCAGTGTGCCCCTTCCCTCTGCAGGCCTGCCTCTGGAAGGGGCCTTTGGTAGCAGCTACAGTGGCAGAGGGGCCGTCTGCTCCTCACAGGCATCTCAGGGCAAGGGTGGCACAGCCCAGTCCTGGCAGACTGGCCGCTGCACAGCTGACAGCTGTGGACGCACAGTAGGGCAGTAGGGCTGAGGCCCCCCCCCCAGGGGTGGGAGCAGGGGTGTACACCTTCTGAACCTGTGCTACTGTAGAGCCTATGTTAACAAAAATAACAATCATAAATAAGGTGGGTGGAGGAAACCTTGGAGGGATGGATACGTTTACGGCATCCATTGTGTGCCGGTCTCACAGGTGTATACTTACCTCCAAACTCATTGAGTTGTATATGTTAATTATGTGCAGCTTTCTGTAGTTGATCACACCTCAATAAAGTGGTTTATAAAAATATCAACCAAAACTGTGCTAGAAGACAAGAAGAGCAAACTGAAAGAACTCCCAAGAAAGAGCCTGAAGCTGTAAAAGGAGCCAGTAAAAAATCAAGAGGCAGAGGCAGGGCCTGTGGAAAGACAGGCAGCTGGAGAGCTGTGTTCAGACGGAATTGCTTGTGTGAGCCACAGATCAATGCTGTTCTGGACACAGCAGTCTCACGACCTTGGCTCCACTGCGCGTGGCCCTAGGCCTCCTCTGGCCAGCTGGCCAACACCATCTCTGAAAGCGTCCTTCAACCACAGCTGCTGCTGGGAGACGAGGCACGAAAAACTGGTCTCCATGAGCCCCTCCATCCCTACCCACTCACGAAGTGAGCTCTTTCACAACACGCTGCCCCGAACTACATGTTTCCCGAAATTACTGCCAGGAAGGGATGAGCAGTTCATGAACACATCACTTATAAGAGAAACGACATGATGTTCAAAAGTGGCCAATTAGAATAAGGTTTTTAGGAGCTGAGAGGGAAGAGACAGGAAAACAGGGCCCCGACACACTGCTTCCACGCCCCAGGCCAGGTCCCTGCTTTTCTCCGTCAGGGCCACTGTCCCCTCCCCTCCCCTCCAAATGCTCATGAAACAATAGCACTCGGAGGCCAGGGCAAACAAGGCTGGGAGCAGCTCTTGGAACAGCACCAAGAAAAACTGCTAGTAAACTGACAATAACATAAATAAGTAAAATCCATTAACAATCAGCGCCCAAACGCAGCAGAGAGGCTGTGGGCCAAGTTCTGTTCTCAGGCACTAATGCACGGTTTGCCCAGCATGGCCAAGACCTAATCGGTGGACACTGATTTTTAAGTCACATTACTGCTCCGAGATGAAGAAAGCTACCTTTGAGTTTAGCGCACACGCGAGGGGCGTTTCTTTCAGCCTGTTCTGGATCTCCGTGGACGCTCCGTTTTGTAGCAAAGTCTCTATGATGCCCTGGTATCCCCATCGGGCTGCTATGTGCAGGGGAGTGTCTCCTTTCTCGTTACCGATATCGAGTCTGCACGACTGCACATCGTAGTAGACCAAAGCCTTCACGCACTGCAAAGAGAGTGGGAGAGCCATCATGGACCCCCAGGCCGAGCCTCCGCAACGCCCGTGCACACCACAGCCTCAGCCTGCACTCACCACGCAACGGTGCAGGGACAGAGTCAGACCTCAAGGGGTCCCGGTTACCTGATCAGCACACATCATTCTTTCAAAAGAACCCAGCAGCCAATCAGTACGAAAAGGCTGAACAACACTGGGATGTAGGAACCAGGTGCAGGAAGGAGCCACCGGAGCAGCCCTGAGGCCGCTCTCCCACGTGAGGCCTGCCTGCAAGGCTGGCAGTCCCCTAACTGCTCAGACGGGCTCACTGCACCTAGTTGTTTGTGCGACAACGTGGCTTATGCGGAACACCTGCTTTCCTTCTCAGAGTCTGGAATTTGGGTACATGCTAGGCAGGGGGTGTTTATGTGACCAGCCTCCAGTGAAAATCTCAGGCCGAGTCCCTAAGGAGCTTCCCTGGTAGACAGCACTTCATGTGCTGTCACAACTCTTTGCTGGAGGAATTGAGCTGTCCTGTGTGACTCCCCTGGGAGAGGGGGCCCTTGGCAGCCTGCGCCTGGTTTCTTCCGGACCTCACCCCCACCTTCCCTCTGCTGATTTTGCCTTGTGTCCTTCCGTGGAACAAATCAGAGACAGAGGACAACTACATGCGGAGCCCCATGAGTCCTCCTAGTGAATCGTTGAACCTGGGGTGCTCTTGGGGACACTAACACAACACACATAATAAGTGATTGCTGTGTAGCGACTATAGAATGGGCTAGATCTACATTTATCGGCCTAGAGGATTTCCATGATGTACTGTTAAGTTAGGAAGGCAAGCTGCATAAACATGTGCAGGGTGTGGTCCCGTTTTTGCACACCAACCACTAACCGAGCCTCAAGCATACGTATAAGTTCACCTGGATGTCACTATGGAGAGAGGGGAGGAGAGAGGAGTTAGCAAAAAATAACACACACACACAGGTAAATATTAAGTGAAGATGGAAATTACAAGACTCCTTGATATTACTATAAAAATTGAATATGAACAAAGGTAAGAACCAGATGGAAGCAGGGATAAATGAAAATGATTTAATTTCAGGATAAGATAATGGGCAATTTAAGTTTTAGATTTCTGTTATTTCAACATAGCATCTGTAACAAATTTAAAATTTTTTTTTTTTTTGAGGAAGATTAGCCCTGAGCTAACATCTGCTGCCAATCCTCCTTTTTTGCTGAGGAAGACTGTGCCTGAGCTAACATCTGTGCCCATCTTCCTCTACTTTATATGTGGGACACCTGCCACAGCATGACTTGACACACAATGTGTAGGTCCACACCCAGGATCCGAACCAGCGAACCCCAGGCCACCAAAGCAGAATGTGCAAACTTAACCATGGCACCACTGGGCTGGCCCCAAATGTTAAATATTTTTAATTAAAAAAATTACACACCAAATGTTCCAATAATTATCAACACAGAACACTACATTAAACTAATGAGTGTCACGAGAAAGGGTGAAGACAGCGTCTTCCAGACGAGGAGCGCCACTTACGTCTTCGTGGCCGTAGGTGCAGGCCAGGTGCAGAGCGGTGCAGCCGTTGTTGTCCTGCACCTCGGGGCTGGCTTTGTAGTGCAACAGCAGCAGCTGCGAGGAGAGGAGAAGGCGTGTGAGCACCCACCCAGCGCAGACACGCCCCTCCTCAGGAATGGCGGCCAGGGTGCCCCAGGGGAGGCCACTTGTTTCCGTTTGGATCTCATTCACCTACGCTACAGTCACTCTCACCCTCCCTGACACACGCGCAGAGATCACAGGTCTACAGCCCCACCCTTCTTCCCCCGTCATCGTTTCAAATCCACACCTCCCAGCTCTGTCCTGCAGACCCACGGGGAGGTGCCCCAGACTCGCGGCCCATCCTGTGCAGCCGCAGCAGAGTGCGTGTGGAACAGAGGAGCGCAGAGCCCGGCTCTGCCCAGCCCGAGAGCACCTGCACGCACACGGGCCCCTGCCGGGGCCACTCCTGCTCACCGTCACGCTCTGATAGCCCTTCTGGCAGGCGAGATGAAGCGGAGTGGCCCCGTGGTAGTCCGTGGCATTCACCACAGCGCCTTTGGAAACCAGGAGGTCGATGAGGGCCGCCTGCCCTGCAGAACAGAAGGACGTCGCCATGGAGAAGGCAAGAGAAGAGGCTCTCCAAACCCCAAATGTGAAGCCACATTATTTTACCCTCTTAGTCCCTCTATGCCAGAAGTATTTTTCTGCCTGAGAGGAACCAGACTGACATCAAGTCAGACTCTGCAGGTTCAGGACACTTTGGAGTGGCCCTTGGAGGGGACTCGGCTCCAGTCCACCTCTAGGCAAGAGAAGTTAGTGGAAAAGAGTCTTAGATGCCCACAGAAGATTCCACGGTTCCTCAAGTCATAGGATGGAATATTACACAACTATTAAAAATACTCACAAGACGAGATGTTCTTATATGTTGCCAAGTGAAAAAAGCACAGTGCACAACAGCATGATCCCAATAATCTCATATATTTTATAAACATGTACACACAAGCATGCCAAAATCCAAGACACTCACAAATCCAAACCATCTCTGGGATATAAGATGGCAGGTGATACTGGAGAGGTCTGTGTTTCCCACTTGGAATGTGTACTTTACCAAACAGTAAAATTAATTTTTTAAAAGCAGGACCATAAGAACCCTAATTCTCAGACCATGCTGATAGCTTGGATTCAAGCTGTCCCTTGCTGGACCACCAGCCCACAGGTAGTGTCAGACATCCACATAGTGAGAATACAGACAGGCGCTTTCAGCCCAGGCGCAGCACACAAAGGCCCTCGGGGGGTGGACCCATGACGCAGCCCCTTCCACCACCCCAATCCACAGCCCCTGGCCAGCCAGGCCATGGCTGGGCTACCCTTGGCTCCCTCCCTTTGCCTTGAGAGCCCACAGAGGCCAATCCAAGACTACATACCACAGAGGGCAGCCACATGGAGCGGTGTATGACCCCTGTCATCTCTGGAGAATGGAGTGACAACTGAGGGATCATTCAGCCTCCTAGGAGAGAAAAAAGATACAGAAAAATGCACCCTAGGAACGGCATGGCAAAGCCTCTTCCCGACCAGGATGGCCATGGGTCCTGGGACTGGAAGACAGAGCTCAGGGTGTGATCCAAGCTCTCTTCAGCTTGGTCTCCTGCAGAGAGGCATCTAATTCCAGGGTCCCTCCCCTCATCCCACCTCAAAGTAGCCTGACAAGGGTAAGGGGAAACCAAAAGGCTGCTGGGAGAAGGTGACACTCCTCCCATCCTAAAAGGACTTTCCGAGGCTGGGCAGGTGGTCTGCCGACCCAGCTGGAATCCAGCCCAGTGGTGCCAAGTATTTTTAGGACCTTTGTTCCATCTGATTCTCCAAACAGGCAGAGGGTACTGTCTCCACTTTACAGCAGAGGAAGCAGCGAGGATAAGTTCCTCATTTAAAGCCACATGGCAGATAAGTGGGCAAGTCCCGCCTGGGCCCCGTGTCTGCGCTTCCTGGCACGCTGAGCCTCTGCGAGGACCCGCGTACCCGGAGACCAGCTGCTCGCAGTCGTCACAGAAGCACAGAGGGTGACACATCTTTTGGACAGCATCTTTGTCTTGGTCTTCTTGGCTCAAAAGTCTTTCCACTTCCTTCTGGTTACCCGATGCAATGTGCTAAGAAGTGACATCAAAAACATTACTGACATCAAGGAATTATTTGCTTTTTAAGGCATGAAGTTTTTGATGTCCTTAGAGAAACACGTGTCTGTGTATGGAGGGATGAAATGACTTGCTCTCTGGGATTTGTTTCAAAATAATCTGGGCGGATGGGGGAGTGGTGGGGAAAGAGGAAACAAGACTGGGAGATGGCTACGTAGGGGTTTGCTCATTCTACTACGCTCTTCTATTTTTGTAAATAATAGAAAATTCCCATAATTAAAAAAACATCATCACAAAATTTCCAAAGCAACAGGAGTCGAGGGGCAATGCATCCCGAACCTCAGTGTGGATGTGGACGCTCACTAGGACGAGCCTTGGTCCCGTCCTCTGTGCTCTAAGGGAGCCTCAGCTGGGGGGAAAGGAACAGCTGCAATTAGCAGGAGACCTCACGGACAAACCAACCCACAGGGCTCACCCCGTGATTCCTGGACGTGCTCCCCTCAGGAAGTGAGATATTCTGGAGAGCACGTGGCCCCAGGGGGCTCTCCAGGTCCTCCATGGAACCCACTCTGGCTCCAGGTAGCCTGGAAGCATCAGCAGGCTCCCCTAGGAGGTAGGTCCTCACCCAGCTCTCGCTGACTGCCTAGAGCCCCTTGCTAGCCCCCAGCGGTCGGTCAGGTCTGAGCAGGGAGCTGCCTGCACATGCCATGTGAGCAAACCACCACCGGCGCTGAGCCCCGAGCCTGGGGCTCACAAACATTTGTGACACGGGCTCCAGGAGCCCAGGAGCCGCATCAGCTCTGCCAGGGCTACCAGTGAGGTGCCCTTGAGCCAGCCCTGAAGAACAGGTGGACAGCCTGCACCCTCCGAATGCCGTCCAGCGTGGCTCCAGCGCAGCACAGACTGGGGGAGACAGGCCGATGTGCTGACCCCGGCCGTCAGCCTCAGCACTCCCGCCGCCCGCTCCGACAGAGCACAAACACACGGCAGTGTTTGACCACGCAGAGCGCCCTGCGGCTGCCGCGGCTGCAGGCACGTGGAGAGATGAGGGCTTGTCACACCTCTGTGCCCACAGGACTGCGTGGTGTCTTACCTTAAACAGGCAGTCAGTGGGAGTGGAAGTCATCTGAGACAGCAGGCTCATTCTCTGCTTAAGGAACAGTCTGTCACCAAACCCCTCAGCCTCCTGCAGGAAAAGCCCAACAAGCTGTTTAATCACCATCACGAGATGCCAGCGCAGACCCTTGAGAACAGACGACCCAGGAACAATCTCGGCCGTTTCCCTCAGAACAGAGTCAGCGGGGCCTCGTCCCCTCACTGAACCAGAGAGCTGGCGCGCATCAGGCTGGGAGCAGGGCTTCCAGTGGGGCCCGCGGAGAGTGGTAGCACACGGGCTGTGTGTGCGTGTGTGTGTGTGTGTGTGAGGGAGGGTGTCACCTCTAAGTGTGGAACGTAACACGCTCACACCATCCTCCTCCAGATGGAAACCAGCACCATCCCGGCCTCCTCCTCTCAAACCTCTGTCGTGAAGCCTGCACAGCCCTGGCCCCTGCCATTTGAGCTGGGCCTCCAGAGAGGAAAACCGCCTGACAGGCTGGCCTGCACCTCCCTGTGTCAGCCAGCAGGAGAGTGCCGGGTCTTGCTTCATGGAATCCTTGTTAAACAGCAGACAACATGACCACTGGCCCAAAGGCCAATAAGATACTGCGGTCCACCCCAACTAATACATTCAGGTCTTCATATTACAGATAATGTTCACCCACATACAAAAAACTAAAAATGCATCCTCCCTTTATGAGGTAATTTCTAGTAAGACACTTCAATGCTCACTTGAGCACGTGCCATTCAAGTGTCTAATGACAAATTAACCTCCTCAAAGAGAGGCTTGGTGGGAGGTAAAGAGGCTCTTTTCCAGCCAGCTGCTTCTGGAAGAACTCACCAAACCCTGACAAACAGTGGGATCAGGCTCTGCTTACAGCCTCTAAGTTCTGACTGAGAGGTCCAGCTAAAGGGAGAGCCCACAGCACCTCGGGGGGTACCGTTTCCGGGGTCCGCTGTCAGCAGAGCCCCTCCCACCAGCTGCCCTAAGAGGGTGAACTTGGCGAACAAGCACCAACTCCCAGAATCAGAGCCACTTCTGCTCCCAGCCACTCTACGCCATATAATGTTCCAACAACCTGCTTTGTAAGGTCCGAGAAACGTCAAAGACATAGTGATCATTTAGGGGCACTTGGGGCTCTGTCCTCAAGGCCGGGTGACTATTTGCAGGGCAGTGACGAAGAGAGGCAAGTGTTCAGGCCTGAGTCTTCGGGGAAGAGTGAGCTACCAGAAGAGACAGCACATGAGCTCAGACCCACCTGGGAAAGAGGCAACAGGCCTCATCAGAGACCCAGTGAGTGAGAAAGACCAGGAGCCGGCAAAGCTGGAGCCAGGAGGGGCAGACTCTCCCAGGGTCCCCTGCCGGCTTCAGAAGGGAAGCCCCTCAAACACTCCCCGAATCCCACTTGGAATATTTTCGGAAGTAAAAGTGGGGGTGGGAAGCCGACTGATACTGTTTGGTCAGCCACCTCCCTACACATCAGCCAAAGGCCTTCAATTGCTGGCCTTACTGCCTCCATGCCACAGAAAGTAAGCAAGCAGGATGGCCGTGGTAAAGTCTCGGGGCAGCAAGAGGACAGAGCACCCTCAGGAGGCGAGCACCTCTCTCCAGGTGACAAGCAGCACCCTGATCCCATCAAGAAGCACCAGGCGATTCCTCTGCAGGGTGGTGGAGCCAGCAGGGGAGCAAAGTCTCAGACCGATCAGAGGAAAGAACCCGAAGGGGACCAGTCCAGGCACCACGGGAACAACACATGTTCCTAGAACCTCACAGGTGACAATCCAAACTAGGAAATCTTACTCCCCAACTAGGGAGTGAGCAGCAACTCTGCTTCTGCAGACATACGTGCATGTAGAGGGACAGGTGCACGCACGTGTACATTCCAGAACGTCAGTGATTTCCGTCTAAATCAGAAAAGTTTCCTCAAGAGTCACAGGCAGCTAGAGTTCAGATGAGATGGACAGCCCCTAATTTCACCCGCTTGTGCACAGGAGATCAAATCAGACCCCAGACCAGAGCAGAACTAAATTCTTCAGCGAGCACGATACTGTCAGGCTAGATGCCAACAAGTGAGGCAGGTTCTCAGAGTTTAGTCAAAAATAAAACTGCAGAGGCACAGAAAAAAGACATATTCCAAAATGTTAATGAAAGTCATCTCCAGCTAATGAGTTTATGAGAGGCTTTCGTTGTCTTCACTGCAACTTTATATATTGCAAATATTGTTTATAAGCAAATAACAGTCTTCTCATCAGAAAACATAAAACTATTCTTCTGGGGAAAACAGAGTATACAATACTCTTTACAACATAATTTCAATTACATAAAGCATACATTGCTAAGAAAAGACTGGGAAATACATAAACACGTTAAGGATGAATGAATTCAGGGACAGGCCCATGTTCTTGCCCAGATGGTTTAACTTACCATTACTTTGGGAGATTCTAACATCAGTAGAAAATTAAGATCAAGAGAATGTTGAATCCTCAAGACTCTTGGTTTCTAATACAGAAACCTCTTCATTTTACTAATTTCAACTTTGTGATTTCTGTGAGCACCATCATGCCTTGCTGGTTGGTATATAGTGAAATAGGCCAGCAAGGCAATGGTGGTTTAAGATTCTCACAATTCACATAGAAATATAATTGCCTCCCCCAGCCAAAGCTCACCAACCAAGAGAATAATACTAAGGTTCTGAGTCCTAAAATTCCATACATTAATAATCTCGTTTCTTGCCTAGATATCCAAATTCACCATTTCTAGCTCCCCTTCTGCCCTCGTGCTTCTGAGGATAACGAGCACCGAGGAAGCAGGACACGAACACATGAGTCCCGATCAGAACCCGCCAACTTCTACAACTAGTTGAGTGCTGGGTGTTCAGTCCACTCAGAGGTTGTCAAGCCTCACAGCCCTCAAACGGCCGAGGCTCATTCTTGGGAGACCATTTAAGAATCCCACCACTCCAACCTCAGAACCCTATCAAACCCGTCAGGACACCCCCAAAGACAGCCCAAGGCAGGAAGGAGAGCTTACGGGCGGTTTAGCAGAGAGGTTTCCTTGCCGAATGTATTCGATTGCAGCCTCAACTGAGGTCAGGCAGTATCCCAATTCATCTTTTGCTGAGCTGCAAAATCTGAAGTTTTTGATATAACTCAAATTTGCCATCCTAACCAAAAAAAAAGAGGAAGAAGCTTTATTGTTGTCTACTAAATGAACACTTCTGCAGAAACAATGCTAGTGGCTTGGGTGACTGGAGTCAGTCAGCTCCAGGAGCACTGACTGCTACCCCCTCACTCTCTATTTACAGAGTGTGTGCAATTAGGAAACTAAGTAAAACTACTTGTTACTTTCCTGGAATAAGGTAGTTTTTAGAAAGCTGATTATCGTAAAGTGAACTGTGGGTTCCTGTGGGAAGGGAAGGGCTTTGGATCCAGACAGAACTGGACTCAGCTTCCTGCTCAGTCACTGACTAGCTGTGTGTCTCAGAACGAGAAATATCAGCAATTTGGGCCTCAGTCTCCCCATCTATAAATGGAATGATAGCCAACCCCCTGGGGAATGAAGGCTGAGCAGGCAATTACAAGAACAGTTGCTCTGATGAGCAAGTGACTCATAAGAGACGCTCAGTTTCCTGGAGTTACACTAAAACCACCAGAGCACTGTGCTGCCATTTTGAAAAAGTATTTTAACAAAAGAAGATTACCAATTAGGGATCTCTGTTTTCACAAGCAGGTATAACAGGACTGACAGCAGGTCATCAGCACACATGGTCTCCAAGTTAACTGCAGGGGAGACATGTTCAAAGCCATCAGGAGACGAGGACGGACCAGCAAGCGTATCAACTCCCCACCACCATCCAACCCACAAAACCACAGCCCAGTAAGACTACACATCAGGGAGAAATTCAATTGCGCAATTTCCTTTGCAGTGTCCTGAATAGATGTCAGATTCAAGGAGAATACGAATGCCTAGCGTCCTCAGAACATGTGCAAAAGAAGGAAGTTCCAAGCAGACCAGCCCTTGGCCCCTTGCGGGACGGCTGAGAGCTCAGGGAGGTCAGTGACAGTGGACACAAGCAAAGGGGTGCCCAACAGCCACCTCCAAGAGCTTCTCTCCTCCTGAGATCATTTCCATTTTATACACTACGGAGACTAATGCTGGCGTGCAGCTTGACTTTATTGTTTTCATTTTGAAATTCTGTTTAAGTAATCCATGCGCACGTTTAGAAATTCAAACAGTACAAAAGAGTGAACCATGTGCATCCTTCCCAGCCCTGCCACCAGGTCTTCCTTCCCAGAGGCCACTGCTGCCGCTTCCTGCACCTTTCCAGAGACAGTCTCCAAACTCACCACCATGTATGTGGATGCACAGCCCTCCCCCTCTTTCTGTGATGCTGCTGAAAGTGTACCAAATACACTTCTGTTTATTTCATTTAATACGCTTTGAGGACCATCCTCTATCTGCACACATACATCGGCCTCCTCATTACTTTTTCTTAGCTTATTTTGTTTTGTTTCACTTTTTATAACAGAAAAACTTAAACATACACAAAATTAGGAGAACAGTCTAACAAACAGTTGAACTGCCATGTACCTATCACCAGCTTGGCTCATTTTTGAGGTGGCTGCTTCTCTGCCACCATTTTCTTACCCTAGTCTTGCCTAACCCCCGTCTCCCACCCCCCATTACTAGGCAGCCACTCATCAGCACAGACTCCGGGGGCTCACACTGGATGCTCGGCTGCACGCCAGCCCATCTGTATGATCCTTTAAGACAGCACTGCTCCTTAACAGACTTTTGCATCTGGCCGTATGCATCGACCCCATTGCCAGGCCCCTTCCCCGAGCACAAACCTCTGTGACTAGGAGACTGCGTAATGAGCTGCACGACCTTTCGCAAACAAACCAGCTTCTGTTGTGGGGAGGTGCACTTGTTCAGCTGAGCCAGCTCCCTCTTTGCACGAGGTATGTTGAAGCTGTAAAATCAGTGGGAAAGTGACAAGACCCCAGTGTGAGGGCCCTTCTTCCTTGATCTAACACGAAACCTCAGATTTACAAACCACAGGTAATGAAAAACAAAAACAGAAACTCAGAAGGAATCTGACTCAAGTCAGTGGCAAAACACTGCTGCTCTAAATGTCCCATTCAGGCTGCCAGGTGACATGGCTGCCCCAGAAAACTAGAAAAAAATCAAACATCCTCAGTCCCAGAGTAAAATGGCCCAAGAGAGGAAAAAAAAGTTGAAACATAAACCCTTTAGATATTTTCGTATCCTCGTGAAACTTAAAGTAATTCAAAGGAGGTGCCTCCATGGCAGGGTTCCCTCAGACGGGCAGGTGAGGAGAGATGTCTGCATGCAGGACCCACCTGGGCGATCACGTGCCCACCTGGAGACCAGTCCTACAAAACCTCACCCCCTTTCGCTCCCACGCAGCCGGCATGCTGGCAGACAGGCGGAGGAGGTGACGCCTACAGTCAGCTGCCAATTCAGCCCTTTATCTCGGGTCCTCAGTAAGAACCAAGTCAACCCAGCGTGCTGCCACTGCTGCTTCCAGCAGAGACGGCGCCCCAGCCTCAGGACCCTGAGCTGCCACAGCTCAAACCCTCACCTGAACTCAGGCTTCACACCAATATCTTTCTGCTGAAGGTCTTGAAGGCTTCTCGTGATTTTGTTAAAGGCAGCATCCTAACAAGAGATTTTAATGAAGCTTCAAATTTCTTCAAAAGCTCAGAATAGAACAAGGCTTCCCCCTGGATGATGATGATGATTTAGAACCTACCTCGCTGGCCTCCATGGTCCCGACGTATTTAAAGATCAGATCATAAATATCGTGCTGGACGTACACCTGTGGAATCAACGGGCCCAGCTCAGGGTGGGGCTGACAAGGAGACCCCCAGCCCGGCCGCCTTCTCTCCCCGCGCCGCCCTGGCCGCCTACCTCCACCGCTTGCTTCATCAGCGTCATCTGGGCCTCCTGCTTGGCGAGCACTTTCTGGAGGACACAGAAAGTACTGTTAAAGAGCTGAGATTTGCACACGGCAAACCGCCACCCTCTCTTTCGAAAGCCCTGCAGCTCACCAGGTGGGAGTCCCTCAGCAGCTGCTGGAGGCATTTGGTGTAGAGAGCGTTCACCGAGTCCTGCACAACAGAGCAGAGAGACGGGTCACTCTTGTCACCCGCGGCCGCCACCCCCAACCCAGAACCTGTAAGGCAGCCGGAGCGAGGAGAGCATTCACACGAGGTACTTCCTAGTGACAATTATGTGATTTTTCTCAACTTTTTTTTAGGTGTATATGCATTAAGAGTAGTAAAAAATTCCCCGTGGGGTTAACATAGATCACAGCAATATTCATTTTTACACTTCTGCATGATTTTCAAGTTTTCTACAGTGGCTGGCACTACTTTTAGAGTTAAAAGAAATATTCAAACAAAACTTTCAACAGTGGAGGCAGCAAAGTTTCAGAGTCAACTGAGGGATCCCAGAGCTGTGAATGGGCCTGAGAAGGGCACGCCTGGCAAAGCAGGACACAGCTACTGACTATGTGATGACGGAGGCTCTTCCTTTCACACTCCCTGAATGTTCGCTGGAAAGAGGTGATGTTCCTGTCAAATCTCTCCGAGTGTCTTCCCAAAAACTCTCTCACATCTTCGATGGTTTTCAGAGAGAAGGAATCTGAGGGTGTTGAAGGCTCCTCTGAAAAAGAGACAGAGGGTCAGGCCGGCTAATGCCTTCACTGTTTCCTAACGGGGGAAATGCCACATGCTTTGCCCTGCTCCCCTAGGGTCTGGGGCCCCATCTTCCAGGGGAGGACAGGGATGACCTGATTTCAAGATATTGCCCAGGAGCAGCCCACTTACAGGACAACCCAGGGCCCAGAGAGCCGAGTCCTCTTGAAGCCCTTTCCTAGGACAAACCTGGACTATTTGGGACCTTTGGTATGACTCATGAGGCTCTGGTGAAGAAGCCTTGATTGTGGACAATAAGAGCCTCAGAGTGCATTTGGCACATCGATTGTTATATCAATTTCCTGGAACAAGTGAAGAATTATTATTCATTAAAAATAATGAGATCTCAGAGAGGCACAACAGTGGGGCTGAGTGGGTACTCCTGCTGTAAGAGCTAGCCCTAAAGCTGAGGCTCAGAGACAGAGCCAGGGCTGCCACTTCGCACAAGTCCACGGGGCGACATGTACATTGAGGTCTATGTGAATGATGCCTCCTGGAATTGTGTAATACCCAACCTGTGCAACCATACGCAGCAGCCCCAATCCACATCTCCTTAGCTCAAGACAACTTCTCTTTTTCTTTTCTGCTTTTTAAAACCCCCCCATTCTATTTTTTTTTTTTTGCTGGGAAAGATTCGCCCTGAGCTAACATAAAGGTGACTTTTTAAGTTCTATGAGGAATTATTGTAAACAGTTACACAGGATTCTAGTGGGTTCTTAAATATTTTATGGGATGTTTATAACAGCTATGTCAGGAGGAAGTTCAACAAACACATTTCTCCAAAACAGGAGAAAGGGGTTTTCTCCCAGAATACCTGAGCTCTCTCTCTTTTCCAAAGGATGAGCTATACACAGTATGCTGAAACTTTCTTCTTTTTCATTGTAGAAAGTTTCTTCAAAGAGAATGGGCACTGAGAGAAGACAGGCGAAACCAGCTCCTAATTTAATCCTGTTTCCTTGTATAAAGACATCCTGGAACAAGAGAGCATCACTGCACCAGCGGCCGCTGGTGACCGCTGACCCCTCAGCCTGGCTCCCGACCGGCACGTCGCCCAAGTGGCCACCGCAGCTCCAGCGTGGTCTGCGGGGACAGGCACACTCCCTGTTGCTTTTTTGAGACTAAAATGCTTTCTTTCGTCTCTGCTCACCCCGTAGCTGTGGCTACACAGCACCCTGATCCTTCTGAAAAGTGGCAGCAGAAAGGCATTAAGCTGCTCCTTAGAGAAGAACACCCGTACCTCCCGGGGAAGGAGAAGGCGGGGCGGCTCTGCTCCCCGAGGCGAGCTCCGCGCCGCGGGGCCCAGGGCAGGCCAGCATGGTAAGCCTGACCCCTCTGCTCTCTTTGTGCATGTGGGGACCCCGAAAGAACGCATAAACTAACAAGTGATGGGCACCTGTGGTGAGCAGTTCCCTGGCAGGAAAATCAGGTCACGCCTCGTGAGCCACGGGGCTGCTGCCCCCCAGCTGGTGGCCTGGCAACCCCATGCCCTGCCCCTCCACGGTGCCTCAGTGCCCACAAGCCCCAGGGGCTAGGTCAGAGGGGCCAAGTGCGGCACCCACCCCAGGAGAAGGCAGCATGGCCCCTCCCCTGACTGGGGTGGGCTGGGGACCATGGCCAGTCCCGACTGGGAAGGGGACCTCCCGCTCTCAGAACCCATCTGCTTCCACTCAAATGATGAGAAAATGCAAGCCCAAAGCTGACATCGACGATGACACAGACGCACACTGTGTGCCTCCTGACCCGAGGCACCGAGAAAGTAAAACACCCTTCCGAGGCCTTCCTGCCCAAAACGCACGCCTACGGTGCACCACGAGGGAACTGAGACCCCACTCTGAGGGGGAGGCAACAGGGCAAAGCAAAGACGTCAGTGTCACAGAAGACCAGACACACCGAGGACTGCTCCAGACTGAGGGAAGCTAGAAAGACCAGCACCTGAAGGCGCTGCATGATTCTGGGTCTAAAAAGAAAAAATGTGTTCTTTGCTATCAAAGGATGTCATTAGTATAATGAGCATAATTTGTCTAAGGACAGTATGTCGGAGAACAGCGTTCTATCATTGCAAAATTTTCTGAGTGTGATCACCGTGCTGCAGTCACGTAGGAAATACACACTGTTTTGGAGTAAAGGGACATGCTATCTGCAACTTAGTCTTATTCCTTCTGAAAAATGTTCAGAGAAAGTCATAATAACGTGTGCGTGTGCACATGCATGCGTATGTGGATACTCTCCCTCAGAGAGAAAGAGAAGACGAACATGGCCAAAATGCTAACAGCTGACCAATCCACGGGGATGGTATACGAGAGTTCTCTGTCCTTTACTGAAACTTTCTGCAGGTTTGAGATTATTTCAAAGCAAAAAGTTTTTAAAAAACAAAAGATTCATCCCTGATGTCCACTGTGTGGCCAAGAAACCGGCGAGCTCCCAAGGGCACTGGGATGAACCAGCCCACCCCGACAGGCCTCGGTGTGGAGCTGCTGTGCGACACCCCGCTCCCGCAGAAGCCCGTGGCTGGGGAGGGGGCCCAGCCACTCCGCACCCTCCGAGGCCACAGCCAGGGCCCTGCTCACCACCTCCATCTCCTCTCTCCTCAGACCCAGGGGCCCTCCAGCCCCTCCCACAGGGCTGCTGACTGTCAAAGCCATCACTGAACACAGACAGGCGAGGCTCAGAAGCCGATTCTCTCCCCGCCCCCATCCTCGGAGGGAGTGACCCTGGGCGACCCCCAGAGAAAGGAATACCTTTCCATTTAAGGTCTGGAAGTGCTCTTCCACTGGTCTCAGAACATAGGACTCGAACTGACACGCAGACTGAACACTGCTGGACAGGCTTCCTTTGCAGGGTACCAACACCTGGAGAAAAAGAAGTGGGGTGAATGCTAGAGAGATGTATCGTCCACAACAGGATGTATCCAAAGACGCCCCAGCTGGAACTGCTGTGGGGACCCGCCAGCAGAGAGAATGCCTGGGGTCACTCACCACAATGGCAGCAGCTGGGGCCAGCTGAGTTAATCTGTCGTGGTTGTGATGGAAGCCGCCGGTCTCCACCCTGGCAGAGCGAGGTGGCACATGGCCTCCTCCGTCTCAGAGCTGCAGAGGGGTGGGCTCGTTCCCACACCTGCTGGGCCCCCGCCACTAACCCCAGGGGCCCCGGTCTATTCTCAAGAGCTCAGGAACGATTCCAGATGACACAGGAATAGTTTGGAAAGTACGGAGAAGTAAAACTAAAAAGTCACACGTAACCCCACCACCTGAATGACAACCCTGCACTTTGAAGACAGTTTCCTCCTCACATTTTCCTGTTGTTGTTTTAGGCTACCTGTGATCACAGTCTGTAATACCAGCCACAGGAACAAGTCTCCTACTGCAGGCTGCCACCCTCACCAGGATCTCTCAGGTGCCAGCCTCTCTCACTGGAGCAGGCTCCATCTGAAACATGCATTTTGGTCCAGACATGGCCGCCACGCTGACCGGGCACCAGCTTCCCAGCTCAACACAGTGGTGGTGGGAGACGGACTCTCATGCCACCTTCTGCCCTGGCAACCACGTGCGGACCCGCGCTCGGTTCAGGGACTCATGTCTAAGAGGAATCTCCCAGACTCGAGCGCACCTGGCAGGAAGATGACCACGGCGGCCAAGTCCCTCAGAGCCCCATCTCCTAAGCAGCCCAGCACAAAGCAAATGGCTTCCGCACTGTCCCCACCATACAGACAAGGAAACCGAGGCTCAAGGGAGTGAAGTAACTTGTCCAGGGTCACACAGCCAGTGAACTCCTGCCGCCTTCCTGACCACTGCGCCGTCCTGCTGCCTCCTGGAGCCATGGTGGAAGCACAGCCCCACGCCCGCTGGAGTTCCTCTGCAAAGACTGCGTGAAACTCTGGGCCTTCGAGAGCAGCAGCTGGCATGAGCTTCCTCAGGCAGGGCAGAAAGAGCTGCACGGCCTCTCTCCCCACGGAGGGACAAGCCAAGTCCTCACTGCAGGGAAGGGAGGCCCTGCGGCTGGGAGAACACAAGCCTGGCTGTGAAGCGGCCTTGCTCCTCCCCAATCAAGACTGGATCCGGCCAAGATCTGGACTCGACTCCTGATCTCAGGAAACACCACAGGGGACCATGCGAAACACCACAGGGCTGCACCTGGCAGAAGCCCGAAGGCAGGAGCACCGGGATCAATGACACGGATAGGAAAGGAAGAAAACGCAGAAGGGGAGACAGAGCCAAAGGAAACCTAAGGCTGCGGGGATGGTCTCACAGGTTCACACACGTCGAGGCTGACAAAGTCCCCACACTCGGCACAGGCAGGCCATGAGCCACGGTGCAGCTCAGTAAAGTGGGGAGGAAAAGAGACTTAAAAGACTTCTCAACCCAGTACACTGTGTGGATCTCCTCTGGACCCTATTTGAACAAACCAACTGTGAAACAAACCAACAAATAAATTATCAGATGACTCGGGAAATTGGAACAGTGACTAGATATTTGACAAAACTGAAGAATTATTGAGGAATTTTTTAGCTGTGATAATGAGATTGTTGTTACATTTTTTAAGAGAGTCCTTATCGTTTAAAAATACACTCCTTACACCACTCGTCAGCCATGCTGTGGCAGCTGCCCACATGCAAAACAGAGGAAGGTCAGCACAGACGTTAGCTCAGGGGGAATCTTCCTCAGTTAAAAAAAAACAGAAAAAACCCACTCCTAAATATTTAGAGATGAAATCGTATGACAACCTTATATAAATTTCTGGGATTTGTTTCAAAATAATCCAGTGGCTGAGGATGGAGGGCAGGAAGGGGTAGAAATGAGACGTGACTGGCCATTGAACTGAGCACAGTTGAAGCTGGGTGATGGGTGCATGGGGCTCATTATACTATTCCTACTTTTTTATGTTTGAAATTAAACATAATAATTTTAAAATTTTAATAAAAGCAAAACTTAAAATAAAGAAGGAAAATGAAGGCCCTCAGGTACGAGCGTCAGGGCTCCCAGGAGGACTCACGGCAGCAGGGAGCACAGAGAGAAAGAGGGTGCTGCCACCTGAGAGTGGCCATAGGCAAGGGACTGGCACGAACGGACCTAGGGGACGTCTAATGCCCAAACTCAGAGAGGCCACGAGATGGCCCCACTGCCGCTTTATGGATGGAGGAGTCACACAGCCCCACATGAGGAAGGGAACTTCGGAGACCTCCACCCCAACTGTGATTGCATTGTTTACCTGGAAGCATGCTCCTTCTCCACCTCCCTAACTCGAACAAAGCAAGACCAGCTCCTGCTGCACTGCATCCCCATTACCGAGCACATCACTCAGCATACAGGAGGTGCACGGTCAAGATTCGCTGAGCGGAGAGGGAGCCCTCCAACTTCAAGGACCCCCAGTTTTCAGGCAGGCCATGCTGGCCAGAGCATTTCACCGCAAGCAGAAGCCAGAGGCTGGCTCTCTCCGGCTCCATCCGTCTCCACCAGAGTCCTGCTCGGGCAGAGGAGGAGGCGGGACAGGCGGAGGGGGCAGAGCAGCTCTGAAGCTGCCCTGGGGGCTGGGGTCACGTGACCAGGGGCTTCAAGAGAGCGCTTCAGACAAGGTCTGGAGTAGACATCATGAAGTTTCAACAGCCTATGTGGGATACACATAGTTTACAATTAACAAGTAGACCCTAAGGTGGGGACCTACTTATTTCAAAGCTTAACAATAAAACTTTTTATTCTAGCCCTTTTGTGAAGAATTTTTAAAATAACGGTAATTAAAGACAAGACAGTAGAATAAAAGCAGGAATCAGCATCCGTGCCACCTACTCCAGGGTGCCCTCCTGACTCCTCCCTAGGCTGGGTTAGGCATTCCTCCGGAGCCTGTGATGACTTCTGTCCTCACACGCATTCCTCTGTCCTGCAAACAGCCTGTTTCTGGAGTTCCCTGAAGGCATGCCGTGTTCCCCACTCATCCGTGTAACCCTGGAGCCCAGCACAGGGCCTGGCACACAGGAGACGCTCAGTGAATGTTTGTTGGATGGATCCGTCCTGAAGGAATCCTGAGAACTGGAATATGGCCCTCCATGCCCTTAGCGGGGCTGTCCGGGTATTTTACTGGAAAGTCAGTTCTTTGGAACTTGGAAGACATGCTGCTAGATTCCCAGGCTAGCCCTCAAAAGCCTGCATACCCCATAATTAAAGGACCGCAATGAAAGGACCAAATTTAATCTCCCCCTGGGAAACCTGGAGGACTTTCCCCCGACGCCCCATGGACAAGAGCCCCAGGGATGCAGCAGGCCTGCCCAGCCTGCTCTGAGAAGCCACAGTGCCTAATTAGCCAGACGGTTGGAAGAACAGGCGCGACTATGAGAAGCAGTGCGTGGGCGTCACGGGCCTCTGGGATTGGAATCTGGGGAACATGGGGAACGAGCTTCCACTGCCAGTCAGAGAGCAGGTGACAGCTGGAGGCACCTGGCCGGACGCAGAGGCATCCCCATCAAAGGAGGGCTTGGGAAGGCCGGGAGACTCAGGAGGAGGTGGGGCAGCAGTCAAGCTGTACCCTCAGCTGCCACACACACCGTCACGCGAGGACAACGTAGCCCGCAAGCTTGGCGTGCAGGCAGAGATCTGAGAGGCCGTTAATTCTCGGGGACACACATGTTTAAAAGTGGTGATTTCACATTTTTAGAGCCCAATAAAGGACTCTCATCCCCAGGGCAGATTCAAGGGCGGCCAAACGTGGCCCAGCGCCCAAGGCCCATGGAAAGAAATTTGGCATCTACCTGCTGAGGCCACAAGGATCCCATAGAGGTAGCAGAAAGGATAAGAGCTCTTCTAGAAGCACTAGAATACTCTATCATTCAACCAACACTACTACGGATCAGACAGGAATGAGGCAGTGCTCCCGTCACACGGCCAACAGGGGGCAGGAGCCAGCCAGCGACATCCGACTGGGCTGAGAGGACAGCACAACCAGCTCCTTCTCGCTGCTGACTTCTGCAGAGAAGTTGGCCTCGCTGATTCAGAGTCCACCGAACAAGCCCGAGCAAGGCCAGAAATTCAGGGCTGCTGAATGTGGGCCCAAGCAGCTCCTCGTGGCTCCTCCGGATCTCAGCAGGGGCTGAGTAAGGGGCCTAGGGTACCACTGGGAGCTCGGGATGGACAGTTTAAGAAGAACCTCCCGTTCCTCGGTGTACCCGAAAGGAAGGTGACCACGCTGCCACAGTTCTTTCTCAAACTTCCCCTTCCGCTAACGTGAGCTCGAGTGGGACTCTGCTACTCGCAGCTGGAAAAGCACCCACTGGGTGATAGGAGCCGTGGAAAGGACTGGCAACAGTGGTGAGCAAGACAGACAGGCCCCAGGGAGCTCCCCGACAAGTGACAGAACTCACTCCACAGCGCGGCATTTTCAAAAAGCAAGAGAAGGTGACATATGACAACACATTCCTACCTAGGTGGTATTCAAAAAACATCACAGAACAAAGATGGCAAGGACATATTTCTCAAATCAGGTCAGGCCCGCCAGTTAACATGACCGTGTGCATCCTGTTCTTTTTCTCTGTGACACTTAACATTACACATTCACCCAGAGTGCGATCACCTCTCCCACTAGAATGTCAGCTCCGTGAGGGTAAAGACGGAGATGTATATTCATATTCTTTGCTGAATCCCCAGCATCAGACAGTGCCCTGCCTGGGGTCACATTTAGTAACCGTGTGAAGTGAATCACTGACAATGAATGTCTTTGGTGAGCTTTACGAGATTTTCATTTTCTTCTTTGGAAACAGCTGTACTTTCTAATTTTTTCATAATGAACTTTATGACTTCTAAAATCCAAAGTAAAACAAAAATTCTGGGAGGGGCCAGCCCGGTGGCGCAGTGGTTAGCTGCACACATTCTGCTTCGGTGGCCCAGGGTTCGCTGGTTCAGATCCCAGGTGCGGACATGGCATCGTTTGGCAAGCCATGCTGTAGTAGGCGCCCTGTCCCACATATAAAGTAGAGGAAGATGGGCACGGATGTTAGCTCAGGGCCGCGCTTCCTCAGCAAAAAGAAAAGGATTGGCAGCAGATGTTAGCTCAAGGCTAACCTTCCTCAAAAAAAAAAAAAAATTCTGGGAAAAATATATGAATCACAAAGCCAATCATAAAAATTGGAAGGGACTTTAAGAAACCAGGCTCCTGATGGCAGAGGGATGGACTGGGTGAGGTGAAAGCCAGTTCCAGTTTCCAGAGGCAGCTGAGAACCTGAAGCTAACAACATGAGCTGACTTCTCCTTTGGCTCAAATCCTCGGCCACCAGACTTCGCTGAGTAAAGTCACACCACTCGGTAAGAGAAGCGGGGACACAGCATGAGAAGAGGACAAGACACAAAAGGGAGACAGAGGACTCCTCAAGCAGAAGCCAGAGGCGGACGGCACAGAGGCACCCAGCACACTGTGTCTTGTGGTGCTGTGCAAGTAAGATGCCTACCAACATTACCCACTGGGACCTGGAAAGACCTGCCAGGCGGGGCCTGCCCTCCCTCCAGGCAGCAGGTACCCAGCGCCAGGCCACCGTCTCTCTCACATGCTTCTCTCATTCCTGTTCCCCGGCTGCCCCTGTGGGCTCTTGAGGTTGTGGCCTCTATTACATAAGTTCTTTCACCACAGCTCTTCCCCTTTAGGAAATGCCTTTGAAAGCAACATACAAATGTGCTCCCACGTTCCCTTATTCTCCGGGAGTGAGCACCCACCTCACAGACGAGGGCTCGTGAGGCCCTAAGGAGGAAGATGATTTTTGCCTCGAGAAGCCCTCACCGTCAACATGGAAACAGAAGAAACAGAGGTGAATACTGTGAGACCAGTGTCAACAGGGCTGAGAGGTCAGAGAAAGGATTACACCCTGGGCCAGGGCGGTCCCAGGAGGCTTCCTGGAGGAAGCAGCTCACGGTGGTCCCTCCGCTCATCCACATACAGAGCGTGTCTGAGGCTTCTTACACTGAACAGTCTGACACTGACTCCCTCTGAACTTATTCTGCTCTGAAGTCCACCATACTTCCAGCCTCGTCAGCACCGCTCGGTCCATGCCTAAAGGAGAAGGACAACCCTCGGGATCCATGTACTTACAATGCCATGGATTTGGGCCACCTTGCTGCACAAGTCAGGACGCCACTTCTGAAGAGCCAGATAGAAAGGATTTTTCATGAGATCTTCATCATACAGAGCCATATGGACTTCAGATGGGACAAAGTGAATCTCCTGGGACAAGGGAGGAAAAAGCAGTAAATGACCACTTTCGCATTTATATAACACATAAAGGTCTTGATCTGGCAATTTCTAAAAAGCATCCCCGACTCGTATTACTCTACTCTACAGACTGAACACTCCATCAGGAATTACCGAAGATAACCCACCAATTCCAAGACGTCCTTTTTCTGATTCAATGTACAAATCATGTGCAGAAAATCTTCTTGAACTCCAAGTCATTGCAACAGTAAAAATGGCTACTTTTAGAAGAACCTACAGGGCCAAAATTATGACCTTTTAAAGATATGCACATATTTTTAATGAAATATTTTAAGCATACAGAAAAGTAGAGTTAATTATGCAAACCCACTGCCCAGAATTAACAAATCTTAACACTTTGCCACCTTTGCCTCAGATTTTCTGTAGGAAATAGAGTAGAGTAGACTGGAATCCCCCTGTGCCCCCCCGACCCCATCCTCTCCTCCCTTCAGAGGCAACCACTCTCCTGAAGTTGCTGTACATCCGTCTTGCCTATGTTTCTAGTCCTTTAACACTAACGTCCTCATAAATAATATAAAATATTGATTTATAGGCATGAAAATGTACCTAAATGGTACCACAATATAAGTATTCTGGGACATAGCCTTTTCCTTTTTTTTTTTTAAGAAATTTTTTTTTTTCTGCAGGGAAATATTCACCCTGAGCTAACATCTGTCGCCAATCTTCCTCTTTTTTTTGCCCCCATCCCCAGAGCCCCAGTACATAGTTGTATATTCTAGTTGTAAGTCCTTCTAGTTCTTCTACATGAGCCACAGCCACAGCATGGCTACTCACAGACGACTGGTGTGGTTCTGTGCCTGGGACCTGAACCTGGGCTGTCCAGGCAGAGCGTGCCAAACTTTAACCATTAGGCCATCAGGACTGGCTCTGGAGCATACCCTTTTCAATCAACATGTTTTCAAGTTCTATCCATACTGATCCATACAGCTCTCATTCATTCTCTAATGTCTACTGTGCAGTGTACTAAGTGAACATGACACAATTTATTCATCTAATATCCCACGTTTAAGTTGCTCCCACATCTTCAGCGTTACAAACAATGCTGGAATGAACAGTCCTGTACCCTACCGTGTTCCTTGAGCACGTTATCTAGGGATGTCCCTAAGAGAGGCACTAAGGAGCATCCATCTGCACCGTCACCGGATGCTGACAACGCTGGACCACTTTCTACCTCCATGAAAAGCACATGAGCATTCCCATTCCTCACATCACATCCTAGCCACCACTCCTCAGCACTGTCACATCATCTCACTTCTGCCAGTCTGTGAGCATAAAATAGTACTTTGCTGTCTTTTTCATTTCTCTAATGAAATTAATCATTTCCTTATGTTCAGAAACTACCTTATCATATCTTTTGCCCACTTTTCTAATGAGTTGTTGGCCTTTTTCTTATGATTTAGAGTTCTTTACATATCTGGATACTAAAAGATGTTGTAAATATCTTCTCCCAATCTGTGACTTGTCTTTTCATTTTTTCAAATGTCTGTTTTCAGAAATAGAAATGTTTGATTTTAATGTAGTTGAACTTGTCAATCTTTGCCTTAATGGTCAGTGTTTTTTGGATCTTAGGAAACCCTATTATCTGGCATGCCCCTTTGCAAAGTGACTTCACCATTCCCACTATCAGAATTCACCACCCCTTGAATCTGAGCCAGCCCTGTCATTTGCTTTAACCAACCAACAGAGAGAACTGATGCTCTGTGATTTCTGAGTCTCAGCCCCAAGAGGCCTTGCAGGTCCCACTCTCATTCTCTTGAGAGTGGCACCCTGAGACCACCGTGCTATGAAGAAGCCCCCGGGATGAAAGACCACAGGGAAAGAGAGAGGTCCAGGCGCTCCAATGAGCACAGTCACCCCGCCCGCTGAATGTAGCTACGTGAGTGAGTTCAGGTGACACCAGCAGAAGAACCACCCTGCCAGCCCACAGAATACTAGGAAATAATAAATTGCGGCAGTTTCAAGCCATAAGATTTGGACTGGTTTGGTATGCAGCAAAGAGAGCTACCTAAAATCACATCCTTTCCAACTCCAAGGCCATAAAAATAGTCCCTATAATTTGTAAGAATCTTCAAGTTTTTCATTTTCGGTCTCTGATTCCTCTTTATTTTTATATATACAACAAACTGAGCACCTAAACATGGTAAGCTGTCTTAGCCTGCTCAGGCGGCTATAACAAAATACCACAGAGTGGGCGGCTTAAACAACACTTATTTCCCACAGCTCTGGAGGCGGGCAAGTCCAAGATCGAGATGCCAGCAGATGTGGTTCTTGGTGAGGGCCCTCTTCCTGGGCAGTAGACGGCCATGTTCTCGCTGTATCCTCTCGTGGCAGAGAGAGAGTTCTCCTGCCTCTTCCTCTTTTTATAAGGGCATGAATTCCATCATGAGGGCCCCCCTCCTCATGACCTAATCGAAGCCCAATTAGATCCCAAAGCCCCACCTCCAAATATCATTACAGGGAAAGATTAGAGCCTCCACATAAGAATTCTAGGGGGGACACAAACATTCAGTCCACAGCATAAGCCAACCGTCCCATCATCATCTTCTGAATGTCTATCCCTTCACACAGGCTGACAGTGCTCCCCAGGTCATACTCCAAGTTTCCATATGTTTGGCCTGTTTCTGGGCTCTACTCTGTTTCAATGGTCTAGACCAGTGCCATCCAACAGATATCTGTGAGAAATGTAATTACATATACATTATGCATAATTACATATGTGATTTTAAGTTTTCTAGTAGCCGCATTAAAAAAGAAACAGGTGAGATTAATTTTAATAATATATTTTATTTATCCTAATATATCCAAAGTATTATATCTTCAACATGTGATCAATATTTAAAAATTACTACTGACATATCTTACATTCTTTTTTACTCCTACCAGGTCTTCAAAGTCTGGTGTGTACTTTACATTTACAGCACTTCTCAATTCATACTAGCCATATTTCAAGTGCTTAATAGCCACATGCGACTAGTGGCTATTACACTGGAGAGCAGGGCTAGACCATATTATTTTCCATGACTATAGCTTCATAATAAGCCTTGCTAACTCACAGAAAAAGGCCTCCTTCCTTGTTCTCGAAAACTGTCTGGTTATTCCTAATTCTTTACAATGTCACATGAATTAGAATCAGCTTATTAATTCCATGAAAAATCCTGTTGAGATTTTTATTGAAACTGCACTAAATTTATGGACTGGAGAGTCAACATCTTTATAATAATGAATCTAATCATCCATGAATATGGTACGTCTTTCCATGGATGTCTTCTTCTATGTCCTCCAATTAAATTTTCTCCATAAATATCACAGATCATATACAACTTTTATTAGATATTATTTATATATTCTGTATAGATTTGCTCCTGTTGTGAATGGGGCCTCCATTGCCCCTGCTCCCCTTACCACACATCAGTGTGGTTTTACTGAGTTATGACTCTCTGAAGGCTCGGACAGCATTTTTTTTTTTTTTTTTAAAGATTTTATTTTTTTTTTTTCCTTTTTCTCCCCAAAGCCCCCCGGTACATAGTTGTATATTCTTAGTTGTGGGTTCTTCTAGTTGTGGCATGTGGGACGCTGCCTCAGCGTGGTTTGATGAGCAGTGCCATGTCCGCGCCCAGGATTCGAACCAACGAAACACTGGGCCGCCTGCAGCGGAGCACGCGAACTTAACCACTCGGCCACGGGGCCAGCCCCTCGGACAGCATTTTTTTTAGCAATAAAGTATTATTTATTAAGGTATGTACATTGTGTTTTTAGACATAATGCTATCGAATACTAAATAGACCACAGTATAGTGTAAACATAATTTTTATCTGCACTAGAAAACCAAAAAGTTCATGTGACTTGCTTTATTGGGATATTTGCTTTATTACAGTGGTTTGGCACTGAACCTGCAACATCTGAGGTGTGTCTGTATGAAAAATGGGCACAGAAAAGGAATTAGAGTTCTAGCCATGTCATTCCACCTCTCTGAGCCTCCATCTCAGTCTGTGCAACGGAGAATATGAGTACCTGTCTTGCAGGAGGATTCCCAGTTACATGCCACCTACACTATTTTTGCCACACTGCATACCTGCTGGCCCACACGGTGCCTTTGAGAGAATTAGAAAAAGGCACCTCATCTTCCCAGCACCACAATCCTGTGCCAGGGCACATGGCTTGGTAAGCAGCTCACAGGCTGTATCAGCCTGTTTGCCAACACCTCCCCTCCCTTGGGGCAGGGCACCTGTGCAATGAATAACCTGCACAACTGTACACAATGGCTCTATTGCTAGCGTCTGACCTTTTCTTTTAAACACCTACTCCCTTCTAAAATGTATTTTAAAAGGAACCCTATTACTACTTTAAATGGAAAAACAGCGTCACTTCCCATAAAGAGAAGATAATCTTAAAATTAAAAATTATAAAAACATTTGACATTATTTAGAATCTTGCTAGATACCATTGCCTGCCAAAGGTTCTGAGCTTGAGCCTGAGGCCTCTTCTCTTCATTAAAAAGAGAAAATTCTCAACTATTAATGACTACCAAGTAAACTCATCCTTGATAGAATCAGATGAACAAAATATGAGTGAAAAATTGAATTACTTTTTCACTATTTAATGATATTCCAAAATGCCTCTTTGGGGAAACACCAGAACAGTATGGATAAGGGCACTATAAATTCTACCCCTTATGGCTAATGATAAAGACAGCCACCATTCAAGAGCACCATTGGTCCAGGCACTGTGATAACTTCTATACATCCTCATCCCATTTGAACGCTCATGATAACTACAGGTAACTAACTATAACTAATGCTCACAATAACTATAGGGATCATTAGCTCCTTTTCACAGATGAAGAAACTGAGGCTCAGCTGGCCAACTCGAGGTTACACAGACATCAGAATTTATTCTAACACCCATCCCTTTAACCACTAGACCCATCATGTAAAATAAATACACCTGGATTAGGGGTTATCTCATGAGCCACAGAGGCCCAGGTTCTATACTTCACTTCCCCCAAAGGAAAAGTCCCCATGGCAGACAGCCACACAGAATTCCCTCAGCCTGGCCTGGCCGGACTGTCTGGGCTGCGGCCCCCCTGGGGACTGCCTAAAGGAAGCCCCTCAGCTCGGCAGATCCTCTTAGGGCAAAGATCCCAGCAGGAAAATGGCTCCGGATAATCCCTGCCTGGACCCCAGAGACAGCTCGGCAACAATTCAGAGATGTGAATTGTTGAATTCAATTATGACCGGAGCCCAGATAATCCTTTTATGAGCCCCCACCACAACAAGTGGATAATGTGATTTTGCTGGGACAGAGTCACAAGAAAACAAAATTCTTCCTGGTTCCTGACATAGCCGGTTCTACATGGCAGAGCGTAAAAGTAAAGATGCCTGGGCCAAAAAATACACGACAAACAGGACGAGATATGGTCAGATTAAAGCTGGGAAGGGACACTCCTTCTGCTCCTCAGGCAAGACGCTGGCCGAGCACCAACACCTCTGCCCCCAAGATGGAGGTACTAACAACCTAGCTGGGAGGCAAGGAATGGGCATCAGAAGAGTAAAACAAATCTAGAACAGTGCTGGGAAAGGGAAGGACCAGATAGGGAAGGGAGCAGCAGGAAGGGAAGGGGGTGGGCAGTGCGGGAGGGATCCCTGGCAGGGACCAGAGCAGGGCCAGAGGTTCAGGAAGCAGGAACAGAAAACCTAAAGGTAAACTTTTTTTGACGGGATGAGAAGATGAGTCCAGGGAAATAATAAGAAGCCAAACAGAGAGGGTCAGAGAGGGAAGGCCCTGAATGCCACATCAAAACATTCCATTCAAATGCGTCAACTGTGTCAGCACGCAAGACCCCTAGCAAGCATTGCTGGTGAATGGAACAGAGCTTGCTGTTTTTCAGTCCCAAGTCACCTGCTTTCTCTTGGACAGCAGTCCTCCAATGACTGAACCCTCTGTCCAGGAGCAGGGCTTCAAAGAGCTCTGTCCAGCACTGCTCTCAACCTTTCTATCCAGTGTTAAAAATATATAATAATCGCATACTATCCGGTGCTTAATGCCAGAGTTGAACTCTCTGGGGTACACAGATATTAAATATGCATAAATATTTATATATATACAAATAATATAGGGGTACATGCTTAAAAATAATTTAATATCCTGACAAGTTTACTTGTAAGAATTTTATATTTGAAAAATAACATGCAAAGTAAACTGACTTTTCCTTGTAAAAATGGAAAGACGAGGGGCTGGCCCCGTGGCCGAGCGGTTAAGTTCGCGCGCTCCGCTGCAGGCGGCCCAGTGTTTCGTTGGTTCGAATCCTGGGCGCGGACATGACACTGCTCATCAAACCACGCTGAGGCAGCGTCCCACATGCCACAACTAGAAGGACCCACAACAAAGAATATACAACTATGTACCGGGGGGCTTTGGGGAGAAAAAGGAAAAAATAAAATCTTAATAAAAAAAAAAAAAAAAAAAAAAAAATGGAAAGACGAGTGAACTCTCTCATAAAACTCCTTTAAGAAAAAGTTCCACCTCTACCTAAGCTTAAATGATGGAGTGATTTACTGAAAATCCAGTGAAGCTAGTGAGAGATACCAAATGCCCCTGAACATGAGTTATCTGAGGTTACTCTCCGAGCAGGAGAGCCAGGCGAGGCCTCAAACCAGTATCAGGCGTTTCAGGAGACAGTGTGGACACTCGTGGTTTTGTGGTCTTCAACCGTCCTGCCAGCCCGGATGAGTCTGAGCGGTCAGGGACCATCTGGTGACAGCATGCAGGCTGGCTCTGCAGAATCCAGCACAGGAAAGTCTGCGCCGTGCAGAGACGCGCTCCCTGCTGAAACCTGACTGCTGTGGCTGCTCCCCCTTCCAGAGCCCTGACCCACGACCCTGACCAGGTATATTTTCCAACTGATGAGCAATATTCTCCAGCTGATTTAATTTGTAATTCAGAAGGAAAACGCAAAAAGGGAAAACTTTCTATTTATCTATGTGTAATACCAAACGGAAGCAATCTGACGACGTAATGTATGGTATTACAGTCACGTGTGTCCTCTGGCCTGTGTTGTCTATGGATCCTGTCCATATTTTTCTCAAAGCTCTTCTTCAAAGCACGCAGACTGCCCCGGCCACCTGGGTCACTGTAAGTAACCAGTAACTGTGCATCCACTTGAACAAAATGATAGCGGGGGGTCAGAGGAGGCTCGAGTTCCCAGAGAGGGATCATCTCTCACAGGAGCTGGAAATCCACTGGCCTTATCTAGGGGAGGTGATGGGCTGGCCGCAAGCAGCCATGCAGGCACCGGCACAAAGCCAGGAACAGAGTGCCGGCTCAACACAGCGACAGCTGGAATGTGGAGGGTCACGGAGGGAGAGAAGGGCTCAGGGCTGGAAGAGGGGTGTGACCCCCGGGAGAGGAGGAAAGTGTGAAGGAGCACAACTGTCCTCAGAAAGCCACTTCACGGCTCTGCTCCTGGAGTCGCAGGCAGAGCCACCAGCACCCATCTGCCTGCCAGCATCTTGGGCAGAAGAGCAGGAGCTCCACGGGCCACTTCCCAGTGTCTCTCAGGTGTGGAAGCAACTCCACGACAAACCAGGTCTGGGTTCCTCAGGTCCGAATCCTTGCTAGGTCTGTATCTAGCATCACAAGGTCACATTCCTCTGCTCCTCTAGGAGAGGATGAAGTCTGTGGACACCAACCTAATCCTGGCAATTCATAAACAGGGGGAGAGCCGTGACACAAACACTAACAGCACACAGACGTGTGCACGACAAGCATCCAGCAGCTGCCCTCACAGGGCAACACAGTCCAAAACTCAAGACCTCGACCTCAGCCCTATGCAGACACTACTGCTCACTCCCCCAGCAACCCTGTGAGGCAGGATTATTTCAGGTGACAAGCCGAGGTGGAGAGAGCTCACCCAAGGCATCTACCAACTTTAGAGCCCCAACTGCTTTCCTGCCACTAAGGCTCTTCAGAAGTATGTTTCTGCTCCCGTCCTGCACTTCCTCCTCCGAGGCCTAAGGGCTCTGCCTTCCAGATCTCACCCGAAGCTGTCAGCGAAAGACAACGAAGCTATCTTTCCAATGCTGAGATCTGTACAGGATTCTTCTGCGACCTCCCCCTCCACTCCCTACTAGAGGAATTCTCAACTTCTCTACTTGGCATCGCCGGCCTCTCACTTCTGGTCTCCCTCTGTTATCCCCAAAGCTCCCCAAAGAGATGGGTTCTCCCTCCTTTACACACTTCATCCTGAAAACTACTCTTCCCCCGTCAAGGCCCCCTTTCGGCCGGGGAGCAGCTGAGACCCTTCACCGAAGAGAATGGCCAAGGCCCAGAGCGTCCAAGCCCTGGCCACAGCCGGCCGCCTAAAGGATGCACCTATGGGCAGTCCAATTTCAACGAAGAGAACTGAACAGACCCAGAGTCCGGAACATCTCCTGGTACTTAAGAGTTTTCCTGGAGTAATCTTCACCCAGCAGGACCAGGAGACCCCGCCCCGCGAGAGGCAGGGAGGCAGGCAGGCAGGCAGGTGGGGATTCCCTCCTCCCTTTCCCGCGCCTTCATCACCCCTGGGGACCACAAAAGCCCGGCCCGAGGCGCTGGACCCCCACCCACAGCCTCTCCTCCACCGGCCCGGCCAGGCCGCCCGCAAACCACGGAGGCCACTCAGGGCACAGCGACGGACCCGCCCACTGCCCCCAAGTCTCAGCTCCCGGGACCCCGGACCCGCAGACCAGTCCTGGAGCCGCGGAGATCAGAGGGCGCATTCTTCGCCACCCCGACCCCAACGGACACGAGGGGCAGAGCGAGCCCGGCGGCAGGCGGGCCCCGCAGAGCGAGGACGCGGCAGTGCACCGGCGCGGGGCCAGGGCCTGGGGGGCCCGGGGCTGGGGGGTACCCGCCCAGCCTGGGGCGCCGGCGCGGAGAGGAAAGAGCCCCTCCCCCTTCCCGCTCCGGGGCCCCGCCCGGCCTCCGGGCCCCGCGGCGCAGCCGTCTCGCGGGAAGGCAGGCGCGGAGCAAGCGGGAGAGAGGACACTTACTTAAAAGGCTACATAGTTTCACTCCTTGCCCTTCCCTGAGCGGCGGCGACACCTCGCGGCCCCTAGGCTCACGCCTCAGAGCTCACGACCCCAGCGCGGCGGCTCTGCCCCACCGCCCACCCCTTACTCCGCCGTTGGGCGGAGCCGCGCCTCAAGGCCCCCGGTCAGCCCAATACGCGGCCGTCCTTGTCCGGAGTGACGTGTGCGCAGAGCAATCATTGAGCCCACCCAGCCGAGGGTGGGGCTCAGGCGGTGCACAGCGCTTCCTACTCGGGCTGGACCAGCCCGGAGCCGCCGACTGCGCGTGCCCGTGACGGGGAGGGGCGGGGCCTAGAGCAGATCCGACACTCCGGGTGGGGTCCAAACTAGCACACTGGAACGCGGGCTCGACCCGGATGGGGAGACCCGGGGGCCGTCCGGCCCGGCGGGTCGCCTTTTGGTGCTCTCTTTAGAAGATGGAGGTGCCCATTCCTATGAGGCACACCACTCCTGTCGCTGGCAGGGTCTAGGAGTCAGGGTCCCTGTGTTCTACCCCTCAATTGTGTGGACGTCGCGTGACCTAGGCCCCCTTTTTTACCTGGGCCTCAGGTTCCCCATCCGTAATACAGAGGAGGGCTGGATCTGCCAAGCGCTAGTATTCCAGAACTTACAGAACTTACGTGGGGTGCGGAAGAGGGGGAGAAGGGGACCTACACGTGACCTCCCCTCGCGGGGCCCCGCCTATCCCTGGTCCAGGGGCTGGAAGCGCCCAGCAAGGCCGGGCGGGGGTGGGCGGATCCTAAGAAACGCGACCCAGCCGCCCTTGGCAGCGGCTAAGGCGGAGCGCGGCTCGGCGGCCGGCCAGCCCTGGCATCGGCACCAGAGGAGCATGGGGACCTCAAACCGGGCCTCGCACGGGACTACCGTGGAGGCGAGGGCCCTGCAGAGACTCGGCGTGTGACGTGGAGCGCCTCTGGGGAGGATGGACGAGGGGACGGGAGACAGCTAACGGAGCTTCCTCTCTGCTCCCGGTCTGCGGAGGCGCACGTCGCGGGTCCCGAGCGGGCTCCGTCGACAGCAGCGGCAGCGCCGACCTAGTCTCGGGCCATGAGGAGCGCTCGGACCGCCCAGCCAGGGGCTGTCGTCGGGTCTGGCCGCGTCCTGCCGCGCTGAGGGCGTGAGGCCGAGAGGGGCGCAGGACGCCGGGCTGCGGCGGAGCGCACCGCCATGGCGAGGGAGGAGTGCAAGGCGCTGCTGGACGCGCTCAACAAGGCGACAGCATGCTACCACCACCTGGTGCTGACCGTCGGCAGCTCGGCGGATTCGCAGAACCTGCGGGAGGAGCTGCAGAAGACGCGCCAGAAGGCGCAGGAGCTGGCGGTGGCCGCCCGCGCCCAGCTGACGGCCGCGCTGCGCGACCGGGGCCTGGGCGCCGAGGAGCGCGCCGAGTTCGAGCGCCTTTGGGTGGCCTTCTCCGGCTGCCTGGATCTTCTGGAAGCCGACATGCGGCGTGCGCTGGCGCTGGGCACGGCGTTCCCGCTGCACGCGCCGCGGCGGCCGCTTGTGCACACGGGCGTGACGGGCGGTGCGGCGGGCATAGCGGCGCGCGCCCTGAGCGTCCGCAGCCTGCGGCACGAGGCAGAGCGCGACTTCGACGTGAACGACCTGCGCGAGCTGGAGCGGGAGGTCCTTCAGGTGGGCGAGATGATCCACGACATGGAGATGAAGGTCAACGTACCCCGCTGGACGGTGCAGGCGCGGCAGGCAGCGGGCGCCGAGCTCCTATCCGGCGCCGGCGCCTCTTCGTTGGGCGGCGTCTCCACAGAAGGGCGCAGGAGGCCCTGCGATCTGAGCAAGGCTCTGGCCGCCGCGGTTTTCAGCGCTGTGCTGCTGGTGGCTGTGGCCCTAGCTGTGTGCGTGGCGAAGCTGAGCTGACCGAGACCCGACGGCTCACCAGAGCCACCACCTCCTCCCCAGGGGCACCCCTCCAGGAAAGACCGCAACCGGGATGGAAAGGGGATCTGGCATGTTTAAGGGAAGCGGTTCTAAAACCCTATGTGTGTACGTCTACACGCGTGTTTCAAGCACACATCTCCTTGGGGAGAACATGGTTTCCTCTTGCTGGCCGGAGAGGAGTTAATTTTTTGCGGGCCGCCGAGGCATTACCGCTAATGTATGCAAGAGCTTTATCCCCTATTAATAGAAAACCGGCCACAGTGACCCCAGATTCCTCCGAGTTAATGGGTTACCGCATGTGCTGCTGGGGCGTTTCTTAGACAGGAAACAAATTGCAATAAGATGTAAGCAGTTTTTATTACCTTAATCCTTTGGGGCCTAAGTTTAGGAGAGTATGCAAATAGAAGTTCATCAAAGTGCTTTCTCTATGGCGCGTGATTGCGCTTTTTGGTGGATTTTATCCGTTAGTCACCAAAAGCGGCTAGAAGAGGTTTGGGGTCACGATCTCCCGCGCAGGGTCTGACTCTGCCTAGGAAACCAGAGAAGGGCTGGTGAACCTGCCCTCACGGGCTTGGATCCACTGCACACTTTTGCGCATTGAAATGGAGGGGTGCAAGCTTTGGAAAGAGCTACATGCTGTTTAAACAGGCACTTTCTCCTCCTCTGGGGCTTATTTTTGTTCCAGAACTAGAGCAGTTTTTGATCCTCCGTTGGGGGAGGGCTGGGGAATCCTCTTTGGTGTCCTTAATCCTGTCTATCCCTTGGAATTTGCTTGCTGGCCAGTAGGAGAGCCGGCTTTGGAAGGGAGCTGCACAGCTCCCTGACCCCAACACCGCCTCCTGAGACGGTGAAGTGGCATCACTGGCCACAGAGGTTCTGAGCCAATTAGCCCCGAGACTGGGTTAGAATGTAACAGCTTTAACTTGGGATTTCAGAAGCTTTTTAAAAACAATCATTTGAAAGAAAAAATCACGTAACCACATTGTGTACTCTCAAAGCTGGTTTTTTATGAAGGACATTTGGTCACGAATTCATACTTGCCAATAAGTCAAACATAGAAGTCTTTACTTATATACTTATGTTACTAAATATACATCTGCATCTATTTTTAAAATCGATCTTCTGGAAGGCAGGAGGTCATGGCATAACCTACTGGAACCACAGGTGTAAATGACAGAAGTTAAGCGGCCGATGCTTCTTTTGGTCACTAAATAAGGAAATGGGTCCAGGCTGGAATTTACCAGAGAGGAGCCACCGGCTCCCACCTGTGGTCCTAAGAGAGAATCATTGGGGAAGTAAGGCTGAGAAAACAAATGCATTTAACTCTAAAGAGAATCTGAAATAAAATCCAGAGACTTTGGTTTGGTTAAAAACTGACGAGGATTTTTTTCTTTCTTTTTTACCCCCGAAGTGAGAAAGGGGACCAGGAGGAGGGACCTGGCAGTTTTTCACAAGGGCAAGTTGGAGGGCCAAGGGGCAGAGACAAATAGCAGCAGGAGTGCTCAACCAGTCCTGAGGGCCCCACTCCCAGCCCAGCCCACTCCACTCCTCCTCGGCGCACAGACTCCAGTACCTGTAACAGTGGAAAGGTGGGATCTGTTTGTTTGTGTCTGTGATCATGGCTTTAAAGAGAGCCACAAGGTCAAAAATTTTACAACGATAACTAATAAAAAGAATTCCTTCTGCCTCATTCAGTCTGGGTGAATCTGAATAGGGGCCATGTCAAATTCTTTTGCACCTGCTGGCCCAGGGTAACTTCAGAGATGATATGGAAAGTTTTCTGACTCCTGTCTTCCTCCTCCCACACACAGCACAACATGGCATCTCTGTCTCCTTCCCCAAAGTCTCATCTCTCTCAGGTGAGAGGAAGCTGAGGCGTATGGTGACCCAGTTTGGAAAATATCACTGAAAACCAAGCCCTAAATATATTCTGTTTCTAAGACCATGACTCTCTGTTCTTATCAAAGTGTTTTTGTTCATGGAAAAATAATTGTTCAGCAGAACTTATTAAAGAAACCACCCATGAGAAGTTGTGTAATCCGTAAAGCAATTGGGGCAAATTTCTTTGTTGTCACTTTTTCCACCCACTTGGCAAATCCTTGAGCATTTACTTATATGTGTAGTCAGATGTGTACCTGATTCTGAGAGTCCTCTGCCAACTGAAATTAGTGATAAAATGTTGCAAAAAAAAAAAAAAAAAAAAAGCTGGGGGCCGGCCCGATGGCGCAGTGGTTAAGTGCGCCTGTTCCACTTTGGCGGCCCAGGGTTCACCAGTTCGGATCCCGGGTGCTGACATGGCACCGCTTGGCAAGCTGTGCTGTGGTAGGCATTCCACATGTAAAGTACAGGAAGATGGGCACGGATGTTAGCTCAGGACCAGTCTTCCTCAGCAAAAAGAGGAGGATTGGCAGCCAATGCTAGCTCAGGGCTACTCTTCCTCAAAAAAAAAAAAAAGCTGAATTATAATACATATTTATCCCGTGGACCTGTTAACCTAGACAACTCTTTCACCTTGAAGATTTTAAGCATTCGTAATATTTGGCATTATTTGGAGTTACAACATTGCCTAATAGAACTTTTGCTGTATATGCAAGCAAAATCACTTTCTGCTTGAGCATCAGGCTGCTCTCTCTGTCTCTCTACTCTCATTTCTATATATAATTCAAGAGATTGCTTTCTGACCAAAGCCTGATTCAATTTAGATGTTTGATATTAAAGTCATTAATTTTCTAAAATCATTTAGTATGATCTTATGCTATGATACAAGTGATAGAAAAAGACAAAAAGGCAAAGTGTTTAATATAGGGTATATCTGATGAGGTCAATGTTAAAGTCTATGGCAGAGAACATCTACTTGCTCAAATTAAAGACACAAGTAAAAGGATAGATCTTTACTTCCAAAGTTAAATACTGTTATGAATCTCTTGTAAAATTAAATATCTGAAAAGAGAAAACATCCTGGGCTTCTCTTTTGGGAAAACAGTACTGCTTTATCTGATATGAAGAAGACAAGAACTTGGAATGTCATGGCACTTAGCATGGGAACTTTGACCCATTGCTATTAGTAAAACAACAACAACAAACACCTAATAATGTTTGGAGAAAAAAAAATGATGCCTGGCAAACTCTTTTTTCTGTGCTGTAAGAACTTCTGCTATTCAATGCTGAAAGGGAAAGTACTTTTGGTAAATAAAATTAGAGCATAAACTTCCTGACTTACCTAAGGTTTACAGTAAGCTGCATGAGCTATGTGCGATGGTGAAGGACTGAACAGTAGCTTTGGTTAAAGAGAGTTGTGGGTCACACGAGGACTCTGATAATGCTGCATTTTCCTTTTCAACGTGCACACTGATACATTTTTAGCTACTTGGTTTCTTTTCAGAATGTAGTTCTCTGTTCTGTAAATGCTTGTTAAGAATTTGAGCCCCAAAGTGTGAGCCTGTATGTCGGCCTGAGAAATAAAGGGCTGTAGGACTCACCTCTGCGTTCCTTTGGGGAGTGCCTCCTCCTTCAAGGCCAGACCAGCTGTGCTGGCTGGGGGCTCTACCTCTCTCTCCAAGTACCTCAGACAAGTCACTGACCTCCCAGTGCCTCGCCTTCCTCATTGGTGAAATGGGGGAGTCCTGAGTGATTAACTCAAAGGTCCCTTCCACAGCTTAAAACATTTAACAATCCAATTAAACAAGAAAGGGTTATTTTGTGTGTTTGGATTTTTTGGGTTCTTGTTGGTTTTGGTACATACTGAAATGGAATCTTACACTTTGGTGGTTATTGTCTAAAATTAGTCTGTTGGTAAAATTCCATGTGAATTTTAAAAATCAAGATGAATTAAGCTTACTGTGAATTTAGTCCATATCAGAATTAGTGGATGGACTTAAAAGCAAATTTGTGTAAATGCTGCTTATTTATAGTATTTAAATTAGATTAGGAATTTAAATTCAGACTCTATGTCTGAGTCCAGGAAAGCCTAGCATTTATTAAACAGTTTGTTTTACCCAGGAATCGGGATACGTAAAGTGACTCTAGTGAATTACAGATTCGAAACCGTGTCGTTTGTCATGGAGGCTGGGAGAATCCTATTTTGGAAGTAACCTGGTGCCCTCAGAACTGCCTGCTATTGGGAAACTAGACCAGCATGGGGTGCTTTGTAGGTGGAATCATATCCAAGGTGGAATTAAAGGTTTCACGTCTACTGTTTGAATGACGCTTCTAACTAAAACTATTAATCAGTAAAAACTTAAAGACAACATGCAGCATTTATAACTTAGTCGGAAAAGGCACCTTCAAATGACTCAGCTATCAACTGTTGTGATTTTTTTTTTTTTAAAGATTCTATTTTTTCCTTTTTCTCCCCAAAGCCCCCCAGTACATAGTTGTATATTTCTCGTTGTGGGTTCTTCTAGTTGTGGTATGTGGGACGCCGCCTCAGCGTGGTCTGACGAGCAGTGCCATGTCCGCGCCCAGGATTCGAACCAACGAAACACTGGGACGCCTGCAGCGGAGCGCGCGAACTTAACCACTCGGCCACGGGGCCAGCCCCTCAACTGTTGTGATTTTTTAAAAAGTATCCTTAATCTTCTTCATGCACCTTTGAATTGAAGTGAATGTCCTGATCAACATATTTACCCTTCAGAGATTTCATTACATAAAGAGATGTTCAGAAATACCCTAGGATTATAAATCTCCAAGTGCTTTTCTACAATACGATTATACTCATCTTTTAATGCAGGGTGGAATCCGGGAAGCATAGTAGGTTTCCACATGAACGGTCTTTGGCTGTAAACACAGGTCAAAGTCATATTCAAATACTGTTTCTTTGGCTCTTAGAAATGATCAAAGGTGCAGGAACTGACCACATGCCACAGCCCTGTGTCCATGAAGACAAGATGGAGTCCTGGAAACGCATTCCTCTCTTTCATTTACTTATTTTCATCTCATTCCACGGAGGATTCTGGGTGTTTTCATTGCAGTACTATGACATCTTGGGCATCCTTGTTCTTTGGTGTTTAGCTTTAGAATTTTATAACCATAACAGTTATATGATAAATGTAAGTAAGCCAAATGAGAGCTCCTGTTGGCAAAATGATTTTGGACAGTGCTTTTAATATGCTGTTGCCAGAAAACAAAGGTGAATGTCCCCTGCCTATACGTATGTGTTAGGCATGTACAGAAGAGCTACAAGGAAATATAAAGAAATCAAAATACTTGTTAAGGTTGTGGGATTATGAATGGTGTTTTTTCAGTATTTTTATTTTATGTTGTCATATTGTTTTTACAATAAAATTTTGAATGCTCTTATCGTCTAAAAAATGTTATTGTTATTAAAATATAAACTTTAACAGTTAGGGTCTCAATCATAATAAGAAACAATTTCAGAACCTTTTCCCAAAAAAAGCAAAGCAAAACACTTTTGGAATCTTACTCCCAGGGAATCAGAAGCATTTTTTTCTTTTAATTGAAGTATAGTTGACATTACAAAATGATCACCCTAATAAGACTAGTAACCATTTGTCATCATACAAGGTTATTACGACATTGTTGACATATTCCCTATGCTGCACGTTATATCCCACGACTTATTTATTTTATGATCAGAAGTTTGTACATCTTATCCCCTTCATTCATTTTGCCCTTCCTCTGGCTACCACCAATTTGTTCTCTGTACGTATGAGTGTTTCAGAAGCATGTTTTGAAACCTCAGAACAGCACTGAGGTTAAGAGCACTGACTGTGGAATAAGGTGCACCTGAGTTCAGATCCGATCTCACCGAAGAAGTTCCTTAATCCCGCTGGCCTCAATTTCTTCATCTTTACAACAGGAGTAATAATAGGATATACTTCATAGGGATATTGAGATAAGACTTCAGCCTAGAAGCACAGCACTCAAGAAATGTTGGCAGCCACTCCTGTTATTATTTGCATACTACTTTAGAAGTCCTAAAAATGGGATGGTTGGGCAAAAAATATATATATGAAAACATTTAACTTTCCATAACAGGTAAACTCTTCTAGAAATAAGTTTGAAGGTTAAAACTAGATAAACTTGTTAAATGAGAGAAAGTATGTCGTAAAAAGGTTACAGAGGGAAATTCAGGTTGATCTGGAATTTGGAATCTGTACATTTCTAAAGTCAAATTTATTGAGGTATAATTGAAATACAGTAACATTCGCCCTTTTAGGCGTGCAGCTTTGCGTTTTGACAACTGTATACAATCATGGAACCACCACTGCAATCAAGATACAGAATGTTTCCATCAGCCCCCATAAGTGCCCCCATTTCCTTTTGTAGTCAGTCTTTTCCTCCCACCCCAGGCTCTGACAACCACTCATCTGATTTCTGTCGGTATAGTTTTGCCTTTTCCAGAATGTCACACAAATGGAATCCATACATTTTTGAGAAAACAATGTTGTGAACCTTTTCAAAAAACATTCTGAGAAATAATTTTTCCGTGGTGATTCTCGGCGCACAGGATGGAACTGCCATTCATGGGTGAATTTTGTGTCACTGTGGTGACAAGCCCGTTTCCAGGCAGGCTGAGCAAACTCTCCTGTTACCGCTGAGGCTCCGAGCTGAAGTCATCTCTCCACAGCTAGCCCTGCAGATCACATTCTCTTCCTTTCTTTCTTTTTCCACAGAAAAACCTGATAAAAAATCAATAACAGAAATGAATTTGGGCTGGCTGAACTAGAGATTGAAATAAAAGCCTGCATGGAGCTATAGGTAAGAAGCAATATGACATGTTTGTAAAGTTTTTTTTCTTTTAGGATTATGCGTGTTCTAATAAACCAAATAAGAAAATTTCTCATTGTAAAGATAGCTGGGGAGACCAGTAGAAGCTAGGAATGGAGTCAAGTGTCCTACTTATGAAGTAAGCAACCGTTGTCATAAACAAAGCAACTCACTCTCTCGTGACCAAGTGGCACATGGTATAGCTAGCGCTTGCAGGGGATGGCTGTGTGCACTTAGTGTCAGGCCTGGGGTAGCTGGCTCTGTGCCCCTGGCAGAACTGGGCTGAGCAGGGCAGGGCATTCTCAGCACATGATGATGGGCTTGGGGACAGATTCTGACACTTGCTGGCTGTGTGATCTTAAACAAATCACAATGAACTGTCTTTTCATATGTCTTGCCCATTTTCCTACACAATTGAAGATTTTTTCTTCTTCATTTTTTCTAAGTCTTAATTTTTTGTGACAGGCATTACTGATAATTTTTCCAGTTTGTTATATCTTAGACTTTCTTACTGTGTTTTTTTGTCATAATAAAGTTATAAATATGGAGTACGTCAAATTGATCAATCTTTTCCCTATTGTTTCTAGATTTTGAGGCAAGACAACAGAGGAATTCACCTGTTTTCTTCTTATGAGTAGATGGTTTCATTTTTTATCCACTGTGGTAAGACAGCCTCCAAGATGACCCCAGTGATTCCCACTTCCAGGTATTTTCATATAGTCGCCTCCCTCCTACATTGAGTAGAGCTGACCAGGGTAACAGCGGGATACCGTGGAAATGATGGAGTGTGACTTCTGAGGTGAAGTCATCAAAGGCGCCATGCCTTTTTCCTTCCTCTCTTGGACCACTCTCTCGGGGGGGAAGTTAACTGCCAAGTCTTGAAGACATTCAAGAGCCCTATGGAGAGGCCCCTGTGGTGAGGAGCTGAGGCTGCTGGCTGACGGCCATGTGAGTGAGACATTGTGGAAATGGATCCCCCGGTTCCCAGTCAAGCCTAGGCTGACACGCTGACCAGTCTCACAGGAGATACTGGGTCAGAACCATGCAGCTGAGATGCTCTCAAATTCCTGCTCCACAGAAACTGTGAGATAATAAATGTTTATCGTTTTAAGCCACCAAGTTTTACAGGAATTTGTTAACACCAGTAGATAAGTAATATCTCCATAAATTAATTTTTCCTGTGAGCAGAGCACATTAGATTTGAGTATGACATGTGTATCTCTTTGGCTGCTCAGGGTCTGTTGTTTGCCTCTGTTCTGGTTCTTAGCTACAGCTCAGATACCTGAAGTGTGATCTCTGGATACATTCAGGAGCTGGTTTTATATGACCATAGAGCCTCCTGAGGAAGACCGACATGGCAGGATGCAGTTCTGCAGACTGTCCTGCATTGGCTAGGATCCACCGAAAGTGCATCATTTTGCTATGCACTCCAGGACTCGGTCATCTTACTCAGGAATAACCAGCTTTTGGGAAAACCAGCTGATATAGAAATAAACATTTATCCCTACAAAACAACGGTTACTTTACAGTGAATAGCGTGTCTTTTCTTAAGGTAGTTAACCCCTCCTGTGAATGGTTTCTCATCTATAAAATGGCAATAGCTATTTCCACCTTATAGGGTTTTATGAGGATTATACTGCTAATACTTAGAAAGTTCCTAATGCCTCACACACAGTGCTTAGTAAATATTCTTACTCCTAGGATTGAAGGGCTGTTACTTCATTCTCCCAGGCTAGAACTTTAACTCCTTCCTCTCCCTTGCTCTGCATAGTCAACCAATTACCACATTACATCAAGTGAAGATTAAGTACTCTCTTAAGCATTCCCTTCTCCCCACCTTACTCCCTCTCCACAGCCACTCTCCTAGCTTAGGCCTTCATTGTTTCTTGCCTAGTGCATTCCATGGGCCTCTGGTCCAATCCAGTTGAGTCACCATGCTGCCGTCAGGGTGAACTTGGAAGATAGGAACTTGATGGTGTCACCACCTTCCACAGCTTCCAATGACTCGTAGCACTGGGATGACCTGGGAGTAGGAGATTGTTAAAATACAGGCTCCAGGGTGCCACCGCACACTCTACAAGATTCTGAAATGACCGTCTCAGAGCAGAGAGCTGTATGCAGTCAGGAAGCAGTTCAGGGAGAGGGTCCCCAACTGTGGATTCTGTAGACTCATGGTGGATGAAAGTTGGCAGACCCTCCCAGTAGGCCATGTGTCCTCCCTTGGCCTCCACGTGTGCCTTTCTCAACGTGTAGCCCCACTCTTTGTTTCTGGGATGCAGTCAGTACACAGGGATTTGCACCTTTAGAAAACGATGCTAACAAAAATCAACCTAAATACTGATGGTACCATCTGTGGATTCTCTCCCCGGAATTAACCCACATCAAAATGATAGTTTGTACATGAAGCTCAGCAAGAGTATAATTTATATCTCATCCAAAAACATAACGAGCGTGTGATCTGTTATAATAGCAATTGTGAGAGAAGCTGTTGGCAACTGACAAAGAGTTATAAAAGAGAAGACAGACTTAAACAGCATCTTTCTAAGAGAGAGTAATGTTTCTCTTGGAGGTGGGAGTATTACAGCCACTAAAAAGGTAGAGCCGAGAGAAACTCCCACCTCTAGGCCTGAATAAAAATCTCCCATGAAAGGGGAAATCATCAAATGACCCAAGATGCTTAAGGTGGTCCCAAGTGCCCTGCCAGTAAAAGGAGTCCAGAACACAAGACTGATTACCCTGGGAAGCAGGGATTCCAGGAGGATCTTTCACACTCAGGCTGTGTAGCAGGAAATTTTTATTTGGCGCGTGGTTCATCCATCAGTCTCCTATTGGTGGGGCTCACGTGAGGCTGCAAAGCTCAGACACCTGTCCTTTGGACCTGCCGGCCCGCCAACCGCCAAAGGAGACACACCCTCGCGTGGACCCGTGGTTTAAGGGAGAGAGTCCCGGTGCTCAGGTCTTGGTGGGGTAGGTGTCACGACACCCGGGTTTGTATTGCACTTTTACCGCGACAGATCATGCGCGCCCCTAAGCATTCCTGCTCTTGATCCGAGTGTCCTGGGTGGGGCTGAGGCAGCCTTCTTTCCAGGCCACTGTGAATGACAGTCCCTGGCCAGCGGCTGGGACAGCCCTTGTCCCGCGAGAGCGAGCTTGCTCGCGCCGGCGCCACGCCCCTCCGCCGGTGCAGGACAAGCAGTCCCGCGTCACCGAGCGCCCAGTGCCCGCCTGGTCCGGAGTTCCTCGCGCGACACACCGGCCTCCAGCCTCTAGTCCGGGAAGGCCGCTGCGGGCGGGCGGGTCGGTGCCCGGGGGCTCCCGCCGCGCCAGAACCCGGAGCCCGGAAGCAGCGCGCCGCCGCCGCCATGAGCGGCCCCCTGCGGCCGAGCCCGAGCAGCTGGCGCCGGGCGGCTTCCGTCGTGCTGGCGGCGGGCTGGACGCACCCGGGGCCCACCGCCTGGTCGCCCGCCGAGGGCTTCCGGCTGCTGCTGCTGCAGCGCTCCCCGAGGCAAGGCTTCATGCCCGGGGCGCACGTCTTCCCGGGCGGCGTGCTGGACGCGGCGGACCGCTCGGCCGACTGGCTGCGCCTCTTCGAGCCGCACCACGCGCCGCCGCGCTTCGGCCTGGGCCCGGCGCCGCCGCCGCCCTCCGCCTTCCCGGGGCTGCCCGCCGCCGGCGCCGCGGACGGGGACGCGGGCGGCGCGGCGCTGCCCGATGACGTGGCCTTCCGCATCTGCGCCATCCGCGAGGCCTTCGAGGAGGCCGGCGTGCTGCTGCTGCGGCCCAGGGGCTCGCGGCCGTCGGCGCCCGAGCCGGGCCGCGCCCTCGCGCCGCCGCCGGGCCTGGCCGCCTGGCGCGCCCGCGTCCGCCGCGACCCGCGCCACTTCCTGCGCCTGTGCGCGCACCTGGACTGCACGCCCGACGTGTGGGCGCTGCATGACTGGAGCGCCTGGCTCACGCCGTTCGTGGTCGGCGGCAGCCGCCGCTTCGACACGGCCTTCTTCCTGTGCTGCCTGCGCGAGCCGCCGCCCGTCCTCCCCGACCAGGCCGAGGTGGTGGGCTACCAGGTGGGGCGTCGAGCGGGGCGCCGCGGGAGCCTCCAGCCGGCCGGGGACCGGGCGTCGGGCCGGCAGCCTGCAGGCCGCCGCCAGGACCCGGGGCCGCGCCCTCTGCTCTCCCGGCCTCAGGGGCCCGGGGCTTCGTCTGTCGGTCCCCCGCGGGGCCGCTGCCCCAGCCGAGGGCCGCCCGGCTCCCCGCCAGCGCTTCACGAGCTGTAACTTATGCCATCCCCACGGCAGATTCGTTCTTTTGTGTCAGAGAGCATAGTTTGTGATTTCAATCGGTTAAAATTTACTGAGACTTGTTTTATGGCCACGAATATAGTCCATCTTGGTGAATGTCCCCTTGCACCTAAAAAGAAAATGTATTCTGTGTTTGATGGAGTGTTTGTAAAGATGTCATCAGGTTAAAGTCTTCGGCGGTGTGTCAGGCCTCCCGCATCAATTACTCGTTGCATCCAATAGAGAGGGATGCTGAACTCTGCAAGGAAGACCTGGATTTGTCTTTTTCTCTCTTCAGTTCTGTCAGGTCTTGCTTCATGTATTTGGAAGGTCCCCTGTAAGGTGCTGCGTAGACGTTTAGGGCTGTTAAAGTTTCCTGGGTTGGCCCTTTGATTCTTATGAAATAGCCTTCTTTCTCCCTGGTGGTGTTCTTTATTCCGTAATCTGAAGTTTATTCTGTTTGATACTAATATAGCCACGCTTTTAATTAGCAACAGCATAGTATATATTTTTCCATCCTTTATTTTTAACATATATGTGCCTTTATATTTAAAAGTGTGTTTCTTGTAGGCAACATATAGTCTTGGTTTTTTTAGTCCAATATGACAATTTCAGCCTTTTAATTGGAGTGTTTAGATCATTTGTATTTAATGTTATCATCTATAAGTTAGATTCAAATCTACCATCTTGCCGTTAGTTTTTTTGTTTAATCTGTCCCGTCTATACTTTGTGATGTTTTTCTTTTCCTAACTTCTTTTAGATTATTTATTTTTAGGGCTCCGTGTTATCTCCATTATTGACTTATTGACCACAAACAGGTGGTTCCTGTAGGGTTTGCAGTATTTGTCTTCCACTTAATGTATAGTGCTAGAACCTCACAACCATAGACTTACGTTTCTCCCCTGCTGTCCTTTATGCTATTGTTGTCAGGCATATGCCTTCTATTGCTATTGTAAACTACAATACACTGATTATTTTTGCCTTAAACAGTCAAAGACTGTGAAAATGAGGAAAAAATGTCTTTGATGTTTACCTGCATGTATTCCGTTCTTAGCACTCTTCATTCCTTTGTGTGGATTTAAATCTACATCTGGTTTCTTTATACCTGAAGAACTTTCTCTAATATATCTTGTGTTTCAGATCTTCTGACAGTGAATCTTGTAAATTTTGTTTATCTAAAAAATACTTTATTTTGCCTTCATTTGTTGAAAGATGTTTTGGCTGGGTATAGAGTTCTAGGTTAACAGGGTTTTTTTCCCTTTCAGTACTTAAAGATGTTGCTTCATTATTTTCTGGCTTGCATAATTTTCTGATGAGAAGTCTGCCTTTACCTCTTATCTTTGTTTTTCTGTGCATAATGTATGGTTTGTTTTGTTGGTATGTGTGGCTACTTTAAATATTTCCTCTTAATTATTGATGTTCAGCAGTTTATCATGTGCATGGTTTTCGTTTTGTTTTATTATTATTTTTTATTTTAGTTTTTGAGGAAGATTAGCCCTGAGCTAACATCCACTGCCAGTCCTCCTCTTTTTGCTGAGGAAGACTGGCCCTGAGCTAGCATCTGCGCCTATTTTCCTCTACTTTATATGTGGGATGCCTACCACAGCATGGCTTGCCAAGCGGTGTCCGCACCCGGAATCCAAACCGGTGAACCCTGGGCTGCCGAAGTGGAATGTGCACACTTAACCGCTTTGCCACCAGGCTGGCCCCTGTTGTGTTATTTATTTATTTCTTCAAATATTTTTTGCTTGCCCCTATTTTCTGGGATTCCAATTACATGTATGTTGGACTACTTCTTAATGTCTCGTGGGTCACTAATATCTTATTCATTTTTTTGTCAATCTCTTTTCCTCTCTGTGCTTTATTTTGAATAGATTCTATTGCTATTTTCAAGTTCTCTTTCTCTTTTCTTATGTATATCTAATTTGCTGTAAATACCATCCAGCATATTTTCATTTCAGATATTTTTCATCTCTGGAAGTTCCCTTTAGTTCTTTTTACGTATTTCCTATTTCTCGTCATGTTCATGTTTTCCTTTACATCTTTGAGCCAATGGAACATACTTAAGACAGTGGTTTTAATGTTCTTTTCTGCTAATTCCATCATCTCTGTAGTTTCTGGGTCTGTTGCTGTTGACTGATTTTTCTTCTAGCTGTGGGTCATATTTTCCTGCTTTGTCATCGGTCTTGCAATTTTTGAGTGGATATTGGATATTGTCATATTCCTTTAGAGATTGTTGGACTTTTCCTGGCAGGAAGTTAAGTAATTGCAAATTAACTTGATCCTTTTGAGATTTGTTTTTTAAGTGGTTTTAAGGTAGATCTGTGGTAGCCTTTATTCTAGGGCTAATTTAGCTGCACTTATAATGTGCGACCCTTCTAGGATCTACTGAATGCCCCTTATAGGCAGCAAGGTCTCTCCACTGTGCTTGGAGGGAGTTTGAAAAATTCCTGGCCTTAAGTGAGCCCTGGGAGTTATTAGTCATAAAGCTCCCAGGTCATGGTTCTTTTTTCAGGAATCCTTGTTTTCTAGTGTGTGCTCTGGTCTGGGGATTCTTTAGGCAGAAAGTGTTGGCAATGGTAGAGGTCACCTTATTTGTTTTTGTTTTCTCACAAATTACAATTCTGCATTTTTCACTGTCCAGAAATGATGGTTTCATAGATTTTATCTGCTTCTCTATTGTTTACATTTAGTTGGGGGAAGGTAATTCAGTGCTCATGGCTGGAAGAAGAGGCTCCAATCCACAGTTTTTAACCTGGTCTGGGCTAGTGGTTCTCAACGGCAGGATTTGCCCACCCTAGCCCCGTGTACATTTGGCAATTTCTGGAGACATTTTTGGTTGTCACAACTGAACTTCTACTGGGTAGAGCTGAGGGGTGCTACTAAACATCCTTCAGTGCACAGGACAACCCCTCACAACAAAGAATTATCTGGCCTAAAGTGTCAATAGTGCTAAAGATCAGAAACCTAGTGGAAACAGGGTGCAAATTAGAACTGCCCCCCACCCCAGTCCCCGCAGTTTAAAGTCCACATTTTCCTATGAGGGGAGCTGCCTGAGTTTCTTCATCTGTAAAATGAAAGCATGCAGGGTTGTCCTAAGGATTGGAAATATTTTATGAGCACTGCTTTACTGATAAGTAACCCATAAATGATGAATTCTTTTAACCTATGGACTGGACTAACCTGAACAGGTTGGATTATGTGGGTTGATGCCTATTGTTCAGCCTTTCATCTTGATTGTTATCACTGAACTCACTTGGAATTGACGAAGCAGAGTGCTTTGTAAATAACTTAGAGGTTGCATAGTTCTTTGAAGCTTGAGCTTTGTTTTTCAGAATGGAGCATTGGCCAACTTCCGAATAATCTGGGGTGCTTGTTAAAGGTAGATTGCTGGGCCTCTAGATTGAAGACTGACTTAACAGGTTTCTCAGGGGATGTTTAAGCACATACAAGCTTGTAAACCTTTGGCCTAGAGTTACTCAAGGCAGCAATCAATTTCAACTGCCTGGGTTTTGGCGTGGGAATCAGTTTCCCCCACCCAGTGAAGTGGATATTTAGTAAACCAGTTAAAGAAAGATCTTTTGGGGTTACTCCATAGTTATTGAATCAGCTCTTTTTATCTAAATGTGTATGGAAGGAAGGCTTGGGAAGGAGGGCACATCACAGCAGTGAGCTCACTGAACTGAAATAGGCAAACAATGTCTGGCTGATGCCCTGCTATTTTATGCTTCTGGGACTGTAGACTGAGCCAGGCCTCTTGACCTTTCTCAAAGCGCCTGTTGCTTCTGACTCTTTCCCCCACTGTAACATGTGACGCATGTCATGCTACGCTGTGGTTACTGAAGGCCCCGTACGGCCTGAGAGAACTTTGTCTTGCTCACCACCACATACTCATGGCTTAGTGGAGGCACCATTTATGGGAGGAACGAACGGGCACTAAATTCTCAGTCTGCTGCCATGAGTTTACACTTCAGAGTCTTCTTTCCTTCAGGAGTGACCAGAAGCACCTCACCTTCTCAGCACGCCCTGCCTTTTATGCAGAACAACTCTCCCAGGCCAACCCTTGGTTTATGTACTAGTTCTCAGGATCGGTGTCCTAATCGTCAGCCTCTTAAGGGGATCAGCCCAGCTTTCTTCACCGAATCTTTTCATGTTGTCTCCGAGGAACCTAGCAAGGCACGTTAATGATCATTGTACATCTTCAGTTAGATCTTAGGTGCCGATCTGATGATCTCAGATCTTGCATTGTCTGTGGAACAGTTAGGAAATCCTCCCTTTGTCTTCCGCAGTGGTCATCTCCGTCAGAGGCAACTGAAAGTTTCATATCAGAAGAGATTTGGTTGGCACCCCCACAGTTCTACGAAATAAGAAGACTCCAGAACTTTGCCTCTCTCTCTGACTTGCACAAATTTTGTTTGGATCGTGCAATAGAAGGGCCGGAAAGGTGGCTGCCGATCACGTGCTTAACTGCTGATGGGAGGCTCCAGCTTCTACCCGGTACGTCAGTGGAGCACCAAGGCTTCTGCTAGTGTTCACCTTTAACGCACTGGGCAAGGTGGCAGTATTGCCCAACATAGACGTGAGTTCCAGTCTGCGTTTCACACGCTACAGCGATATTAAATAATGTCAAAGTCTATAAAATATCCATAGTATTTATTATAACCAGAGTTCTGAATAAGTCACTTTATAGACACACATATACATTTATGTAAATATATTTCCTAGGCATTGACAAAGTTCTTTCCCATATATTATCTCACTTTTTTATACTTTAATTTTGAATCATGAGAACTTGTAAGTTGTCCGCTTATTTGCATTAAGGAGTTTGGGAGGTCAGTTATTGTTGGGCAGGTCTGGGATAGAGATTTCGTGGCAGTTCAGAATGGGGCTTTGTGACTGGTCTTACTAACGGCTACCTGTCTCGTTTTCAGATTAGTGATAATATTTGTTACTTATCCTACCATGGGACATTTTAGCAGTTTTGATGTGTAAATGATAATTTCTCTAATTTAACCTTAAAATTATCAGAGCAGCTCACATTGAAACACTAAAAGTATATGGATAGCAAGGCCAGTATTAATATTGACTAGGCTAAAGAGAGTCATGAACTAGTATAAAAGTTATAGTTCATGATGAAAAAATACCAGTCGTAGATATTTATGTGCCCAAAGAAAATTCTTGGCTTGGGATTGGGGAGCTGGGGGGGGGTGGGTATTAAAAACACAAGAAAGAAATTGAGGTAAGCACATAAAATTAGGGTTATTTAACAACTATCTCAGTTCCAAATACATGAAATAGATAAAAATACAGATTTATATGTCACTAATATATTGGAATGTTTTATAAAATAACCCTTTCTGGAATTAAAATATTTTTCAGGAGACGAACTGTACTTAGAAGATTCATACTTTTTAGAAAATCCTTTGTCCACTGAAAAAAAGACTGAAGAAGTTATGAAGGAAGGCAAGAAATTTCACCGAATAGTAATACACAGCCCTCATGTTTACAGTATCCACGTGACTGTTCAGTCAAAGTGTAAACACGTCTATCCTAAGAACTATGTAGTAAGTAAGAGCCGTTTGTAGAGTACTGCTTTGTGTAAACTGACTACCTGATGTTGCCCTGATGGCTACTGAGGCTTCACTGGACTTGCTTGGAACTTTGGGCCTGTAAAAGTTATAGTGTAGCCTTTCATATTTCAGGTGTGTTATGGAGCACTCTTGCTTATTTATTCTTTAAACCCTACAGGAATTAATGGTCTTGTTACCAAAACAAGAAAAAAATTCACCAGGTTTTCCACTCCTGTATTGTTTCATTATCAAAAGTGTAAACAAGATGTTCTCTCGCCATTATCTTTAACTGTCCGGTGGATTAGCACTTCCCGGATGTGCCTAGGAGAATGATCCGTGAATTCTTTAAATTTTATGCTGAAATTAATTTCAGGGTGTCTGATTACATAGGGAACAGTAGACTGAGATGACCTTCAAGTGACAATGTCATTATTTTCTTACGTCTTTAGCCTGATGGTTAAGATACAATTCTGTTCAAAACCAAATGGCATTAGTTATTAGGTTTACCAAATTGGAAACCGATTTCAGTTACTATTTTAAAGAAATATGAAGGCATAGAAAACCATGATTCTTTTTACTCTGCCAGTAAGTGAATACAGAGAGGTTAGAGAGATGCAGAACTATGCATCATTTACTGGCATTTATTAATGATGTTTATTTTCAGTATTTTTAGTAGGGGTAATTTTTTCACTTCCTCTTATGGGGAAAAATCTTTATTGATTAAAGATGAGAAATGGTTAAGATGCTAATTCTGTTTCAGATCTTTGACTATTATGCTGTGTATAATGGATGTCGTTTTCCATGAAATATCTTAGTTTTCCTACCTATAAAATAGAAGTATTGATAAATAAAGTTTATGTGTATTATTTAATCCTGATGAGAGGAATACGTTTAATCAGTGCTTCTCAGTCCCAGGCACTTTAGCCCTTCAGGGGACATGTGATAATGTCTGGAAACATCATTGGTTGTCACAACTGAGAGCAAGATGCTACTACCACCTAGTGGGGAGAGGCCAGGGGTGCAGTTAAATATCCTCCAGTACACAGGACAGCCGCCCACAAGGAATTATCTGGCCAAGGTTGAAAAACTCAAATCTAGAATAAAATCTATTTTCTTCAGTAAATGGTTCCAATATCTAAATTTTGAGAACCGCAGATACGGTTAGCATTCTGAATCTACAAAAGTTCTCCTTACTGACTTTTGGCCTTGGCATAATATTCTTTCATTTTCACGGAAAATACAGTGTTACAGCTGGAAGAGACTTCAGTGAACACCACGATTTTACTGACGGGGAAACTGAGAAACAGATTATTCCTCAGATTAACAGCTAGTTAGTGCCACAGCCAAGAGTAGAGCCTGATGCTTTGTGGAGCAAGTGACATCTGTTGCTTGTCACCAGAAGCAGAAGTCTGAACACTTCTGCCCATTGCATCTTGGTATTATAGTCACCAAGGAGACCACAACGCAGCCAAGCGTTGGATGGAACAGGGCTTTACTCAACATGGAGAAGAGGCAGAGCGAGATCGGCTCCAGGAGTGCACCTTGGTCCCCCGTGGCCAGCAGGTCCCCTCCCGGCTGCTCACACAGGGCACTTGGCCCACACACACCCCTCTTGTGCTGCAGGGGAAGGGCCCCGTCTGCTCCCTGCATGGGCAGATAGAGTGCTGCAGGGGAAGGGCCCCGTCTGCTCCCTGCATGGACAGATAGAGTGCTGCAGTGGAAGGGCCCCGTTTGCTCCCTGCATGGGCAGATAGAGTGCTGCAGGGGAAGGGCCCCGTCTGCCCCCTGCATGGGCAGATAGAGTGCTGCAGTGGAAGGGCCCCGTCTGCTCCCTGCATGGACAGATAGAGTGCTGCAGTGGAAGGGCCCCGTCTGCTCCCTGCATGGGCAGATAGAGTGCTGCAGGGGAAGGGCCCCGTCTGCCCCCTGCATGGGCAGATAGAGTGCTGCAGTGGAAGGGCCCCGTTTGCTCCCTGCATGGGCAGATAGAGTGCTGCAGTGGAAGGGCCCCGTCTGCTCCCTGCATGGGCAGATAGAGTGCTGCAGGAGAAGGGCCCCGTCTACTCCCTGCATGGGCAGATAGAGTGCTGCAGTGGAAGGGCCCCGTCTGCTCCCTGCATGGGCAGATAGAGTGGTGGCGTTGGCTGGGTGCCAGACAATTCGCACACTTGAGCAGAGCAAGGGTGCACACGTTGAGTCTGAAACGAGGAAGGACATCCCCATACAATGTGGCAGGGCCAGCACAGGTTGTGAGGGCTCTCTGTCTTTTGGTAAGGAAGTGTTCCAGGCCCAAGGCCCATCCTTAGGCAGCTGAGACAGAGGGTCAAAAGACCGTGCGTGACGCTGCCTTTCCCAACACTCCGAGCCTGGTGCCCTCTTCACTGGAGTTAGATGGCTCAGTGGGTGACTTTAGGAGATATAGTGATAAGTACTGTGACTGGGTTTTCTTCATAAAGATAGATTTTTTTTCTGTATCATTTATTTATTTATTTTTTTAAGGACGTTTAGCCCTGAGCTAACATCTGCCACCAATCGTCCCCTTTTTGCTGAGGAAGACTGGCCCTGAGCTAACATCCGTGCCCATCCTCCTCTACTTTATATGTAGGACACATACCACAGCATGGCGTGCCAAGTGGTGCCATGTCCACACCTGGGATCCGAACTGGTGAACCCTGGGCTGCTAAGACAGAATATGTGAACTTCACTACTGTGCCACTGGGCCGGATCTGGGTTTTGTGTTTTTTTTGTTTTTGTTTTTTTGGTGAGGAAGATTGGCCCTGAGCTAACATCTATTGCCAATCTTCCTCTTTTTGCTTGAGGAAGATTGTCACTGAGCATATCTGTGCCAGTCTTCCTCCACTTTGTAAATAGGATGCCGCCGCAGCAAGGTTTGATAAGCAGTGTGTAGGTCCGCGTCTGGGATCTGAACTGGCAAACCTAGCCACTACCCCATGGTGCCAGCCCCTGTTTTTTGTTGTTTTTAATCTGAATGAACCTTGTCTCCCTCCAAGAATTCCTTTGGGGAGACTGTCACGTAACTCCCTGTCTGTGGTGATACCCTAAGCCCTGCCCAAAATAACAGGGCTTCCCTCATGAGCAGAAAAGGTTGTGTGGTTTTAGGCCCAGCTTGCTAGCATTTGTGGCGTTTATCGTATGCTCTTTCTTACCTCGTGTATTCCAGCTACCTGGGCCTCAGACAGAAGCAGAAAGCTGATTTCTCGACTCCACCTCTGCTCCTTGGAGTCCCCTTCGTGCCCACAGGGGTACCTCTGCTCCATGCTATCTTGTCCAGGGCACAGCCAGGAAAACTCATTTCTATACCACCATACGATCTCTGAAAACTCACTTAATAGACTCAGGAGTAAATACTAAGTTGGTAGACATTTTTGTTGCCTACCCTTTTTTGCTGAATCTTTTGGGTGACTTCATAAGAATCCAGAGCTGGGCTGGCATCAATATTTCAGGCTAACATGTCTTGTCCTCACGGTTCTTTGTTAATGAAATAAAACGTGTGGGAGATACAATAAGGACTCAAATGTAAGGGGACTTCCTCTCTTCTGAGGGATAATTTATCGCTGGGGGGTGCCCTCATATTTGGGCATGTGTAGTTATTTCACTTACTCCTCAAACCTCTATTTTTTCCAAGCTCTGCAACTTTTTTTTTTGAGGAAGATTAGCCCTGAGCTAACTACTGTCAATTCTCCTCTTTTTGCTGAGGAAGACTGGCCCTGAGCTAACATCCGTGCCCATCTTCCTCTATTTTATATGTGGGATGCCTACCACAGCATGGCTTGCCAAGCAGTGCCACGTCCACACCCGGGATCCGAACCCGTGAACCCCGGGCCGCCGAGAAGCGGAACATGCGAACTTAACTGCTGCGCCACCAGGCCGGCCCATGTCTGCAACTTTTGACAGTTTTCCACTCCTCCTTGCTCCCCCGACCCACTCCTCCTCTGTCTTCTTTAATTTCTTCTCTAACTGATGTTACATGTTAGAGTCCGTCAATGCTTGTTCTCTCCTTGGGTGACGTAAGCAACTTCCAGGTCACATCCTTAAACAATGAAATTGCTTGCCCTCCGTTTCTCTATTTCCTTCTCACCGGCTAGAAATGGTGACAACTGGAGCAGCTACCCTGGACCCAGAGACAGAAGCCAAATGTTAAGGCATAACTGCCTGCCACACTTGGACTGCTCAACTCTTGCTTGTCATGTGAAAGAAAATACAACTTCTATTTTATATAAGCTGCTATGTTTTGGGGGCTCTTTCTTAAAACAATTTAGCTTGTTCCCTAACCTGTAACTTTTCCCTCCTAAGCAGGTTCCCTCAGCAGTCTTCCCTATATCAGAAATCTACGAGTTATTTAAGCTAAAAATCTTAGTCATTCTTGGTCCTCTCTTTCCTTCATTCCTGTGTCCAGGTGACTAGTAAGTCCCATTGATTCTGTTTCCTGCAGTCATCTTGAATTTCCTGTCTTCTGACCTCTGCACTACTATCACCTTAGTCCAAGCCAGTTATCTCTTAACCTAGTTAACTGTAACAGCCTCGGAGCTAGTCTCCATTTTCATTTTTCTCCTCACAATGCATTTGCCCATTGAGCTGGAAACATGATCTTGACATTGAAATGAAAGTCATGTCCTGCCACTGCCCTCATTAAAACCCTTCAATGGCTTTTCTTCACACTTAAAAACTAAATTTACTGTGGCCTACGAGGCCCCACCTTTGTCTCTGATCTCATCATTCACCCCTCTCCTACCCTCCCATCGGAAGGATCTTCTTTCTGTCTTTGACTACTTTTTTTTTCTTTTTGAAGAAGGTTAGCCCTGAGCTAACATCCACCACCAATCCTCCTCTTTCTGCTGAGGAAGATTGGTCCTGAGCTAACATTTGTGCCCATCTTCCTCTATTTTATATGTGGGACACCTGCCACAGCATAGCTCAGTCAACAGTGCGTACATCCACACCTGGGATCTGAACCAGTGAACCCGCACTGCAGAAGTGGAGCACGGGAACTTAACTGCTATGCCACCAGGCTGGCCCCCTGTTTAAGTGTTTTTAAATGCACAAATAGCTAGTAGAATTAAAAATAGAATGGTCACTTTTCAAATTAGCCAAAAACAAAGCATAACCCCTAATAGAAAAGATAGAAAACAATGGAAATGGCAATGAAATAAAAGCCAAAAGTTAAAATAAAACAATTTAGGTAGGAATAAATATCAACCATGACAATACACAAAAATGGTTTAAATTTATTAATAAATGAAGAATCTCAGATCAAATGTTTTAAAAACAAATTATCTAAAGGAACTAGAAAAAGAAGAATAAGATAAGCCCCAAGTTTGAAGTAGGAAGGAAATAATAAAGATTGGAGCAAAAATGAATGAAATAGGGTCAGGAAAACAATAGAAAAGATTAAAAGTTAATTCTTTGGAAAGATAAACAAAATTGACAAATCTTTGGCTAGACTAACTAAAAAAACAAAAAAAGGACCCAAATCAATAAAATTATAAATGAAAGAGGAGACATTACAATGGATACCACAGAAATAGGATGATGGGAAACGATTATGAACAACTATACACCAACCAACTGGACAACCTGGAAGAACAGGATAAACTCCTGGAAACATACAGCCTACCAAAAGTGAATCAAGAAGAAGGAGGAAATCTGAACAGACCAATCACAAGTAAGGATGTTGAGCCAGTAATCAAAAACCTCCCCAGAAAGAAAATTCCAGGACCAGATGGCTTCACTGGTGAATTGTACAAGACGTCTAAGGAAGAATTAATGCCATACCTTCTCAAACTCTTCCAAAAAAATCAAAGAGGGAAAACTCCCAAACTCATTTTATAAGGCTATCATTGCCTTGACACCAAAGCTAGATAAGGACATTACAAGAAAAGAAAACTACAGGCCAATAGCCCTGATGAATATAGACGCAAAAATTCTAAACAAAATACTAGCAAACTGAATTCAGCAGTACGTTACAGAGATCATCCATCATGATCAGGTGGGATTTATCCCTGGGAGGCAAGGATGGTTCAACGTTTGCAAATCAATAAATGTGGTACATCACATTAATAGAATAAAGGATAAAAATCATACGATCATCTCAATAGATGTAGTCAAAGCATTTGACAAAATTCAACATCCCTTCATGATAAAAACTCTCAACAAATTAGGTATAGAAGGAATGTAACTCAACATAATGAAAGCCATAGATGACAAGCCCACAGCCAACATCATACACAATGGTAAAAAGTTGAAAACTTTTCCTCTAAGATCAGGAACAAGCAAAGGGTGCCCACTTTCACCACTCATATTCTACATAGTGCTAGAAATCCTAGCCAGAGCAATCTGACAAGAAAAAGAAGTAAAAGTCATCAGAATTGGAAAGGAGGAAGTAAAATCGTCTTTCTTTGTGGATGACATGATCTTATACATAAAAAGTCCTAAAGACTCCACCAAAAAACTGTTAGATCTAATGAACAAATTCAGTAAAGTTGTAGGATACAAAAACAACCTACAAAAATCAGTAGCATTTCTATACACTAACAACGAATTATCTGAAAAAGAAATAAAGAAAACAATCTCATTTACAATAGCATCAAAAACAATGAAATACTTAGGAATAAATTTAACCAAGGAGGTGAAAGATTTCTATACTGAAAACTGTAAGATATTGCTGAAGGAAATTGAAGAAGACACAAAAAAATGGAAAGATATCCTGTGTTGATGGATTGGAAGAATTAATATTGTTAAAATGTTCATACCATCCAAAGCCATCTATAGGTTCAATCCATGCCTATCAAGATTCCAATGGCACTTTTTTTTTACAGAAATAGAAAAAAAATCCTAAAATTCATATGGAACCGCAAAAGACCTCAAATAGCCAAAGCAATCCAAAGACCAATGGAATAGAATTGAGATCTCAGAAATAAACCCGTGCATATGGTCAGCCAACATTTGACAAGGGAGCCAGGAATACTCAATGGAGAAAAGACAGTCTCATCAATAAATGGTGCTGGGAAAATTAGATATTCACATGGAAAAGAATGAAACTAGACCCTTATCTTACATCGCTCACAAAAATTAACTCAAAATGGATTAAGGACTTAAAGGTAAGACCTAAAACCATAAAACTAGAAGAAAACATAGAGAAAAAGTTTACTGATGTGAGTCTTAGCAATAATTTTTTTGATATGACCCCTAAAGGACAAGCAACAAAATAAAAAACAAGTGGACTATATCACACTAAAATCTTCTGCACAGCAAGAGAAACAATCAACAAGATGAAAAGGCAACCTATGGATGGGAGAAAATATTTGAAAAACACATCTGATAGGAAGTTAATACCAAAAATATATAAGGAACTCATACAACTCAGTAGCAAAAAAAAAAAAAAAAAAAAATCAAATTTAAAAATGGGCAAAGAATCCAAATAGACATTTTTCCAGGAAGATATTAAGATGGCCAACAGCGCATCACTAATTATTAGGAAAACGCAAATCAAAACCACAATGAGCTGTCGCCTCACACCTGTTAGAATGGTTATCATCAAAAAGACAAGCGAAAACAAGTGTTGGTGAAGATGTGGAGAAGAGGGGATACTCTTGCACTGTGGGTGGGAATGTAAATTGATGCAGCCACTACGGAAAACAGTATGGCGGTTCCTCAAAAAATTAAAAACAGAACTACCATATGATACAGCAGTCCTATTTCTGGGTATATATCCGAAGGAAACAAAATCACTATCCCAAAGAGACATCTGCATATTCATTGAAGCATTATTTACAATAGCAAAGACATGGAAGCAACCTAAGTGTCCATCAATGGATGAATGGATAAAGAAAATGTGACGCGCACACACACACACACACACACACACATATATATGTACAATCATGCACCAGATAACAATGTTTCCATCAACAAAAGACTGCAAATAATGACAATGGTCCCATCAGATTAGTACCATATAGCCTAGGTGTGTAGTAGGTCATACCATCTAGGTTTGTGTAGGTGCAATCTATGATGTCCACACAACGACAAAATTGCCTAACAACGCATTTCTCAGAACGTATCTCCATCGTTAAGTGACACACGACTGTATGTATATATGTAATGAAATACTATTCGGCCATAAAGAAGAAAGGAGTTCTGCCATTTTTGACAACATGGATGGACCTTGAGAGCATTATGCTAAGTGAAATAAGTCAGAGGGAGAAAGACAAATACTGTATGATCTTACTTATATGTGGAATCTAAGAAAACCAAACTCATAGAAACAGAGATCAGATTTGTGGTTGCCAGATATGGGTGGTAGACGGTGAAAAGGTATAAACTTCCAGTTAGGAGATAAGTAAGTTCTAGGGGTGTAACTACATCACGATGACTATAGTTAACAAATTGTATTGTATATTTGAAAGCTGCTGAAAGAATTGATGTTAAAAGTTCTCATCACAAGGAAGAAAACTTGTAGTTATATGAGATGATGGATGTTAACTATGGTAATCATTTAGCGATATATGCATATGTGGAATCATTATGTTCTACACTTTAAACTTATACAGCGTCATATGTCAACTATAGCTCAATAAAACTGGAAAAAATTAAACCTAACTGTAAGTTGTTTAAAAACAGTGTTGCAGGAGGACTGAAAATTAACAGAGGGAAACAGAAAGGAAGAGGAGCTTAGAGAGTGTTAATGAGATGAAGTAGAATTCAACATAGAAAGCAATAAGTGGGACAAAGGTTAATTTTCGTTTCATACTATATAGTTCAAAATGAAGATGAAAATTTCCTTTCAGTGAATAACACAACATTGAGCTGTGAAAAAAAACACATTAGAAACAAAGATAATCTGACAGATGTATAATATTTAGTGGGAACCATGAACATGGCTTTTTCTGCCAGGCAGATCAAGTCCATGAAAGATAACTGAGGTGTTTGGGAAAAACCCAAAGCCAGGCACTTTTGGGTTGAATGGCATAATTGTAATGTCCACTCTCTCTCAACTGTTGCAAATGTATAAGAAACAAAACTAAAAAAGTTATTTTCTTAAAAATCAGCTGACAAATGATCAAGCCAGCTTTTGGACCAAGCCTGTTGCTCCTTTCTTTTTTTGTAAAAATGATAGGGATTTTTTTACAACTGTGGAAGTGCAGATGCCTTTTAGAATTGATGACTTCACAGTAAGATGATGTCAACCACATTTGGGAAGGGAGGGCTGTGGGAGGAGGGAAGGGAGACTGTCCTCTTGGGCCATCTTTAAGAATTATGCCAGCTCTGGAAAACTTAGACTAGCTCCTTGCTACGACCCCCACCCCCACCGTGAGCACACTGACTGAGTGCAGGCTGAGCATGACTGGAGGTCTTGCTGTCTTAGACTCCCCTCCAGCCATTCCTAACGCTTTGTCGTCTCTCCCTTTCTCCCTTTTCTTGGGGCCTTGAAAGGTCCTTTGGGGTGGGGAGCAAAAAGATAACAGAACAGATGACTCCCAACCCAGGCGCTTTGTAGAACCAGAATAGCATTCCAGTGATGGGAGAGACTTTAATTTCCTAACACCTAACATCCCCTCGGTGCCTGCAAGAGCCAGGCTGCTCCTGACATGAGCTAGCCATATTTGTGACTGACCAGTATTAAACCTTCCTGCATTGCTGGGATGAGCCTTACAGCCTAACTTGGCCAAGGCTTAATTTTTTTCATTTGTCCTGGATTTTACTTAGTAGCATTTTATTGGGGATTTCAGCTTCTATTTGATAAGCGAAATTAGTCTGTAGTTCTCTGTGTTATCTTTGACAGGTTTTAGTAGTAGGATTTAACTGCCTTATAAAAATGCATTGGGAATCTTTTCATCTTTTTACGTTGTGGAGTAATTTCTTTTTTATTGAGGTCTAATTGACAGATAACCTTATATTAATCTCAGGTATACAACATACTGACTCGATATTTGTATATATTTTGAAATGGTCACCACAATAACTCTAGTTAACATCTATCACCATACATAGTTACAAAAAGTTTTTCTTCTGCTGAGAACTTTTAGGATCTACTCTCGTAGCAACTTGCAAATATGCAATACAGTATTATTAACTTGAGTCACCATGCTGTATATTACAGCCCAACTACTTATTTATGAGGAATTTCTTTAAAAATGCTTCCCACTAGCTGGGGGGCCGGGGCGGGGCGGGAGTGGGGCTCAGAGACAGGTTACAGGTGAAGATACTGACCCTCCTCCGCCTCAAGGGGCCTAGGTGGCTGCAGCCCCAGGGTAGTGAGCATTACTCCATACCATAACAGCAGTCTTGACCCTTCGTCCTAGTGTGATGTATAAATATTTTCATTTTCTGTGAACTGTGTTGTGAAAAAGTTAGGGAAACACCACATTGTAGCACAGGTTCTACTCAAAAGAAAAAAATGCTGACCCCACACTAAGAATTGGGAGAAGGGTGTATTCTGCCTCTTCTCTGCGGCTTGGGAACTCTCGGGGACCTCCCATTTAACTGAGATGTGGTTGTTTCCCACCTCTTTTTGACAAGGTCTGGAGCTTTCAGGTGAGTTGGCCCTGCCAGGTGCCTCCACTGGGCTGAGGCCCCGTTAGCCCAACGCAGCAGCAGGTGAACGTCCTGCGCCTTGCAGCTGTGTTCCTGCTCGGGGGTCAGCCCCTCTCCTCTCCAACCGTCCTGCCTGAGCCTTGAAGCACGTGATGTTTGTTGACCTTCGGAAATCAAACTTACTTTTCAAACTGGGTGCTTATGTGAGCATTCTGTTTCCCAAATATATACCCCATAATTGCCATGCTCTCTCTAAAGCGTCGCAATCTTTTGCCATCTTATTGGTTCCCTTACCAGCAAATTAACACATTTTTGACGTGGGCTTAAGAAATTTTTTTTCACAATTGAAATACTGAAGAATTCATCTGTAAAACCACCTCGGCCCAGCATCTTCTTTTGGCTGTGGTTCCCGTGATTTTCAAGGAATATTCTTTTACTTTCGTCTTGTTTCTTGGCTTATTCAAGTGTTGGGGAGATTCCTGAGACAGTAATAAAGTTAACCGGCTCTGAGAGCTTCTTGGGTGTCCTTTGTTTCACATAGTGTGAGCTCATCCAATTCTGACAACCACCCTGCGAGTACCAATTTTAAGGGGAGAAAACAGAGGCTTCCAAGCGTTCAAAGGTTAGAGAACCCTGCGGTGCCACAACAAAAATACATGTCTGGGCCAGCACCTGGCACCCCAGGCCGCCCTTTGCAACCTTTGGTGGGGACAGGAATGCCCCTGACAGAGACTTGGAGAGTCCTGGCCTTCCAGAGGGAAGGAGAGGCGAGACCGGAAGCCTTTACGGACGAAGGAGGTCGGTGGGTGCTGCCAGGAGGCCACGAGGACGCGGCATCAGTGGCTAGAGTGATCGTTCCTCACCCCACCCCACCCCTGGCCGCGAGATCGAGGCTGACTAAGAGGGAGTCGGAGGGCAGGGGCGCGCAGCCCCGCGGGACCGAGCAGACGGTGGACAGGCGTGTCCCCAGGCCTCAGAGGCCCCATGACCTCGGCCGGCCGGCTCCGCGCGCCCTCCGTGGCTCCTCCCCCGCGCCCCTGCCCCGCCCGCGGCTCGGGGCGCTGTGCGCAGGGCGCGGCCGTTGTCCGGGCCGTTGGCGCACACGTGGTTTGTGGAAGTCTCGAGGCGGGCGCGGGCGGGGGCAGGCTGCGGGCTGCGGGGCCGAAGCCCCGAGGGCGCCCGCGGCGGCGTCCAGGTCGGAGGGCGGAGCGCGTGGCCCGGGTTGCGTGGCGGGCCGGGGCGGCGGGGCCGGAGCTGGGCGCGCGGGGGTCCGCGGCGGCGAGCGGAGAGGAGGCGGGGGCGCACGGGGGGCGGAGGCCCGCGCTGCGAGAGAGGCTGTTCTTGTGCCAAAAGTTCACTGTGAGTGAGTAGCGACGGGGAGGCCGGCGAGGGGCGCGGCCGCGACGCTGCGTGTCTTTGCAGGGCCTGCAGCGCGCCGGCGGCGAGGCGCAGGAAGATGCTCGAGGTCCTGGTGCTGAAGGTGAGCCAGCGCGAAGCCCCCGGGCCGGCGGTGACCCTCTACCCCCCGTGCAGGGTCCGTCCCGGCCGGGGACGCGGGTCTTTGGACCGCGGGGACGGGTACCAGATACGATCCCGGACTTAATTTGAGATAAACTACGTGAAATTTTAGTCCAGGTGTGGCCATGCACTGATTGCGATATCCTTAGAGTAGAAAGTTATCCGTTGTTCCTCTGAAATTCAAATTTAACTGGGTGTCCTGTATCTAATTCTGGAACCTTAGGAGGAGGGACGGACGGTAATCCCTTCTCCCACGTACCCCGTCGCGGATCGGTGTTGGGTGAGGGCCCCCTCGTGCTCCCGGTCCTTGGACACGGGGACCCTGACTTCTTCCTCTCCCCCGACGCGGGTCCTTTCCGGTGGGTCCCCACCCTTTGGCCCCTTGGGGCTGCGGCCCTGGACAGGAGCGGGGGTGTAACACTCAACCCCCGTGCCCGGCACACGCGCCCCTCCCGGCTTCACTCGTGGGGAACCCTGCCCTCTCGCGCGGGGGGACCCTGGCCCCTCCTCCCCACGCGGGCGCCTCGGGGCTCAGATTCTCGGAGTTGGGGGTGGCGGCGGGGCTCGCCTGGGTGGACAGCTGCGGTTTCGGCTCTGAGTCAGGCGGTGCTCCTTGGTGATGCAGGAGACTCCGAAGGCCTGGTGTGTTCACCATGTTACGTGGAGGAAGCAGTTTACAAAGCAGAGCAGAGGGGTGGGTTTCGGTTACTGGGAAAAGGAAATATAAGTCGCTTAAAAAAAATCATACTTTAGTAGGCAGAGGAGAGGGACGTAGCAAATGATGGGATTTTTTAAAACCATCAACTTTCCTGCTCCTGTTTTATGTCTTATGTAATTTACATGCACAGAGATTCACAAATGTTTGAAGTAGCTGAGTCTTAAGGAGGGTTTGCTCTGAGCCCTTTAGGGGTTTCAGATCCAACTGGCAAGCTTCTCTCCACCATCAGTCCTAAATATGCCAGTCCGACTTCTCCTTTAGGAAAAGACAGGGTTCTTCCAGATACGGAGCCTGCCACGTGCAAATCCATTAGGGCAGAACTTTGGCAGGAGGAACGAACCCCTCTTCTCAGTTGGACCCAAGAACCCTTTTCTCTACCCCCTCAGCTCTGGTCTGCCCCCGCTTCCGGTTCTTACCGGGCTCACACTGACCACAGCCTCTGTCCAGTATGGGAGTACTTCCCCACGTGTCCTGCAGGCACCACTTGTAGTTCTCCAGATTAATTTAGCTTTTACATGGATAAAAATATTTCTGCCTGGTATCTGTCAACAGATGAATGGATAAGCAAAATGTGGGATATGCATATGATGGACTATTCTTCAACCTTAAAAAGGAGGGAAATTCTGACACATGCTACAACATGGAAGAACCTTGAGGACATGTGTTAAGTGAAATAAGCCAGATAGAAAAGGACAAATAACTGTATGATTCCACCTGGCCCCTGGAGTAGTTAGATTCATAGAGAAAGTGGAATGCTGTTTCCCAGGGGCTGGGGGTGGGATGAATGGGAGTTACTATTTAATGGGTATAGAGTTTCACTTTTGCAAGATGAGGAGAGTTCTGGAGATGGATGGTAATGAAGGTAGCACAATATGAGTGTAGTTAATGCCACTGAATATGGTTAAGGTGGTAAATTTTATGTGTAGTTTACAGTTAAAAATAAAATTTAATTTTAGTGGTTTTGTATTCATTTTAGTATATTTAGAAGTGAAAACACAACTAGCATTACGAACCTGTTAGGGTGAGGCTGATGAAGAAAAAAGTGTTGATTAAAAATGTATATTCAGAAAGCAGCCCAGGCAACATGCGGTTGTGTAAGAGGTTAGTAAGGGAGAGTGCAGTGAGGCACGAGTGGGGTGGTGTACATGTGGGCTTGTTTTCCCAGAAGGGCTGCAAGGGAAAAGGATTGGCCGTGTCATCCTCGATCGGAAAGGGGATCCGCACCGAAAAAGTCCCAGGGCCATTGGTCCTACAGTCAAGCTATGTTAGTCGACAGGACCACTTACATTTTAGGACGGTGAGGCATGGACCCTTCAAGTGGACAGCTTTTGCCAGGAGGGGTGGTGGAAGGAGCTAAACAAGCTCTTACAGACATGGGTGAAATTCTGGAAGCTACAGGCTGTGACCTCACTAATGTGATCAGAACAGTTGTTACGCTGGCTGGCATCATAAAGTCAGTACCGCCCGTGAAATCTGCAAACGGTATTTCAGGCGCAGTTTTCCTGCTTCCCAGGCTGCTGCTTTGCGCAGAGGAGGCCATGCTGAGGTTGAAGCAATAGCTGTCCAGGGACCTCTCATGACAGCCAGTCTACAAGTGGGCCAAGCGTTGTTTAGTCTGGAATTTTCATAATGGTGTAAAATTGATGTCTTAATTTTTACAGTTGATGTTGGGAAGTCTGAGTTTGAGTAAAATAGCAAATGTTATTGTGGAAATACCATATACTAAGGGGAATTGAACATGAAGGATAGAGAATATTATAAATCAGTTTGTGTATATATATACATCAGTTAAACTGATGTTATAACTTACACTTAGACACACTCATTACTGAATGTGGAAAAAGACACTCCTTACGTAGTTACTCAGATAAATTAAAGGGAAGTAACATGTAGGAACGCTGAGTTACTATTCTAGAGAAATAGTTTCAATTAAATCCAATTAATTTAATGATGTGAAGTGTTTAGTTATCATGCCAGATATATGATTCTGCTTTTACTTAAGTAAAATTAAAGTATTCGTTTGAATGGTAGAGGTCAAGGAGAAGAAAGCGGACCAAAATTTTATGTAAATATTTCTTTAATGAAAATAAAATAGACATGCAGAAAAAAGAAAAGAAAAGCACCATGTCTGGCTGATGATGGCAGTGTGGGCAGGTTGCTTCATAGCCCTGGGGGGGCAGCGGCCGTCCTTGGTGCCAGAGGTGGAGTTGGGAGCCCGTCCCCTCCTAGTAAAGGATGTGGAAGAAAGTGCAACTTGAACCACTTCTTCTGCTGGCTGGCAAAACTGACCCCAGCCTGGCCTGCATTTTCTAGGTTTTAGAAGCAGATTTTTAAATAACAAAACATTCTAGCAACTTCAAAGGATCTATGCTACCTTAAGAAAATTTATTTATTTGTATTTTAGAGATTGGCACCTGAGCTGTTGCCAATCTTTTTTTTTCTCTCCTGCTTTTTCTCCCCTAATCTCCCCAGTACATTGCTGTATATTTTTAGTCGTGGGTCCTCCTAGTTGTGGCACGTGGGACGCCGCCTCAATGTGGTCTGATGAGTGGTGGCATGGATCCGGACCAGTGAAACCCTGGGCCGCCAAAGCTGGAGCACACGAACTTAACCACTTGGCCACGGGGCCGGCCCCCCAAAATTTATTTTAAACGTTTTTTCCAAACTTGATATTTTGGAGATTTTCAAACATAAAAACAAGTTATAATAACAATGTTGAGAATAACCATATATCCCACACCTAGACTCAACAATTGTTAATGTTCTGTTGCATTTGCATATTTCTTGATAAATATGTGTATATAAAATTATTTACTTTTTTTTACTGAACCATTTGAAAATTAGTTGAGAACTCTAAATACTTGGACGTGTTTCCTAAGAGCAAAGACTCTCTTCAATAACCACAATATAATTATCATACTTGAGAAATTTAACATTGGTACAATACTGTTGCCTAATATATAGTCCAGACCTGAATTTCTCCAGTTGTCCCAATAATGTCTTCTATAACTTGTTTTCTCTGATCCAGGACCCAATCAGAAATTAGGCATTGTATTTAGTTGTGGCCTTTTAGTTTCCTTAAATTTAAGCCAGTTTTCCTGGCTTTTTTGTATCTTTGTTGTCATTGAAATTTATAAAGAGCGAGGGCAGTTGCTTTGCAAAATATTCCTCACTTTGGGTTTGTCTGTCTGTTTCCTCATGATGTGTTTAGGTTAAACGTTTTTAGTAAAAATACTGCGTAGATGATGTCACATCAGAGGACGAGAAGCTTTTTTAAAAAATCATTACTTTTGATTTAAAATAATTTAAAAATCTAACTTTTTGTTAGGAAATATTCTGGACATACAAAAAAGTATAGAAAATATGATCATAAACACCTAGACATTCACCACCAAGCTTTGTCAAGTGTTAACATTTTCACGTATTTGTTTCACGTCTGTAAACGATTTTTTAAATTGAGGTGTAATTTATATATAGTAAATTCGTTATTTTTAATGAGAGTTCTGTGATATTTTGAAAAATTCATACAATCCTGTAATCACTAGCATGATTAAGATGGGGAACAGTTCTATCACCCCCCACCCAGATAGTCATTTCTTTCCCCACCCCTGGTCCTTGGCAACCACTGATCTGTTTTCCTCCCTATTAGTTTTGCCTTTTCCAGAATGGCATAAAAATGGAATTTTGCATATAGACTCATACAGTAGTATGTAGCCTTTGTGTCTGGCTTCTTTGACTTAATACAATGCATTTGAGACTAATTTATCTTGTTGCATGTATCGGTAGTGTCCTCCTTTTTATTGATAAGTCATATTCCATTGTATGGATATGTGACAGTTTGTTTATACAATCAGCAGCTGAAGGCCATTTGAGTTGTTTCTGGTTTGGGGAGATTATAAAGAAAGCTATAAACTTTACATGTAGGTTTTTGTGTGAACACAAGTTTTCGTTTCACGGGTAAATATCTAGGCTTGGGTTTCTGCACGTTTAACTTTATGAGAAACTTTTCCAAAGTAACTGCACCATTTTGGAGTCCCGTGAGCAACATACAAGAATTCTAGTTGCTCTGCATCCTCACCAGCACTTGATATTGTCGGTTTTATAAATATTAGCCATTCTAGTAGGTGTTTAATGTTATTGTCACCAAAAGTTTGGTCTCTGAACCTGGTGCCAACCCAAATAATGAGAACAGAGTTTTGGGTGAAAAGGAAAGAAAGTTTTTATTTTCTTTGCCAGGCAAAGGG